GCAAGTTCACTGCATGGGGTGAGGCATGGTCTGATCCCCACCGTGCGCTGCAGACCCAAGTAACGCGCCGCAAAGGCCTCTGACCGGTCTGCTTTTCTGCAATACCGTGAAGTATCCAATCACATGTGCTCTAGCCACATCATATGTTGCCACAGAAGGCTCGGGAAGGCTCACGTATGCCAAGGATGTGGAGGGGGAACAACGTGTGGCGACGCGAAAAAGGGAATATTTGCATGGGAGCACCTTACACATGTATGTCTTTGTTTCAGTGAAACTCAAAACACTTGTCTAAAAAACAGAGAAACTGGTACACCTAATCTGAAAATTTCAGAGAAATCTTAAAAGTTTGTCTAGTCCAATCAGAGTTTTTGAAAGCCCCTGTTTGAAAAATCAGAGAAACCCCTAAAAACCGGTCTGAAAATCAGACAATCAGACAAAAAAAGTCTGCTATTTAGGACCCTGGTCCGAACCCGTTGTACGTTCATATGGTACGGATTTCTGCATTTTTTCTCTTTGACACGCGCCTTTACGTAGCATGGGCGCACAACATTCTATCTACAGTGAACGCGAGGGGTTGACTGAAGCTGCCCCTCGGGGCGCGCTACGTTGCATCCGTTTCGGAGGATTGTGGCAAAATTTTAATTTGACTGCTTTTTAAGGATTTCGATTCTGACTAAATAAAAACGATCTCCAATATCGAACTTGTACGCGACATAGGCATGTTCCAGATTTGCAGCTTTCGATGTCGAGTATCGATTTGCAGCTGGCTAGCATGGATTTTCGCAGACGAGTTCGTCGAGAGAAGGATCGTTAGTGTTGTGGACGTGCAATTGATTCCCGGTTTTGTTTCGAAAGTGATCCTCCCATCCGATCTGCTACGAACATGACTATTTCGAAGCTACGGTAGCTGTCGGGTTACCAGGTTTCTACAGTGCCAAGATTGGAAAATGATAGGAGAACTGGAAGCAATTAAACCTCTAGCGAAATTGCCGCGCAAAACTTTGCGGCCTCGCATGTCGCTAGCGAACAACTTTCCCTGCCAAATCCAACACACCCACATAGTGCAAGACATACTAGACCAAATTTACTACCCGACATGCTGCGACCGCGAAAGCTGGTACTAGTATCAGGACCGTGGACTGGCCCTCCTTTTGTTACACGCGCCTGTTGCGCTGGTTTCGCATGGCGGGACCCCGTTACCCGCCATCATGCCTGTGCTGGTCTCGGTGCTGTTCCCAAAACGGGATCAGTTTGAAAATTGATTCACATTGCGTACCGTCAGACGGCTCTACGTGTCCAAAACGGGTTGACGATTTTTGGGGACACGCCCTGAGGAAGAATCTTGTGAAAATTACGGTCACCAGTGGTTTCCCTCCCCGCCAAGTGTATTTCCAGACTGTCTTGCTGCCGTACCCAGGTGTCACCACCAGCCATCGCAAGCGAGACGACATATCTTGCGACGCGGATGGGTGGTCCTGCTGGCTGGTTGACAACAAATCGCGACAACGACGCGAACAATTTCCTTGCTGACAGGCGTGGCCGATTTTGTGTAAAGTTTCTTTCACGACCATACTTAAGTTTCATTCTCCTGGTTCCCCTAAATTAGCGGGCATGGCTGTCAGCCAGGTACGGTACTTCACGATGGTGTCCGAAGTCACTGCCTTCGTAAGTCACAGAAATGGACAACACTTTTCTGTACACTCCTTATGCCAGTTTATGCCCAGTGCCCCTTGAATTGGAAGGGTGGCGCTTTATGACAGAAAATGGCACCTGTTGTCTAGTGCACCTAAACGGGGAAAGCCTGCCTGTCAGGGTTCAATACACATGACGTCCAGTAAATGGCTCATTCATTAGATGCATTCTTTCTATGGCTCATCGGTCCGAACGCACGGGAAACGGCCCAATCGACACAGACCCAAAGATCTGCAACAGTTCTGATACGGGACGTTCTCAAACCTTACAATGTTGCCCGAGGAACGCAAAACAAACAACAAGGATCATCTGCTTTAGACTGGAAAATGTCAACGAGGTAACCAGACTACCCTATATTGGCCCAATTCGCCCGTGAAAAATATGTGCTCGAGTTTGGAGCCCGTCTGAAACAAAAACTGGGCCTGGAAAGGACTTCATGTGTATTTTCTGTGTCCAGCTCGTCCAGGCTGGGTAGCCCCAAACACTGAGCTGGTTTTCGCTAAGTGAACTTGATGCGAGCTCAGATTGTTCATGGTGGCATCCCGCAATCTCTAGTTACAGTCGCTGAAACCCTGAAATTGCACTTGTACATGGTTGGTTCTTGCAGAAAGGGTTCTATAGCTCGTTAAAAGCGGAATCTGCCTTGTGCTTTTGGTCGAGGTGTTGGGGACGGGTGGGGGTTTTGGGGAGCGGTTTGGGGTGCCTGTTCTGTAAGTATCAATAGCTACCACCGTCCCATCACACTGGCCTCCTGACTCCCAACAGGGGATTTTTAGGGTTCCGCTAGGCCCATCCCCTAATGGGAGACGGTAGTGGAGGTGCGGGTCACTCTCCTCTTCGGAAAAATGCCATGAGACTACTCTGTCTTGTCTTCCATGGTACTTACCTTGAGATGGGGAACCTTGTTGCATGCCCCTTGTACGCTAGGGAGACCACACACACACCTGTTTCGAGCCTGAGGCAAAATAGCGTCTGTACGGATCTGGTTCTGTACAGAACAGAACACACAGACAGGCGGTTTGGTAGGTTCAACGGGGGTTGGAGATTGTTGAAATGGGACAACTGCAGGCCTAATTCTAGCCACACATCTGAGCTTTCCCCCACAAATCTCTCACCTTACTTCCTCAGGCAAGGACTGCAACCTTCTGAACAGTGTGATGTTCCAACAGTGGTCGCTGACGAACCGAGATTTCGACTGTACAGCAGCGTCGCAACAAGGTCGCACGAGCGATTTTCCAAATCCACTTTAGAACGACACCTTGACGGTCGCAACTCAGAGGACTGCCCCGGTCAAGCCGCTCTGCTTCGGTGATCGCATACAAAAGGCCCTAGACGCCGAAAATTGCCAGAAAGCTTTTCTGAAAGACGGAACAGCCCCTTCATCTCAGAATCAATTCGTCTTTCTAGCCGTGCAGAGAACCACTAATAGCGGAATACGGAACTCTCAAATCTTCACCTGCCCTCACCCCATGAGTGCTGATGGCTTTCCTGTTCACTTGGAGGTGCTGCATGGGGATTGCAATTAAAACCCAGCTCTCAAGTTACATGCGCTAGGTCTTCTGTTAACATTTCTTGAGTGGTTACCCCATGCACTTTGTGAATAGTGAACAAAGCAGTTACCCCGTGGTCTTTCTTGCCGTCGCATTCCCTCTTTTTTTCCCACCACAACGCGTCGTCATTTCGTGCTGCTTGCTGTTGCGCATTTGTCGCTGGTGTATTCCTTGGTACACCCTAAATCTCGTCAGAATCAAGCGAGTATGTCAGGCTGGCTACGTTTCGGAATGTGATTGTACTTGACCGCCCGGGGAGCCGACCACCAGGGGTATTTCCCGAGCCCTCGAATAAGTATGGGTGTATTCTGGAGTGACGATTGTTTGGTCCCACGTGGAGGGAAACCAGTGAGGAGTTTAAAATACAAAGAAAAACAGTAGAAGGGATCGCAACAGCCAGAAAGACCCGCGCAGTGTAGCGAACCGTCAACTCTCGACAGAATGAAACAGAATGTTCCGAATGGAGGGTTCACGCGACGACGAGCTTCTGGAATCAGCAGCTCAACCCGTTAAGGTTGTGGTTTTTCCCACACTAAGCCACTTTTGGTCCTGGGCAATGTGAAGCCGATCTTGGCAATGACCTTATCCGCCTTTTGATGCTACGTGATTTTAGACAAACGAGATTTGGGGTGTACCTGCTTGGTTAGTTCCGTCTGCTTGAGGGCGCGGTACATTTCAGACCGAAATGGGTTCATCCTGTCTTGACCTACGTTCGAAAAAAAAGGTGCAATGCGACACGGAACCTGTACCATAACGCGATTCGCCCTTTGACGTTCAGGATGCAAAATGCGCGACGCGGCGAATTCACGACAAGATAAACTTGACGAAATGCATAACTGTGCAGCAAAGTTGCGCCTGCCACATTTCGATGCTAGGACTGGCGGTGTCGCGAAAACCACGATAGGAGACGACGTGCGCAAAGCTTCGTAAGGCGCATTTTCCGGCGACTCGGTATTTTTGGCACTGTCTTTCGAGCGTGCTGGTCGTGTTTTCGGTTCGTGCGTTCGTTTTGGCAGGAGTTACATTTCGAGCCTTTTTTATCAATGCGGTACATTATGGCGGTATGATTTGGTTACATGTTCAGTTACCACTAATACATCTAGAACGTTTAAAACTTGAACTCGCCTTGGTACGAAATGTACCGGGCCCTTTTAGTACTGATTGGGCTCTTGTTTCTTGGGCGTGAGTCTCGCAGTGTGGTTTTCCGCTTGCGAAGTTGGAGGGCTGGCTGGCGAGGTTCGCTATCCCCAATTTCACAGCCCTCGGAACCAGTCAAACTTCAATCACACCCTTCCGAGACATGCTCCAAGTATGGTTTTCGCGGCTTGTAGATTGGGATATGGGCTTTAAATATTGGGGCCTGGAGGGAGGCGGGAGGGAGGGTGAGGGAGAAAGGTAGCCCACAAGGGACCACACACACAGCACTGCACGCATTGATTTCCCCGCGCCTTGCAAAGCAAATCCGTTCCCACACACACCCACCCTTCGCCTCGCTAAACTACGCTACTCTGCGCCTCGGTCAGACTACCCCTCTGCACCGATGTAGAAGCCTCGTCATTCAACCTCCATCCAGTCCATTCACGCGACATTCGCATGGTTTTCCCTGCTCTTGCTGTTTGCACACATACAACCGCCCCTTCTGCTTCGTCTATGGCATATGCTCCCCGTCCACCACTACTGCCACTGCCAGCAACCACTCCTCGTCGTCTTGGTTGTACTGTACAGCCACACAACAGTTCATTTTCTTCTCACTCTCTCCACATTTTCCACCCATTGTGAAGTTCACGACCTCCCAGCTCCACTCGGGATCTTAGCCTTTTACGGTCCCAACCCCACGCGTTGCGACACGGCGACTCCGAATGCCAGGCACAACTTGCAACGTGTACAGTCCACTATCCCCGCCCATCATTTAGGAGGATCCTTCCCTGCAGCGTGACTCACAAAAAATTCCTGAAGAGGTTACTACAACTCTCACAACCAAGTACACGCGCCAGAAAAGCGATCAAGTGATTTGACAAAGGCTTGGCTCGACTGCCTGCTTGGAATTCCTCGGTTTTGGGCTAGCTGGTCCGGAACTTTGGAAGTTCGGATAGCATTCAGAATCAATAGCATTCTTAGCGAGTCTTCCTTCGCGAATCATCGCTACCGTCAGAATCGGTATCTCCATCGTCGGCTGCGGACTACGCGAGTTGGCTTTTGAGTCGACTCAAACGCAGACTCGGTACTGCCTCGGCGTCAGCCCTGGAAGGAACGAGAGGCAGTCCGAATTTTCGCGTTGAAGACGGCGGCCCGAGCGCGGCTCGCCATCCTGACCACTGCCGGTGGCAGTGTAATCGCCAGTCCTGATACTATTTGGCAGAGTAATCGGCACGGTGCCCTTACTTACCCCCCCTGAATCCTGCGGCGTAACTTAGATCGATCGATCTAAGTGTGGCATCATGGACGCGGTGCGTTGGGCCCAGCGGGTTGCCCTCGCCACGTGGATCACTGTGGTGTCCGTCGCTGCTTCGTATGCAGGTGCGTCCCGCGAGCTATGCGCAGTAGTAGGAAGGGAAAGATGCACACGGAGAGGATTAGGGGAGGAGAAAGGGGAGGAGAGTGCGCGGGGAATGGGGGCTGGATTGGGAAATGAGGAGTGAAAGGAGCTCGTGAGAGGGGCGGGACGGGGCGGCCTGGCGGGCCGTCGTGGCGCGTGTAAAGAGGGAGCCTTTTTTCTCCTCCAATGGTGAAGGGTTAGTGGTAGGTCCGGGGGCCCCCGCGGATCAACTTCGCGGGACGTTCATAGGTGGCCTCCGCGTCCGCATCGGATGTGTCACGGGAGTCCCGTCACTCCCGTCACGCCACGGTCGCCGCGATGCTCAACCACGCTCTCTCCCCCGCCGAATTCCGCCCCCTTCCCCCATTTCCCCCTCCCCGCCAGCCGCGGAGCCCACCGCGGTCTACATCGTGCAGTTGCGCGACCTTCCGCCAATCTCCGCCTACCGCGGCGGGATCGCCGGCTTCCCCGCGACGGCGCCTCCCGTCGCCACTACCACCGCTGCCGCCGCTGCCGCCGTGAAGGCCACGGCGCGGACGTTGGGGCTGCGGAACATGCGCGGACCGCTGCGCAGGTGGTTCCGCCGGCGGCATCCGAACATCCGCCTTCCGCACGTGAAGGCGTTTGCGGAGCTCCTGGGGAAGGCGCAGAAGGCCATCGCGGAGAAAGCGGGCATTTTGCCGAACAGCATGCTGTATAGGTGAGGCACGCCTTTCCGTTCGCATGTAACGTTTCAGTTCGTCACGCTATGAAGCGCTGTACTGCCTTTTCGCCCATCGCCCATCGCCCATGCGCATCCCCCCATCCATCTCCCCTTTTCGTGATCCTGCCAGCTCTAACCCGCTCTCTCCCCCTCCCCATCCCCCCCTCCCCCCCTTCTCTCCACTCACAACCTTCCCCCGCCCCCCACTCGGCGCAGCTACACGTACTTGAGCAACGGCTTCGCCGCAAAACTGACGCCCGCGCAAGCCAACCAGCTGCGCAAGGACTCCGCCGTGGCGGAAGTGCGCCAAAGCCTCCCCGTGCGCCCCGCGGGGCAAGTCTCTTCCCCCGCCGGCGCGTCCAGCTCCGCCGCAGGGGGGACAACACCGACCGCGGCGGGAACGGGAACGGTGGCGGGGAAGCCTGCGGCGGGGGGCGCGGGAGGCGCAAAGACGGGGAGCGTCCAGCAGGGCGGACTGAAGATGCCGCAGGAGTTGTGGGTGGCGAACGGGGGGGAGCTGAGCGCAGGGGAGGACGTGGTTGTGGGGGTGATCGACAGCGGGATATGGCCCGAGCACCCGTCCTTCAGCGATACTAATGTGAGGATCGAATGCCCTCACCACTGCTCGCTGTGTCCCATGAGTGGTCGTCACCCACCCCTCCCCCCCCTTCCCCTCCCTCTCCCCCTCCCCCGTCCCTCCTCCCGCCATGTCTTCCTCCAACTTTTCTCGCCCCCGGCGGACTATGATCGTTATTACTCTTACTAATTCTACACAACTTTTGCCGTTTAGTCCATTCATTATCCCCTTCCCCTGGCCGGCCGTTTATTCCTTCCTTCCCGTTCCCCCCCGCCACATCCTCCCCTCTGCCTCCCTTCAGTCTAGCAACGCGTACGGCCCGCCGCCCTCCACGTGGCAGGGCAAGTGCGATACGACAGAGGACTTCCCCGCGTGCAACGACAAGGTGATCGGCGCGCGCTTCTTCATCAACTCGTTCGACCAGTCCGGCCGCCAGCTCAACACTGCGCGCGACTTCCGCTCGCCACGGGATGTCGACGGCCATGGCTCCTGGTGTGCCGGGTAAGACGACTCTCCCTCGTGTGTGCTGCCAGTAGGAAGACTCTCCACAGTGTGCGTGCAGTTGGCTGGCTACGGCGCTGAGCTGACTACCGACTAGCTCGTTGTACCACGTTTCCCCCTATTACTGTGCATCCGTTCTCACTTGTCATCACTGATCATATACAACATACTTCAGTCAACATGTGCTTAGCATTGTACTATTCTATTCTCAACTTTTCTTCTTCCCCAACTTCCCCTTCCCCCCCTTCCCCGCTCAACCCCCCCTCAAATTCCAGCGCCGCAGCGGGCAACAGCAACGTCCCGGTGATGTCCAGCTCAGGGAAGCGCTTCGGCACGGTGTCGGGCATGGCTCCGCGGGCGCGCATTGCGGTCTACAAGGCCTTCTGGCTGCAGAAGGACGGCTCCCTCATAGCCGAGCAGGCCGACATCGAGGCGGCGGTCAACCAAGCAGTGGCGGATGGTGTGGACGTGCTGAGCATGTCGTTCGTGAGCGACGTGCAGACCAGCTACTTTGACGACCGCATCTTCCTCCGCGCCAACCAGGTTGGCGTCGTGCCCGTCTTGGCGGCGGGCAACAGTGGCCCTCCGCCTGGGGACTCTACCTACCGGACTCTGTACAACTACTCGCCATTCTACCTCACTGTCGGGGCCAGCACCCTGGCCCAGCGGTACCAGACGCAGATCACGCTGGGAAACAAGGCGGTGGTTCTAGGAGCCGGGCTGGGCGGTAACGCCGTAACCGCCAAGGGGGCTCCGTTGATCGACGCCCGGTCCGCTCCTGGGGAGGTGGCTGGGTTAGACGAGGCAGAGCTATGCTTTCCGGGGTGCCTGGACCCGGCTAAAGTGGCTGGGAAGATCGTGATGTGCTTGAGAGGGGGAGTGTTCCTGTTTGAGAAGGCACATGTGGTGGCAGAAGCAGGCGGCGTGGGGGTTATCTTTGTGAATGACCCCACTGGGAGCTCGGACGTGTATTCCTCTGTGTCGAGCGCGACGATCCCCACGGTGCATCTGACAGCAACTCAGGGAGCAACGATTCGGGCGTACATCAAGAAGACGAAGCAGTAAGTGGTGGTGCTGGTGGGTGGGGGTGGGGGCGGTGGGGGGCGGTGTGGGGCAGGTGGTGGTTGCTGACTTTTATGGCGGTGGCTTTGGTGGTGTGACTTGAAAGCCTTCAGAACTTCTGTGGTTGCCATCTCATGTCTCCTGCCTGGGTTCTGACCCACCACTTCTGACTCATTATTCTCCCTCTCCTCTTCTCCTCTTCTCCTACCTCCCTCCTCTTCCCCTCCCCACCTCAGGCCCACAGCAACTATAGGAGCAGATTGTGTTTCCGCCAAGACCACCGTCTCCCCGCCCGCCGTAGCCGCCTTCTCCTCCACAGGGCCACCTCTTGACCCCATGGACGATTTCGTCCCCTTCGGCCCCACCAACGACATTCTCAAGCCTGACATCCTCAGCCCGGGCGTGGAGCTCTGGTCGGCAGTCGCCGGCGACATTAAAAACGCCAGCAAGCCGGTGTTTGATCTGCTGTCGGGGACGTCCATGGCAACGCCACTCGCTGCGGGGATAGCTGCACTGCTCGTGCAGAGATTCCCCACCTGGACCCCGGCTCAGGTCATGTCGGCCATACAGACCACGGCGAGTCCAGTGAATGATGCTGGGAAGCCGATCACTACCGAGAAGGGGGCTGTTGCAACTCCCTGGGAGACTGGGGCTGGTACGGTGAATGCCGCGAAGCTGGCGGATCCAGGGCTCACGTATAATGCCGGAATTCAGGAATATATGAATTTCCTGGCCGGGCAAAGCAGGTACAGGACCGGGGTATTATGGCCTAAGGAGGTGGTAACCCCCACCCCAGCGTACAACTTGAACCTTCCGGCGATAGTGTTCTCTCGGGTGAACGGCACGAGGGTTGCAGTGCGCACAGTGACCAGTGTTGCTGCAAAAGCGTCGACTTACAAGGCCAAGGTCGTCGTCCCTCTTGGGATGCAAGTTACCGTTACACCAAGCCAGTTTTCTGTGAAACCTGGAGAATCCAGGACATTCACCGTGGCTGTGTCAATTCTCAAGCCTTCTACAAAGTTTGCCTTCGGAAGCTTGACGTGGGAGGACGAGCTAGGGCATAGTGTACGCTCAGTGTTGGCTGTGCAATCACGCACAATGTTCAAGAGAAAGTAGGATGTGTTGCTGTAGTTAAGTTGGTTTGCCCCCAATTTGTATCATACCATTCATTTAGTATTATTTATTCTCAAATGATATTGATTGGACCAATCTTGAGTGGAAGAGATAACGACGAACAACCTCAGACGTGGATCTGCTAACAGCGGTGTACCTTCAGGCCTACCTGACACCACCAGCCTCAGATAATCTGGAACCGCGCCACGCAAGCAACAGTTCAGTATTCACCTGACAAAGAATCTGGGAGGTTGGTAGCAGTGGTGCCAGGGTGGTGCCAGCTGGGTTGGAACAGGAAGGGGGTACAGTGCCTTACAGACAGAGACAGCCTACAACTGTAGCAGCAGTGCTGCCCGAAAACGTCAAGTGGTACACTAAGTTGTTTGGCGAAAGCCAGTGTTGTGGGGGGGGAGGTGACTTCCCCCACCACCAGCAACCTCCATGTAGGTGTATTTTCACTTCCTGCCAGCATTCCGGGCAAAGGTTGAGAATTTTGACTGGACTGAAAATAATGCTATGGGGAGGAGGGAATGACGCGCTTCTAGAATATCGCGCTTTGGATTCCCGTCGTCAAGGGCAGTTGCCTGAACCTCTCCAAGCGCGTTTTCGACCCGCGCCGCCCATTTTTTCCCTGGCATTGCCCCACAGGCTTCCCCAAGGACCATCCCGGTCAGTCGCCAAATTTCGACGCGTCACCAGCTGGGTTTCTTGTCCGTTATATAGGGACAAAATATTTGGGATGCCGAATCTTGCTGTTATTTTTAAATTCCGCGCTCGTTTCAATCCCACGAAAACGCAGGTTTTATATACGGACAGTAACTTTGGGCAGATGTAAAATAGAATCATAGGGGCCCGGCATACGAGTCCGGATCGCATCAACCCCAAACTTCCGAAAGGGCCGCGAATTTAGGGTTGATGCCGTTGTACGTAGGGCCCCTTAGGGTTTTAGTTTTTTTCTTGCCAGCTAGACTGCCCTAATTGTGTCGTTATTGGCGGTTTCGTTTGATAGGACTGCGATGCGTCCAAAACCCGCAGCACGTGAGCACTGTGTACCTGCGGCTAGAATACAACTGCTGCATTCGAATACATTGGGCAAGCCAAAATTCAGAAGTACATGATACATCCAACGAGAAAACCGTATCCTTACCAACACAACTGACAGGTGGAATTGAGATCGCGCTAGGCGGGATTCAAGTAAATTCCCGTCATAGTGAGAATTAAAAATGTGATTTTCCGGAATCGCGTCATTCCCTCTAGTGGGGGGGGGGGGGGGGGGTGGGGGGGACAAAACGCTAAATTACACAACCATGCGACAACGAATAGGCAGCGGTTTGGGACAAAGGTCTGCCTTGATTGGTCGGGGGTGGTGAGGTGATGGAGGAAAAGGAGGTTCTACTGGGGCGGAACCAGCATTTGGGGAGGGACGCGGGGGTCCTCGAATTGTCTGGTATAAGTTCGGTTGGGTTGTTTCTAGAGGAAAGGTGAGGGGGGAAAGGGGACCCACATTAGCAGACAGTCGGTGCAGGATGAATCCATTCGCCTCGCCGCCACACCACCATAGCCCCATCATGCATGGTACTGCATGCCTCCAATCCAACCCAGACCAGACCCATGCCCCCAGTCGTGCTCCTGCGCACTCTGCCACGGCGCTGCTCTCGTGATCTTGCGCCTCAATCTCCACCGTGCATCTTGCATACCCTTTCGATTGTGTAAACTGTACGCTGTAATGTACGGTACAGTATTCTCAAGCCGCGTTTTACTTCACCTCGTTTCGCCCCGTCGAATGCGGGTGAACGCCGCCGCGCTCACCTTGGGGTGCTCGCAAATCCAACAGCTGCCTGCGAAAGCCATATTTATTTCTGCCTGTACGCTTTAGTAGCATGCATCGACCTTCTCGCCTCGCTACAACAAGATCAAGCGCTCCGTTTGCGAGCCCAAATTCCACTCAGTACCTCTAGAATCACTGCCTCAGTAACTTCGACTCAATAATTCCTGACTTACTTCCGACTTAGTAGTTCACACTCCTGTTCTTGCCGCCGCCGGCTGTGGCTCTGATTTGCGCCAGTCAAGCTCTCCTAGTGCTCGAGGGGGATTAACAGAACTTTAGATTCGCAGCGAAACCCTCTTCCTCTGCCACACGCCCTTCATCTCTCGAATCTGCTCAGTCCCCGACTCCTCTCGTGTAGCAAGCACTTCCTCCGCCCACGCGCGCTGCCTGAATTCCCGGCGCCACCAGCATTTGCGCCGCAGCCTGTTTCATCTATCGCATTGCATCTACCGACCCGTTTCACCCGTTTCATCTGACCCGTTTCATCCGACCCGTTTCATCCGACCCGTTTCATCCGCGCCACTCAAAGAGTAACTTAGTCGACACTCCCCGAATCCCCACGAGGCGTCCGCCAGACAGCGCGCCACCGCCGTCGGGTTCCATTGCGTCTACCGCCGGGGGCGGTCATAGAATACAAGAAACCCGCCGTCGAACCCGTCATGGCTCCTCCTCCACCTCCACCGACGTCGTCGCGCACTCATCGCTCCCGCCGCCAGGCTCCGCGCCTTCTCTCGCGGCCCCTCCTCTCTGCCCGCCTCTCCCCCCTCCTCCTCCTCCCCCTCCTCTCCTGCTCGCTCGTGAGGCTACTCCACGTCGCGTCCCTTCAAGGTATTACCCCCCTCGCATTCCACCACTCCCTTGGTGGAAAGTTCCCTGCTTCGTGCGGGGGAGTCCTCCATCCTTCCGCTCCTGCACTCTTGCACACTCCCCCGCACTCCCCCGCACTCCCCTGCACTCCCCATCCCCCTGCATTCCCCTATTCCATTCCCCGCCTTAATCCTCCCTGGACCTTCCCCCTCACCCGTTGGCTCTGTCTTTGACCTCTGCCACTCCCCTTCCACTGTCCCATTCGCCCTTCCCTCCTCCGCCCTCTTTTCGTGTGCGGGAGCTTCGGTTTCGTAGTCACCACTCGAGACACTCCTTTTCCCTCCACTCCCCTGTGGTCCCCTACCTCCTTACCTCCTTACCTCCTCACATCCTCACCTCCTCACCTCCTCACGTCGTTGTCTCCTTAGCGTTCCCAGAGTGAATTTTCCTTCCCGCCCCCCTCCTTGTCACATCCGCTTATCCTCCCTTTCCCCCACCCCTCCCCCACTTTTCCTCCTCACCTTCCCCTCACCCCCCCCTCCCCCCTTGCATTCACTCGCCCCACCTCAGATGATATCGCCCCCCCGCCTCCGCAACCCACGGCGCCCACTTACCTCTATAAAGTCTACCTAAATACCGCGCCGCCCGTCTCCCTGTATCGTGGCGGAGTCGCCGGCTTTCCCGCCACCGCGGGGCTGTCCGACGCGCTCAAGGGGATGGCGGGGGGCCTGCGCGGGGCCGCGCGCCGTGCGCGGCAGCAGATGCGGCGCGGGCCGCTGCGCGATTTCGCCAAGTTTCTCGGGCAGGTTCAGAGAAAAGTTGCTGATGACGTGAAGCTGCCCATGTCGAAAGTTCTGTACAGGTGCGGCTTTAACGGGTTTTGCACTTTCGCAAGAGTGGGTGGGGTCGGGTTAGACGGTGGCTTGTTACAATATCTCTTCCCCCTTTCCCCCTCCCTCCTCCCCCCCGCCTCTCCTTCCCAACCCCCCTCCCCTCCCTCTCTTCCCCCCCTTCTCCCCCTCTCTTACCTTTCCTACCCACCTCCTTAAATTCCCACCGCCCCATTCCCCTCTCTTTTCCCGATCCCTCCTCCACCTCTCCCTTCCCCCTTTCCCCTCGCCTCTCCCCCCTCCCCCCTTTTTCCCGCTTCTTCCCCCCGCACCCCTCAGCTACAAGTACGTGAGCAACGGCTTCGCGGCGCGGCTGACTCTAAAGCAGGTGCAGCAGCTGCGGCGGCACCCGCAGGTGGCGGCGGTAAAGGCGAGCCGGCGCATAGTGGCCTCCACCACGCACTCGCCCGCGTTCCTCAATCTCCCGGGGACCCTGTGGCCCGCCAGTGGCGGCGTGGATGCGGCGGGGGAGGATGTTATCGTGGGCGTGATTGACAGCGGCATCTGGCCCGAGCACCCCTCGTTCACTGACAATGTGAGGAGGGATGTGTGGGTTGGGTTGGGTGGGGTGAGGTGGAGTGAGGTGGGGTTGGGTGTGTTGCTTGTTTGGGCGGTGATGTTGGATGGAGCGTGCTGCTGGCGCTGTGTGGTTCGGTGGTGTTGTGTGCGGCAGTGTAAGTAGTCTCTCTACCCTCCTTCCCTTCCCCTCCTTTCGCATTTCTCCCCCGTTCCTCCCTCCACTCTCCCTCCACTCTCTCCTCACCTCCCCTACCCCGCCCCCCCTCCGCCCCTTTCTCCCTGGGCACTCAGCGCTACAGCCCGCCTCCCGCGTGCTCGTCAGGGCGGTGCGAGCTTACAAAGGGCTTCCTTTCCGCAGTGCACGGCAATGCAGACTCATGTGCAACCACTCGCTCCTTCCGCCCGCACCCCTCCCTTCTCCCCATCCTCCCCCCAATCCTTCCCCCCCCGAACCACCCCCCCCCCCCCCACCACCTCCCCCAGGGCACTCAGCACTACGGCCCGCCCCCCGCGCGGTGGGCGGGGCGGTGCGAGCTGACCAAGGACTTCCGCCAGTGCAGCCGCAAGGTGATCGGCGCGCGCTTCTTCGCGTGCTGCGGCGTGGACGCGTCCGTGGAGTACTGGAGCGCCAGGGACGCCGCTGGCCACGGTTCCTGGTGCGCTGGGTAAGCTCACTCGGGGTGAGGGTGGGGGAGAGAGGGGGAGGGAGGGAAAGAGGGAGGGAGAGAGCTAGATGATGTGGGTGTGGGTTTCGGTGTGTGGGTGTGTGTGTGTGTGTGCGCGCGCGCGTGCCTCTGTGCGTGCGTGCGTGCGTGCGTGTGTGCATGTGTGAGCGCGTGTGTGTGTGTGTGGACGTGAGTGAGATCCCAAGGATTGTCACTTACGTGCTTACATATCAGCAGGCATGACTTTGTTTCTCCTCCTCTTTCCCACATCCCGTCCACAATCCCTCCCGATCCCATCGCCCTCCCCCCCCCCCCTTCCCCCCCCCCCCCACCCGTGAAACGAATCTCCCCAGAGCGGCAGCAGGCAACAATGGCGTGATGGTGGCGGGTCCCAACGGCGGCTCCTTCGGCGCAGCGAGCGGCATGGCGCCGCGCGCGCGCCTGGCAGTCTACAAGGCGCTGTGGAAAGGGGCGGACGGCACCACGGCGGGGGAGACGGTGGATATTGAGGCGGCCATTGACGCGGCGGTGGCGGACGGGGTGGACGTGCTGAGCATGTCGTTCGGTGACCTGGGCATGGAGGCCACTTACTTGAGTGACGGGGCGCTGCTCAATGCTGCTCAGGTGGGTGGAGAATGGTGCAGAGGGGTGCGGGGGTGTGGGGGGGCAGGAATAGAAGAGGGGATTGCGTGAGGCTTTGAGCTGCCTCAAAGCGCAGGTGAAGGGATGTGTGTGGGTGGGTGCATGCACAAGGGGCTGGTTTGGCTAGCGCAAGTGCCGGTACATACACACCGCACGCATCCCCCGCTCTCCATCCAACTCCCACGGTCCCACCCTCCCTCTCCCTCCATCCCTCCCCCCGCCCTCTCCTCCTTTCCCCCCTCCATGCTGTCCTTCCCTCCCTCTCTCCTCCTTCCTTCCCGTCCCATTCGTCCCGTGCCGTTCGTCCCGTCCTTGTCTCCCCTGCACCTTCGCTCTCAGGCGAATGTGGTGCTGGTGATGGCAGGGGGCAACGAGGGTCCGCCCCCAACCTACTACAACTACCGCTCCCTCACCAATGTCTCGCCCTTCTACCTCACCGTCGGCGCCAGGTAACACCTACGCCAGGTAACCCCGCAACTTACTTCCAGCACGTTGCATGCTTTGCCTGGCTCCGCTCCCTCTCCTTTAACTTCCGTCGACTCTGCTTCCTCTCTCTCCCCCCTCCCCCAACTCGCTCTTCCCCCCTTCCCATCTCGTCTTTGTCCCACAGGGGGCTATTCGCTCGGGCAACTGCATCGCCCTCGAGGGCTGAGTTGGTTCCTGAGAATTCTCAACAAGTTTCACTCCCACGGACTCCTACCCCCACAACCCAACTCTCTCCCCCCTCCCTCTCCCCCTCTGTCTTCATTTCACCCTCCCCCTTTCCCCCTTCCCCAGCACCATAGGGCGGCAGTACCCCACAGACAGACTCAACACTCAGCAGTACTGACCCCGTCAAGGGCGTAGGCGGGATCTCTCTCCAGCTGACTGCCAAAGCACCCTTATCCGTAAAGAGTACCTTTACTTACTCTCGCCCTTTTCCTTCTCTGCCACTTCACCCCTCCTTGTCCTCCCTTCTTTACAGCACCATAGGGCGGCAGTACCACACGGAGCTGACTCTCGGCAACGGCGTCTCTCTGAAGGGCGTGGGCGTGGGGGGCAATGCGGACACGGCAGCAGGGCTGGGGATCATCTCGGGCGCACAGGCGGTGGTGGAGGGGGGGGACGCGGACAAGGTGAGGGGAGGGGAACATGGGGAGCATGGGTAGCATGGGGAGCATGGGGAGCATGGGGAGCATGGGTAGCATGGGGAGCATGGGGAGCATGGGGAGCATGGGGAGCATGGGGAGCATGGGGAGCATGGGGAGCATGGGGAGCAAGTCCCTCCCCTGCTCCCCCCCTTCCTTCCCCCCCCCCATTCTCCCCACCCCCCCAGGCCCAGCAGTGCTTCGACACGATGCTGGACCCATCCAAGGTGGCCAACAAAATCGTGGTGTGCGACAGGGGCGTCACCACCATTCTCTCCAAGGTCTCAGTCGTCGCCTCTCTGGGCGGCGCGGCGATGGTGCTGGCTAACGTGGCGAGCAGCCCCAGCACGACGGTGGAGCTGGTGGATGGCGCCACCATCCCCACGCTGCATGTGTCGCTGGAGCAGGCGGCTGTTATCATGGAGTACCTCGATAGCGCTGACAGGTGAGGTTTGGTGGGGTTCGGTGAGGTTCGGGCGAGAAGAGTGTGAGTGAAATAGGGATTCGCCTTAGCACCTCCCAATCCACGCTGCACGTGTTGCTGGAGCAGGCTGCCGTCCTCATGGAGTACCTCAATGGCGCTGACAGGTTAGTCTCCTTTGGGGACGAGAGAAGAGTGTGGGTGATAGCATTGGTTGTTGATGGTGTGCGAAAGGGGCTTGCTGTAGCACTCCCATCCCATCCTCACCCACGCGTGTAGTGAGTCTATTTTTGAGTCGACTTAAAACAGACTCATTACACGCGCATCCTCTTCCACGCTGCACATCTCGCTGGAGCAGGCAGCTGTCATCAGGGAGCGCACTAACACCTTCTGTGGGTCTGCTTTCCCTTTAGCTCGCTCTTCCATCCCTCTTTCCCATTCCTTGCTGCTGTTCCACACCTCCCCCCACTCCTCTTAACCTCTCCTCACCCCACCATACCACCCATTCCCTCCCACACTCTCTCCCCCACTCCCTCCCCCACTCCCTGCCAGCCCCACGGCCACTCTGGCAGCGATAGCCGAACCGGCAGCGGCAGCAACACCCGCCCCAGCTGTCACCTACTTCTCCTCCACAGGCCCAGTGGCTGAGCCCTCCAGCACGCCCCGCAAGCCGTACCCCACCAACGACATCTTAAAACCCGACATCATCGCCCCGGGCTTTAACCTCTGGGCGGCTGGTGCCGGGAGCAGCCTCGCCACGCGGACAACTCCGGTGTTTTCACTCCTCTCTGGGACGTCGATGGCAACGCCCCACATGGCGGGGATTGCGGCGCTGGTAGTGCAGAACCACCCCGACTGGTCCCCTGCTCAGGTCATGTCTGCCATACTCACCACTGCCAGCACTACCAACACCGCGGGCGGGCCGATTCTGAATAGCCTAGGGCAGCCGGCGACACCCTGGGAGATGGGTGCTGGGCATGTGAACCCTGGGGATGTTCTCGACCCCGGGTTGACTTTCGACGCCAGTTTCACGGATTACCTCTCGTTCCTGAGTGGGCAGGCGGGAAAAGTTTCCTTGAAGAGTCTCGGGCTGGGGAAAGCTGCTCCCCGGGGCCTGAAAGCCATCCCTGCCTACAATCTCAACCGCCCGGCTATCTCCGTCTCGCGGCTGCTGAAAACCGTTACAGTCACCCGGTTCGTGACCAACGTCGCCGACGCAAACTCGACCTACACTGCCAAGGTCGTCCCTCCTGCGAACGTCAAGGTGGTTGTGAAGCCGCTTGTTCTGTCGGTAGCAGCCGGCAAGACGGCGAGCTTCACGGTGCAGTTCACAGTGACCAAGGCGTCGTCGCAGTTCTCGTTTGGGAGCCTCACCTGGGAGGATCAGGCGGGGCACGTGGTGAGATCCGTGCTCGCCGTGCAGCCTGTGAAGAAGTAGACCCCGAGTCAGGACCGAAGGCTTTCATCTTCGGGAATGGCATGACGGTAGTAGCCAGGGTTTTCATAATCAGGCTTTCGTCTGCAGCAGTCCAGTCCAGGTCAGGGCTTTCATTTCTGGGCGTTGGCATGGTTTTGTTTGGGCTGCTTTGTGTTGGGTTGGGTTGGGTTGGGTGTACCATAGCCCCTTCCTCCCTTGTTCCTGTTCCTGCTTTATTGCTTTGACTTAGACAACTCAATCTCTAGCACCTCTCTTTTGTGTAGATAAGCACAGTATTCTGGCTCAATAATGCACTATGCATGAGGGTTGCTTTTGCAAACCATAGGAGATGACAGGTCACAGGTGCTGTGTGTCAACAAATAATGTGTATATGTTATAGGCCAGATAGGTGCATGCTCATATAGAGTACAATACCTTAGGTAATACTCCCTTGTACCCCATCATTCTAGTCAATTTCTTACTCAGAGACGGTATCATGCTAGGTTAGGATCCCGCCCACCCGCGCTTCCGCCCTCGTCCTAGCCCTAGCCCAAGCCTACCGTTGCTAGCCGCCCGTCGCCCGTAGCCGCCAGCTACCCGCCGCCCGTCGATCGCAGGCCGCTGGCTGCCCGTAGCCGCCAGCCGCCCGTAGCCACCAGCCTGCTGGCCGCCCTTAGCCGCCAGCTGCCCGCTGCCCGTCGCCGCTAGCTGCCCGTAGCCCGCTGGCCGCCGGTAGCCGCTGGCTGCCTGTCGCTGCTGGCCACCTGTAGTCATACCACTGCACCACTCCAGACTTCGCCTCTTGTGTTACCAACTCGTCTGTTCCTGTCTCCAGTCTTGACGCTCTTGTCACTGCCGTCATTGACTTTGCCGCTACCCGCTGCCTTGACTACGCCACCGCTTTGGTCTCTGACCCTGCCCGTCCTCCGTCCGTCCAGGGTGCTCATGCCCTTAGCAGTGACGTCATGGAGGACCGGCAGTAAGAGCTTGCTTTCTTGTCCGAGGCCGCGCCTTAGCTCTGCTCCATGCTGCTAGTCTCTGAAGGTGACCCAGACGCCTTTGACATCCCGACCCCTCGCACTTACGCTGAGGCGACCTCGGGACCCTGGGCCTCTCAGTGGATAGCTGCCATGGACGAGGAGATGGCATCTTGGAAATCCTCCGACACCTATGCCAACGCAGTTCCCCTACCTGGGGTGAACGTAGTCGATGGCCGGTGGCTCTTCAAGGTGAAGCGCCCTCCTGGAGAGCCGTCGGTGTTCAAGGCGTGCTACGTTGCTCGTGGCTTCAGTCAGCGCGAGGGTGTTGACTTCTTCCAGACCTTCGCCCCGACCCCGAAGATGACCACTCTTCGGGCGCTGCTACACGTAACAGCACAGCGTGACTATGAGCTGCACTCTCTCGACTTCTCAACAACGTTTCTTTAGGGCAGTCTTCACGAGCAGGTCTACCTGCGTCGCTTGCCAGGCTTCATGGACACCTTCGCCCCAGAAACCTAGTGGCTCCTCCGACGCCCGGTTTATGGCTTGCGGCAGGCACCTCGAGAGTGGCACGACACTCTTCGTGCTACGTTAGCTGACCTGCGGTTCTTCCCGTCCATTGCAGTCCCTTCGCTCTTCATTCGTTCAAGCCAGACACCATTCTACATCCTTGTCTACGTAGACGACCTGGTCGTCGCCACCGTAGACAGAGACAAACTAGCCTCTGTGAAGGCTGATTTGCTGAGGAGACACACTTGCATTGACCTAGGAGAGTTGCGCCGCTACCTTGGCCTGCACATCTCCAAGGACAGAGCAGCATGCACCATCACTCTCACCTAGTCACACTTGGTGCGCCAGGTCCTTCAGAGGTTCGGTCTTCAGTTCTCCTCCGCTCAGCCCACTCCTCTGCCAGTAGATTACAGGTTATCAACTCCATGCTTTTACATTATCTAGCGAGTACAACGGGCATGGGGCTAGTGCTAGGAGATCGCTAGCCAGTGGTCCTTACAGGGCACACAGACGCTTCGTGGGCAGACGACGCTGAGACGCTCAGGTCCTCACAGGGCTACTGGTTTAGCCTTGGTACAGGTGCCATCTCGTGGAGGTCCATTCGCTCGTCGTTTGTTGCCCAATCTAGCTGTGAGGGTGAGATGTACGTCGGTGCCATGACGGCACAAGAGCTCCGCTGGCTGACTGTCTTTCTCACAGACTTAGGTGAGCAGCCTAGCTCTGCCTCGGTCCTGTAAGCTGACAACAGGGTCATGATCCTCTTGTGTCAGGAGCCTCAACTCGAGGGCACAGAGTAACACATTCAATTGCGGTTCTTCCTCCTTCGCGAGCTACAGAAGCGCTGCCATGCCCGCGTGGTACACTTGGCCTCAGATGCCAACACAGCTGATACTTTACGAAGGCGCTTGCGCGTAAAGATCATCAGCGACACTGTGTCCAGCTTGGTCTAGTTCCTGTTGCTTCTCACTTGCTAGGACCTTGATTGTGTACTATATCTTATATTACCTTGATTGACCTTGTGGCTCCTGCCCATTTGGTTGGACTATAAGCGCCGCCCTGGATTACTCTTGTATAATTTGTACTCTTGTTGACTGGTCTTCGAACCATTGCCTCAGAGGTTGGACTAGTAGTGCTGCCCTGAGCTACGTATCTCGTGCTAGTCACTGCCCCTTGTCTAGCCTGGGGGGGTGTGTCAACATATAATTTGCATATGTTATAGGCTAGATAGGTGCATGCTCATGTAGAGTAGGACACCTTAGGTTATATTCCCTTCTAACCCATCATTCTAGTCAATTTCTTACTTTGAGACTGTGGCTGTAGAATCATAAGGACTTTGTCAAAACATATATATATATATGTATATATATATATATCTTATAGGCTAGGTAGGTGTGTATTTTTAGATAGTACAACCCTTTAGCACAACAGCACCTTGTATCACACATTCTAGTAATTCATTCTCATTTTAATATGGTATCACGCTACGTTAGGTCCTCCTCGCCCACTCACGCTTCCGCCTTAGGCCTAGTCCAAGCTGCCCCTTAGCGCCCCGCTGGCCACGTTAGCGCCACGCTGGCTCCTTAGCGCCCCGCTGGCCACTTGCGCCCTACTGGCCCCGTACGCCGTGCAGGCACCTCAGCGCTCCGCTAGCCCCGTTCGCGCTCCGCTAGCCCCGTCGAACCTTGCTAGCCCCGTGCGCCCCGCTGGCCCCGTTCGCCCCGCTGGCCCTTTTCGCTTCACAGGCCCCGTGCGCCTCGCTGGCCCCGTTCGCGCCCCGCAAGCCCCGTCGTGCCCCACTAGCCCCGTGCGCCCCGCTTGCCCTGTACGCCCTGCTGGCCCCGTTTGCGCCCCGTTACCCGCTTAACGCCCCGCTGGCCCCGTGTTTGCTGGCCCCACGCTCGCTAGCCCTACGCTCTGCCGCCCTAGACCTACCGGACTTTGCTCCCTTCTAAGCCGGCACATCTGCCGGCTGTCTCCATCGCTCTCCACCATTCTCCACCGGAGTCCACCACACTCAACCGCTCTCCACTGCTCTTCACTGCTCTCCAGTGCTATACTACGCCTTCCTTTGCCTTTCCTCCTCTCCCTGTCTCGGCAATCAGCTACTGCAGCCGTGGTGATGGCGGACTCACTGCTCCGTCTGGACGCGGAGGGTCGGGCGATAGACTTCGAGGCGTGGCTCGTCGACCTTCGCCGTCACCTGACAGGTCAGCGCAAGGACGATCACTCCCTGGCTGTTCATGTTGATGGCCTGCTTCCCCTCTTTGCTGTGCCTGTTTCCCTCCCTGCTGCCCCTCTTTGCTGTGCCTGTTTCCCTCCCTGCTGCCCCCACAACTGTTGAGCATGAAGCCTTTTCCGCTGCTGCGCATGCTCGTGCTGTTTGGGACTCGCGCGTCGATGTCGCGCATGTCACACACTTCCTCTGTCTGAGCGTCCCCGCTTTACCACTGTAGCGAACGCCCAGGAATTCTTTGATGCAATCATTACGCGCTATTACACCCCTGCCTCCGCCCCTGCCGGCCGCTTGATCCTCCCCAAGCTGTTCCCTGATCTTGCATCCTTCCCCACTGTCGCCGATCTTGTCACTCACCTTCGCGAACTAGAGACTAGCTACCGCGCTGTTAGCACTAAGGCTTGCCTCACTGTCTTTCCGCCGCCACTCTGCGCTACCCTTTATCTCATTGCCACGCGCGTCCCCGACCGCCTAGCCGCAGCCCGCGACCACTTCCTTAGTTAGCACCCGGGTGACCTCACCCTCCCTGCCTTTGACACAGCCCTGTTAGCGATAGTGACCCGCCAGTGCACTATCGCTCAGTCTAGCGGTACTGCGTCGGTCCCTATCTTTCAGGGTTGTTCTCCCTCTCAGTGCTCTTTCCCGAACGTCTCTGTAGCTGTTGCTAAGATCGTTGCTGCGGCCTCAGCGCAGCCGCGTCCGGGTAAGAGCTGCCGCCCCAAGGGGGGGCGTGGTGGAGGGAAGGGGGGTGGGGGTGGGGAGGGTGGAGGAGGTGGGGGTGGGGACGATGGTTTGGACACGGGGACAGGGGCTGGTGCCCCGGAGTGGCCTCAGCAGCAGCAGCAGCAGACTTAGCAGCAGCAGCGGCAGCCGCAGCAGCACTCTTTCTTAGCAGCAGCAGCAGACACCGTGGGGACCCCCGCCGATGTGGTGGACTGGCGGCGCTGGTGGCAGTGGTCGTGGTGGTGGCGGGTGCAGCTCGGTGCCGGCTGGCGGCTCCAGTGCGGTCCCCTGCCAGTACCAGCTTCAGACCGGCCCCCGCCGCGGCACCGTCTGCGACCGTCCCGGTCACACCGCTGCCCGTTGCTACCGCCGCCTGGACGACCTTTTCCGCCACCGCTTCGTTCCCACGGCGGACCCGCTTGACTGGTAAGCCATGGCTCGCCGCCCTGTGCCTTTTTTTGAGCTGGACATGGATCAGATTAGGATTGCTATATCTATCATGCATGTTGATGACTCTAGTGTGATTGGACCCTATTACCCGGTATTGCCTAGCGTAGGTGTATCCCCTGTGTTTAGTCTAGGCTCCCCTGCTGCGTCAGGCGTAGGACCCTTTGCCTTATTTAGCCTAGGCTCTACGCTAGCCCCTCCGCCGGCTGACACTACTGTGCTGCTCTCCTTTATGCTCGACTCAAGCACGTCTGCCTATTTCTTTCACGACCACGCTGCGCTCACGCCGCCTGCTGACCCCTCCTCCGGTCCGGTACTCGCCCGTAGCTCCACTACCCTCCTTTGTCCAACAATCTTCTCGGGCTCTCTTACAGGCCTGCACACTCCCTCGTTCTCTGGGAACCTAGTTGGTGTCGACTGTCTTCAAGACCTTGGCATCACCACTACGTTCCCAGGACACGAGCGGTACGCGGTTTGTACCGAGGCCGCCACCGGTGCCCCTCTGACCACGTTCCCCCGGGACCCTGCGTCTAGCCTGTTTACGCTTGACACTGCGTCCCCCCCGGTAAGGGCGTCCCCCCAAGTGCCTGCAGTGACCGAGGTCGCCGCGGCTTGCTCATGCCAGTCGCTCACTCACCCGTCGCTGCTGTGGCACCATAGCCTAGGTCACCCCGCACTCCCGCGTCTGCGTCACATGTCCCATCACGGTCTTGTCTTCGGTCTCCCTTCGTCGCTCCCTGCCCTCCCTCCCTCGCCTGCGCCGCTGTGTACGCCTTTCGTCGAAGGCTGCCTGCGCCGTGCTCCTCACTCCTCCTCGCTTCCTCCTACCACTACGCCACTCCAGACCCTGCACTTGGGGCCCAGCCCCCGTCCCTGGGCCACGTCGAGAGCGCTAGTTTCTAGTGCTTGTCGACGACTACACGCGCTATACCACGGTGTTTCCCATAGAGCGGAAAGCCAACGTGCCTGACGTTCTTATATCGTGGGTCGTAGCTGCGCGAGCCCACCGCGGTCTCCCAGTTCTTCGTCTCCATTCCGACCGTGGCAGCGAGTTTGCCTCCAGTCGGCTTGGCCAGTTTTGTCGTGCGGAGGGCAACACCCAGTCGTACACCTTGCCGGACTCCCCGCAGCAGAATAGGGTCACTGAGTGACACATTGGCTTGGTCGTGGAGGCGGCTCGCACCTCCACGATCCATGCCGGTGCACCCCATTTTCTGTGGTCGTTCGCTGCTCGCTACGCCGCTCACTAGCTTAGCCTATGGCCATACTTCCAGCGGCCGCATGTTTCGCCGACCCTTCTTTGGACTGGGTTCCCTGGTGACGCGTCTGTGTTCCACGTCTGGGGCTGCCTCGCTCACGTTCGTGCCTCTGGCACGGACAAGCTCACTGCCCGCACTGTACCCTGGGTCTTCCTTGATTTCCCCTTGACGCGTCTGACTGTTACTTATAGCACCCGTCTTCTCACCGCTTCTTTCACTCGCGTGGCGTCACTTTTGATGAGTTTGTCTCCTTCTACCACCGCTTTCCCCACCGAGGTCTCCCGATTTCACCGCCTCTGTTTTTGGTTCCCACTCCCCCGGTAGCCCCTGCTCCTCTCCCTCCCCATCCAGCCCCGTCTGGTGTGTCTCACATTACTCCTCTCCCGTTGGTGGTCCTGGTGGAGGATTCGGCTGACTCCGGGGGGCCCGCGGCTTCGGTTTCGCCGCCCGTCTTCGCCCGGTGTCTCCTCATCCGTCGCCGCAGCCGCAACAGTTGCCGCCGTCGTCGCCGCAGCAGCCGCTGCAGGGGTCCCCACGTTCTTGGGGTGCTAGTCCTGGGGTTACTGTTGTGGCTTGTCCCGGCAGTCTCGGGGATGGCACCGGTGCTAGAGTGGGCTCTTGCTATGGGGGTGCTGGTTCTGGGGGTGCTAGTCCTGGGGTTCCTGTCGTGGCTCGTCCCGGCGGTCCTTGGGATGGCACCTGTGCTGGAGAGGGTTCTCGTTCTGGGGGTGTTGGAGTGGAGCATCCCGGAGGTAGCCGTGGTGTCGGTGGAGGTTCTGGTGTCGGTGTGGCGCAGCAGCAGCAGTCGCAACCGATGTCCGCCCTTCGCCTCATCGGTCTTCCCTCCCCTGACCGCCCGCCTGCGCCTCCCCAGCCGCCGCCTCCCTTGCTTGTCTACGGTCCTGTGTTTCCTCCGTCCGACTCGTCCCTGGCTCGTTTTCCCCGTCTTTCCCCTCCGGTGTCTCCTCCTCTATCTCCTAACCCGACGCCTCCGTCTCACGTTTGGTCTCGCCGTCACTCCCGTGTTGAAGGCGCGCTATGTAACTAGAGGCTTCAGTCAACGCAAGGGTGTTGACTTCTTCCAAACCTTCGCCCCGACTCCGAAGATGGCTACTCTTCGGACACTATTACACGTAGCAGCACAGCGTGACTACGAGTTGCTCTCTCTCGACTTCTCGACAACGTTTTTTCAGGGCAGTCTGCACGAGCAGGTCTACCTGCGTCGCCTGCCAGGCTTCTCCGGCACCTTCTCCACGGGGACCTAGTGGCTCCTCCGGCGCCCGGTTTACGGCTTGCGGCAGGCGCTGCGCGAGTGGCACGCCACGCTTCGTGCTATGTTAGCTGACCTGCAGTTCTTCCCGTCGTCTGCAGACCCCTCGCTCTTCGTTCGTGCTGGCCAGACCCCATTCTACATCCTTGTCTACGAAGGCAAGTGAAGTTGGATCCATCACGCGTGGTACAGTGCATTTCAATTTGTCCAAAATGTGCAATCGATGCGGTTCGGTTCGGTAGTGCTCGAAACTAGATCCAACTTTGCTAGATCCCACTTTGTAGGAATCCACCCTAAACTATACTCAACCAACACCAGAAGAAACTACCTGTAGGTAGCTACTAGCAGACTTGTCCAATCCAAATGCGTATGGCAGTTTAGACATACCCCCTATTACAGCAAGAACTAACATATAATGCAATGCAGTACCCACCGCACCATGAAGGCAGTTGCGACAGGAAGGGAACATAAGACAATATGGTAGCTACCATCATGGCGCGAAACAGTTCTCGAAGGACAGGAGGACGGACAAAGGAGAATACCCATACTCTCAGATGCCTGGGGCTTCTTCGACAGCCTTCTCTCCTAACTCCATGGCTCCACAGCAGGACGAGCCAGCACCAGTACCAGTATGGCAGTACTACAATGGGGCGAAGTTTACTACGTCTGAGCCGCCGCCTTGGGCTTCTTGGAAAGCTCGCTCTCCTTATAGTCCTTTGCCACCACGAACCCCGGGCCCACGTAGCAATCCACCACACTTGTACGCTCCTGCATAAGCACATTACTACTCACCACCGACCCCTGCACCAGGCACCCGTCGCCTATCGTCACATGGTCCATAATCACCGAGTTGACCACCTTCACATGCGCCCCAATCCTGCAGTGCCGCCCAATGATCGACCGCTTGATGCTACTCTTCTCCTCCACGGAGCTGCCCTCGCCCACCAGGCAATGCGGGCCTATCGTTGCCTTAGCCGCCAGACTCACACTCTCGTGTACCGCAGCTGCTGCCGCCACCCCCCCTGCTGCTACCTTTCCCGCTCCTGCCACCCCTCCGGCTGCACTCAACCCTCCTGCTCCTGCTCCTCCTGCCGCGGCAGCAGCAGCGGCAGCGGCGGCAGTGGTGGAATCAAGGCCGGAAGCAGAGGAGGGTAGAAGGGTGAGGGTGGGCGGGCGGGCGGCTATGGCGTGGTTAAGCTCCACGTACGACTGGAGACTGTCTACAGAGAACCAGAACGTCCCTTTCTTTGCTATAAACGCACTGCACCGGCTATTAGCGCCACCGCCGCTGCTGCTGCCGCTGCCGCTGCCACTGCCGCTGCTGCTGATGCTGCTGATAAGCATGGGGTTTCCTAAGCTCCCACTGTTCACCAGCATAATCCCTCCTCCTCCCCCTCCTCCTCCTTCTCCCCCCACTCCTCTCCCTATTCCGATGGCACTAGCGCCACCACCGCCAATGCTGCTGCCGCCCCCACCATCACCGCCGCTGCTGCCGATACCAGAACCTCCACCACCCCCGGCCCCGCTGCCGCCACCGCCACCGCCAGCCTCGCCGTCTGCTGGGACGCTCCCCCCTCTGCCTGTTCCTGGGCCGTCCCTCGATCCGCTGCCGCCGCCGCCGGATGCGGCGGCTGCGGCTACAGGAGACACTAGCCCTGCGGCGGCGGTGGCAGCCGCAGCTACCGGCAGGCCGGCAGTCGGCGGGAGGAGCGACGCGAGGAGCAGCTGCCGGCGCGGCTGCAGATCGCGGACGAAGGCCGGCAGCACGTCTCGACGCAGGCAGGACAAGCCGGGCTGCGACTCCAGGAAGCTCTGGAGGGCGGCTCGACGAAACGCGTAGACTCGCGAGTCGATTAAATCCGCGCATAGGTCCACGCGCCCTTCGGTCTCTAGGAGGGCCCGGCGGAGCGCAGTCTGACGGGGAACGCCGCCAGCGGAGTTAGAACCGGGTTGGAAGATTAAGAGGCGCTTTCCTGACGCGTCTAGGCCGACTAAGTCAGGACTGCCCGCACCGCTCTTCCCGCCAGACTTGCCGCCAGCACCGCTTTTCCCGCCGCTTCCGCCGCCGCTGGCTCCTCCCTTTTTCCCCTTGTCGCCCGCCCTGGCATCCCCTCCGCCTCCAGCAGCCCCCCCGGCGCCGCCGTCTGATCCACCGGCTAATCCATCGCGGTCGTTAAAGACGACCGTCAGAGCGGCCTCTTCCCGCCGGTGAGCGGCGGCGACGGAGCCTAACGGGACGTCAGATAGGACGTCTGCGAAGAGGACGAGGAGATCGTGGACGTCGGCGATGCGGTGGAAGATGCTCCGAAGCGCATCGGCTGATCCGACGGCTTCGGAGACGACGGCGATTTCAAGGCCGGGCAGCCGTTCGTGAAAGTTTTGAGCTACCCAGCCAGAAACTCGGGATGCGGCTGCTGAGTCAGCGCCCACGATGACGAGTAGGACGGATTGCACGTTGCAGGATTCGAGGAGCTCGAGGTTGTAGGAGAGAAGAGGGCGGCCTCCCACTGGGAGGAGGACACGTGGCAGTTCATCCGACGTCAGCGGATACAGCTGATTGTCGTCGGCGGGGATCAGGAGAACGGCCTGGAAGGTCCGTGAGCCACCCATTGCTGACGACGGTGCTTAGACGTCAAACTATTTTTCCAATGGGAGGTTTGCCGCGAAAGCGCGGCCTCAGAACGAGCTGTGCCTGCAGCCTAAACAGGTATGGGGCTTTGGCTACTAATGCCCTAACCCCAGCGAGCCCACAGATCTTAGTCCGCCCTAAGAAAGCTGTCTGCTTATAGTGATCTCCGCCCCACATGTAGCTTCACCACGAGTGCGTATCTACGGGCACGGGTTCAGAAGCATAAACATAGTATAAATAAAAATGAGATTTAGACAATAAACAGAAAATACACATGAATAACATCCTATTTTGCCCTGGATAAATTTCCAGATAGGCATGAAGAATTTCAGACATTAATTGAATAGAACAGAACCCACGTGTGACATGATGGGCTTGTAGAGAAAAAAAAAATCAGGTCAGGAGGATCGGCAAGTGCAAACAGGAAAGAATATTACAACACCTATAATAAAATCCAGAAAATGGATCCTTAAAAGATTTTAGAAAAAAACTATTAGTGGAAAATGACAACACCCATGAAACAAACCGTGCCTAGTTAATAATTTAGTCAACATCATAACGAGCTAATAACCACCCACAGAATGGCAGGCAAAGCAACAGTTTTTTCACCAACTACACATGAATTTCTGTTCAAGCATATTTGTTTTTTAAACGGTTTATCCAGAATCGAGCGCAAACCTTTAACGGGCGAAATGGGCCAATATAGGGTAGTCTGGTTACTTCATTGGCATTTTCCATTTTAAAGCGGATGACCATTGTTGTTTCTTTTGCGTTCCTCGGTCAACAGTGTGAGGCCTCAGAACGTCCCGTCTGCACGTTTGGAGTATCTGTATCAGATGTGGTAACTGATTGAGTTTATTGGGCCTCTGTGGGTTGGGCCGTTGCCCGTGTGTTTGAACCAGTAGGCTTGAAAATATACACTTAGCGTCTATTGAATGAGCAGTTCGCTGGAATAAAGGTGTAAACTGTGCTGGATGGAACCTCGTGACGAGGTTGTCCTCAGTGCTGGCGGCTTGGGGGCAGGCCTCTCCTTCTCGGGGTGTCGTTTCCGATTCATTAGGGTGTAGTGTTTCAAAACCCTCCTTCTAGAAGCACGCTGGCCCAGGGTTGAGCCGGCCAAAATTAGGCCTGGTGTTCCAACTTTCCGGCAGATTTGGGGTTCCATTCCTTATCGCCCAGCTATGGCAAGCCTCCCTCGGAAGTTACCCAGCTCAGCGATCAAGAGCCAGTTTTCGTATACTCCACAGCCAGACATCCTACCCACTTCCCCCAAAACCTCCCCCCCCCCTCTCCCCCGAACTGTGAAAATTCGGCTAACTCCCCCACAGACAGACGCAAGCCCCTCCCACACCCTCCTCCCATCCCTGACTTTCGGCCAAGTCCTTGATGCCAGCACAGAACTGACGAGAACAGAGTTTGGGAGAACACACTGCAATATGCCTTTTTACATAAATACCCTACGAAACATGGTTTGGTAGCGCAATTCTCCCTGATTCCACCCTGCTCTATCCTCCTGCCTGGCTTGGTCAGGTGGCGGGCGGGGGAACCCTGAAAAGGCAGGGTGGCCAAAATCCCTTTGGGGTGGGGACCTGTTTGAGGGAGCTCCCTTTCGGTTTTGTGCCGCCTTGTCAGACGTAAGGTTTGGGCCTGTTCTACCCCGATTCCTAGATAGCTCCGCGATTTTTGAATGAACAGGGGAGACAAACGAAGTCAGAGAGAGTGATTGTTTCGAACTCGGACCTGTAATGCGGCACTGGCGTCCACGGGTACTTGCGGCGCCTCCCTCGAGATTGGAGAAACCACTTTTGTTGTCCTTCAGGCAGCGAGCTCGAGGGCACCTGGTCTGATACTGCGCGTGTAGTCAGGCAATTTTGGGGAGGATACTACGAGACACGAGAAAAAAGAAATCACAATGCGCATTGGATAGGGTAGCTACACAGCGCCTCTAGCCAGGGGACCCTGTCCCCAAACCCTTGAACTTGGGGCTGGGTCTCGGGAACGTGGAGCTTGGCCGTTGGCTCCACCTTGAGCTTGGTTTGAGCAGTGGTTTGGAGACTTGGTACTGTTGAACGAATGGAGCCTGTGGAAGGGAGGGGAGAAAATCTTTGCAAGGAAATCGAATTGTGCCAGCAGCACCAGTTGACAAGGCAAACTGAACAATCTACAGGTGAAGGTGGGATGGTCGGTGGTTGAGTGGGTTGGGGGCATGGTTGGCAGCTCTCTGCTCTACTCTGCCTCTGCCTCTGTCCCAGAGCTTACTTTTGGTTTTAGGCAACCCTTACAAATTCGGGCTCATGGGAGCCAAAACTTTAATTTTCAGGGACAAGATGAGCCGTACCCCTGATTTTGTATCGGCCACCTGGGTCTCCCGCCCTAGGCTCGTTGGAGGATCATGCGGTTTCGCTAAGATAGGAAATGGGACTGCTAGGTGGAGGATAGATTCCACACACTTGCTACTTCAGTACTAGTGCACTCGGGGAAGCAGAGTCATCACAAAGTCTGAAGGCCTCATCCAGAGCTCAGCCCTAATCTTCAGGGCTCGAAAAGTTCATCCCTTAAATTTCCCGGCTTTCATAAAAACTTTCCTTCATTCGACCCAAATTCAGGGTAGTAACCCTTGAAACTTTAGCCCTGCTCTGTCCCTCCCTCCGTCCCTCCCGTGGACTCCTTACCTCCTCTCCTCTCCTCTCCTCACCCCAGCAAGCCTGCGCCAACGACACAGCAGCACGTTCTGCTAAAACGTAGGGCATCAGGCGGCGGTGCCACGCCGGTTGCACGGCTGCTGTTCCTCTGAACAGGATGAGTCCACGAGTACCACTCGCAGCAGAGGTTATGTTGCCGTTGACTCGATTTTGTTCCTGAGGCGCCCAAAGAAACATTATCATACTGCACCAGTGGATGCCAGTGAAGCGCGACGAGTACTGCTACTAGTAGCAACAGCCTGAGGGGTATGCCGATGGCGATGAATCAATTCTGATGCTGTTCCCTGATCCCCAGTTCTTGGGCCCGTCCAGGCTGCGATTAGTTGGACGACTATTACTCTGGAGTACTCAGCAGGTGCTGAGTTCGGACTCACCTATTCGGGATAACTTATCCGGGCCGCCGGATCGCACCGCTGGTGGTACTCAGCACGAGGTGTTCGTTCGGACTCTCCTTTTCGGGATAACTTATCCGGGCCGGATCGCACCGCTGATTCTTGCCTTGAGGAGTCGTTACACCGAGTCTTAGACAATCGCACCCGTTACAGGAGCTACTGCTCCGCATACCGCATCGCAGCCGTCCGTCCTCGTTTAGGATACCGAGTCGCTCGATACTACCGTGATGGGATCGACTGGTACCGCGACGAGGCGGCTCGGTCTTCATGATGTCAGCGCTCTGAGAGTGCTGATGCTGCTGTTACTGCTGGCTTCCATGCAATGTCGCGTGCTGCGAGCTCGCTTGGCGGAAGGTACGGAAGGAGTACATATTACAGTAGTAGTACGTTATGGCAAGACTATCTCAATTCTCACCCTTTTCTCCCTCCTCATCTACCCCTCCCCTCCATCCATCCATCAAACTAGCCGAGCATAGTTCGCCTAAGCCATCCATCCTGCCCTGAACTCACTATCACCATCACCATCACAACCACTAACCCAACTATCACTACCTTGGGAGCAGAATCCCGTCGGCGTGACTCCCGCCCCTCTCCCCCCCTCCCTTTTCCCGTTCTCCTCCACACTTCTTGCAATCTTCTCCTTTTCTCTCCTTCCCATGCGCCGCTCTGAAACGTGAGACCTCGTCACGCCCTACTCTCTCTTTTATTAAGGCCCAACCCTTTATCTATCCCTTCCCGACTCCCCCCCTTCTGTCCCCCCCTCCCGCCAACAACTCATCCCCGTCTTCTCTCCCCACCACCCCGTCACCTGCCCCCCCTCCTCCCCTCCCCCTCTCCCCCCTCCCGCGCTCCTCGTCCCTGCCCATTCCCCGTCCCTCGCCTGCCCTTTATTCCAGGCGACGTCTCTCCCAGGGTGTACATAGTTCGCCTGCGCTCTGCGCCTGCCACCGTTGCCTACACTGGCGGCATTCCAGGCTACCCTGCCACTGCCCCTACCGCTTCTGCTGATGCTGCTGCTGCTGCTGGTGCTGGTGTTGGTGCGGATGGCGTAGCAAGCTCAGTAAGGGGAGGTGGGGGACAAGGAGCAGCAGCAGCAGCAGCAGCAGCCGAATTCGAGCCCTTAAGTTCTGTCGGTTCACAGAGAGTAGAATGGCCTCGTTGGAATCGGCGCCCGCGTCCCCGTCCTCCGCCCCCTCCCCGCCCCCGCCTCAACATCCGAGCGCCACACGTGCGCGCATTCGCCGCCATGCTCTCCAGGCAGCATCGCAAGGTGGCGCGGGACATAAAGATCCCTGCGCGCAACCTCCTGCACAGCTACACATACACCAGCAACGGCTTCTCCGCCCTGCTCACCCCGGCCCAGTTCCATCAACTGCAAAAGCACCCCATGGTGGCGGATATTCGGCCCAGTGTGTTGATCAAGCAGCTGACTACGGACTCGCCTAGGTTTTTGAAGCTGCCTGGGTCGCTGTGGAGGGTTGAGGGGGGGCGCAGGAGGGCGGGCGCGGGCGTGGTGATTGGGGTTGTGGACACGGGGATCTGGCCCGAGCACCCCTCGTTCCGCAAGAACGTGAGTGCCTCCTGTGTGACGCCTAGTGTACTTCCGTTGTCGTGAGCCCTGTCGCTCTTCCCCCTCCCTTATTCGTCTCTCTCGCTCTCTTACGGTTTCTCTCCTCTTCTTTATCTGTCTCATAATCTCTCTTACGGTGTCTCCTCTTCTTTATCCGTCTCAATCTCTCTTACGGTGTCCTCCCTTCCTTATCCGTCTCTCCATCTGCTCTTCCCTCCCTCCCTCCCTCCCTCCCTCCCTCGCTCACGCAACAAGTTCCAGCCCGTCTCTCAACTCTTTTTTTCTATCAGTGCACTAATCACCCATCCGCAACCTCCTCCCCACACACCCTCCCTCCCTCCCCCCCTACCCCCCCCCCGCAGCGCTCGTCCTCGGCGTCAGCCCCGCCGAAGCACTGGGCGGGCTCGTGTGTGCGCACGGCGGACTTCAAGGGGTGCAACCGCAAGCTCATCGGCGCGCGCTTCTTCCTGGCGGGCTTTGCGGCCTCGGGCTACTCCATCAGCCCCACGGGGGACTTCCTCTCGCCCCGCGATACCAACGGCCACGGCACATGGTGTGCCGGGTGAGTGCTGGGTTGTGTGGGCGAGTGCGTGGGCGAGTGGGTGGGCGAGTGCGTGGGCGAGTGGGTGGGTGAGTGGGTGGGTGAGTGGGTGGGTGAGTGGGTGGGTGAGTGCGTGGGTGAGTGGGTGAGTGGGTTGGTTGGTGTGTAGGTGAGTGGTTTGATGAGTGCCAAGGAGGAATGGCCCGAGGTCAGGTGGTTGGATAGAGGGGGGTTGTGTTTAAAGCTGTAGAAATTACCTAACTGTGGAACCCTCGTTAGTGAGTGGTACTGGGGTAGCGTGTGGGTGGGTGGGTGGGTGGATGGGTGGATAGTGGTGTGGTGGTGGTGGTGGTGGTGGCGGAATGGTGCACTCTCCCCATCATGGCTAGCGAACTAGCTAGCGATCGAGTCAGACAAAGAGTGTGCTGGCATTCTAACAACAACACATACCCACGTTTCCGTCCCTCACTCCCTCCCTCCCTCCCTCACTCACTCACTCCCTTTGCAGCACTCCCACATCCAATTATCCCCTCTTGTATCCATTACCTCTTCCCATCTTCCCCCTCTTACTCCCTCCTCTCCCTCCTCTCCCCCCCTCCCTCCCCACAGTGCGGCAGCAGGCAAGCACGGTGTGAGCGTGCGCCCCCCCCTGCGCTTCTCCCCAGGAGCCGCCAGCGGCATGGCGCCCGGCGCGCACCTCGCGGTGTACAAGGTCTTCTGGCAGGAGGCGCAGACAGGCGTGCTCTTTGCCACCTCGTCCGACGTGGAGGCCGCAGTGGATGCAGCAGTGGCGGACGGAGTGGATGTGCTGAGCCTGTCGCTGGGCGCGCTGGACCCCAGCGCCACCTACTTCTCTGACCTCACCTTCCTCTATGCGCATGCGGTCAGTGCACGCGGCAGAGATAGGGGAGAGCGAGAGTGAGAAAGGGAGGGGGCTGGGTGGGCAGAGAGGTGGAGAGAATGCGAGTTCTTTGGGCCTATATAGGAGTTCATGTTTTGGTGGGGAGCGGGAACTCTTAGGTGATTTTTGAGTCGACTAAAAAATCACCTGTGGGGAGCGGGAACTCTACCTCCGTCCAAGGCAGTGTACGCACTAGCAGTGGCACAAGCAGTGGTCCATGTTTGTGCGAGTGTGAGTTGGGAGGGGTACGAGTATACTCATGCAGCAGAAGGAGAACTCCAATACTGTCTCCTTTGAACCCTTTTGCTGCTGCCATCGTATTTGGGAGTGGGTACCAGGGTCAGCATCGGCATCAGCATCATTATCAGCATCGGCATCATGACCCCTCTGTTGCTCCTTCCTGCATGCCTGCGCTTGTCGTCACACATGTCACTCGCCTCACACGCATCGCTCTCCTCATTCCCGTGCAGGCGGGCACAGTGGTGGCATTTGCAGCAGGCAACGATGGCAGCCCAGGAAGCGGCTACCCGATCTACCGCACTGTCTGCAACTTCTCGCCTTACTATCTCACCGTCGGTGCCAGGTGAGACGCCTCACTTTCTCCCTCTGGCAGATTCTCTTTTGCTCGTTCCTGCTTTTCGTTCCTTGTCCATTCCTCGTTGCTTGTTCTAATCCGTCCAGTTTCCATGTTTCCTCATTTTCTTTCAACAACAGCACCATCAAGAGGAGAAAGAAGAGAGGGCTCTTTCCTTTCCGATCCGCTGGGTTCAAGTTCGATTTGCGGCTCAAAGCACAGGAGAGGAGGCTGGGCTCTCTGGGTTGGTGTGATGACGATGATGTCGATTACGATGACTGCAGTGGCAGCCACGCAGCTGATATCGTTCTAGGTAGTGCTGCTGCCTTCACGTCTGCTTCTGCTATTGCAGCTGCTGCCAGTACAGCTGGTGCTGCTGCGGCCGCTGGGCGTACGGAGGCTGCTGCAGTTGGTCCTCCCGCTGCAGGTTCAGCTGTCACTGCAGCCAACACGAGCTGGCCAAGCTCGGGAGGCACAGAGGGCGTCGAGCCAACTGAGAGACTTCAGACGCTTGAGAGTATCCAGAGCACTGGAGGCGCTGAGCCTACTGCTATGCCTGCTCCGTATCGTCCAGGCAGAGGTGGGGAGTTAACAGCAAGGGAGTTAGCAGCGCAGTGTGTGCCAGGGTGGGTGGATTGTGCAGCAGTGAAAGGCAAGGTGGTGGTGTGCAGCAGCAGCGGCAGCAGCAGCGGCAGCAGCAGCGGCAGCAGCAGCGGCAGCAGCAGCGGCAGCGGCAGCAGAGCCATTTCTGTGGCCCAACAGGTGGCGGCACTGGCTGCCTGCCAAGCCAAGGCCGTGGTGTTCCTTCCTGGCAGGGAGCCGGCTGCTTCTGCTGCAGGTGCACTCACCGTGCTTGATGACAATGCCACTACTGCCAGCGCTGCTGGCGCTGGAGGTGGTGGCAATGGTGATGCTGCCACTGCTGCTGCCGCTTCAGCTGCTGACACAGTCAGAAGCAGTCCTGTGTTGGTTGACTCGTATTCCTTGCCGGTTTTGCGGCTCGATACTCGTTCTGCAGTTCTGCTTCACGCATTCCTACGGGGAACCAAGACCAGGTCAGTCAGTACAGCCACATTCCTCACTTGGAATCACCTCCTCACCCTCTTGTGACCATTGATCTGCATTGACCTGCATTGACCAGCGTTGAGTGCTTTACCCACTTACCCCTTTCTTGCCCTGCCATTGCCTTTCTTTACTCTTTTTTCCCACTGCTTGCCCCCCTGGGATATCCTCAAGCACTCACCGTTCTTGTGGAAACACCCCATCAACTCACTCGTCTCATCAACTTCCTTTCCCCTCTCTTCCTTCCCCCTCCCTTCCTTCCCCCTCCCTTCCTTTCCCCTCCCTTCCTTCCCCCACTCTTCCTTCCCCACCCTCCCGCACCCTGTCAACTACAACCCCCTTCACCCTCTCTCGTTTCCCTGACATGCCAGAGCCACTGCTGCGACCATAAAATCCATTATTTCCGTTTCCAACATGGCTCCCGCTGTCCCATATTTCTCCTCCACGGGCCCTCTCGCTCCCGCCGACGACGCCCCCTCTCCCCCCTACCCCTCCAACGACATCCTAAAGCCCGACATTCTCGCTCCGGGCGTGCGCCTCTGGTCCGCCGCTCCCGGAAAGAGCGGCCTCATTTTCCGCCGCGCCGCCTTCGCGAAGATGTCGGGGACATCCATGGCCACGCCGCACATTGCGGGGATCGCAGCGCTGCTGATGCAGCGCCACCCCACCTGGACCCCCGCCCAGGTCATGTCCGCAATAATGACCACCGCCAGCACGCAGAATAATAGAAGCGGGAGAATAAGGGCGACGGGGGGGAGGTCTGCGACGCCGTGGGACATGGGCTCGGGGCATGTGAACCCGCCTGGGCTGCTCGATCCGGGCCTGACGTACGACATTTCCGTCCAGGATTTCAAAGATTTTCTCGCCGGGCAGAATCTTTCCCGGGCGAAGGTGGAGTGGCCGTCCGACGCGTTCACACCGACTGCGGCTTATGATCTCAATAGGCCATCCATTTCGGTGAGCCGCTTGTCGGGGTCGGTTACAGTAACCCGGTATGTTACAAGTGTTTATTCGGCAACAACGGTCTACACTGCAATTGTGCAAGCTCCGGCCGGCGTTGCAATTGATGTTGACCCGGGGAGCTTCACTATTGCACCGGGGGAGACGGTTTCGTACACGGTGTATATTCAAGTCCTGCAAGTGCGTCGCGGATTCTCTTATGGGAGCTTGACATGGCGGGACAATAAAAGGCACGTGGTTCGGTCACCAATAGTTGTTCAACCAATTGCCGTCTGAAAATGTAAAGTCTGATGCGTGTATTATATTCGTTGTGAGGTTTCGTTGTCTGTGGTGGAACCCATTTATCCTGCTCCCTCAATTCTTCAACTCCCCCATTACTACCAGCATTGTCCCACTTGCTCTCAGCATATAAGCATGAAAAACCGTTGATATGTCAACTGTAGAAGCTGCCGTGCAGTCAGCTGGGATTTGAGTCGTATCATATGGCGGATGCGCGTGCCTGCCACCGTCAACATGAGTCATATCATAGGCGGAGTATATGTGCGCGTTAGTGACCCATCTCACCACCCAAATGGCCTTCTGGCGCTCGCCGCAAGCCGAATAGCGAAATCGGCTCCTCTTCACGCTCGTGTCCTGAGTGTCGTCAGCCGCTACTCTTAATTTCGTGTAGCAGCTGCTATGGCCTCTGGGGTTGCCAGTGGTGGTGGCTGTGGGGCCGTGTGCTGCCTGGCTCGGCGCGCCGTATCGTCATCCAGAGCGCGCCAGTCGCGCACCTTCTTAGCGCGTATAGCTTTCCCGCTTCCCGCTTCTGCCGGGCCGCCTACGGTTGCACGACTCGCGTCGTTAGACCCGTTACTAGCCTCCGGCTCTGCCTCTGCCGTTGCCGTTGCCGTTGCAGGTTCCCCTTATTGCGAATCCCCGTCACCGTCCGCCGTTTCCGCCGCCGCGACAGCTCGTGTACGCGATACAGGAACATCCCTTTTTAGGTCTCGCGCGCAACCCCTCGCCTCTCGCTGTGCGATCGCCATTGTCGCCAGGCGACGCGTATGCGACCACGATCATCAGCCCAGATCACGAGCGTTCAGTCCTGCCCGCGTATGCGGCCGTTCTTTGATCATGCCAAGGGCCGTCTCCCACCACCACCACTGGAACCACCTCCACCGCCACCACCATGTTATTTGCCTCCGACCGAGGGCCTTCTCCACATGTGTTGCTTCTGCTGCCGCTCAGCGCGAAGGTAGACCTCCTGGTACTGTAGCTGATCGTGAGCGGGAAACGGGTCGAGCTGAAGCGGGTACGGCTGATGCGTGGTGGGAGGGGGAGGGGGGCCAGGAGGAGATGGCGAGAGCGAGAGAGGAAAATGGGGATGCGTGGGAGGGGTTCGGGGAGAGGGGAGAAGGGGAAGGCGAGGGGGAGGAGAGAGAGGAGGGAGGACGAGGGGGAGGGAGGAAGAAGAAAGGGAAGAGGAGGGGGTCGAGTGGTGTGGAAGAGCAGGGGGGAATTGTGGGAATTGAGGAGTGGAGTGAGAGTGGGAGTGAGGGGTGGAGTGCGAGGGGGAATGAGGGGTGGAGCGGGAGAGGGAGTGAGAGAGGGAGTGAGGGAGGGAGTGAGGGAGTCGGTTCCTCCTCTGCAGCGGGCTTCCTATCTCTATCGGACGCGCATCTGCTGCAGCAGTGTGACGTGGACACATACAGAGCGTCGGGCCCGGGGGGGCAGCACCGCAACAAGACAGAGTCTGCCGTCCGGATCAGGCACAAGCCGACGGGATGCGTGGCCCAGGTGATATGCCCCTCAAGAGTGCGTGCGTGTGTGCCTGTATGTGTGTGTGCGTGCATGCGTGCATGCGTGCGTGTGTCTGTACTCGCGCGCGCATACGCCCCCATCACCCCATCCCCTCCCTCTGACCACCATCGGCTCCTTTGCCCTCCCTCGTTGACCCCTCGCATCCCCATCTCCCTCTCTCTCTCACCCATCCCTCTCCCACCCATCCCTCTCTCCCCCGTCCTTCCCCCCTCTTCTGCCCTGCCAGTCGTGTGAGCAGCGGTCGCAGCACATGAATAAGGCCACGGCCTTGGTCCGCCTCCGACAGGCCATTGCCCTCACAGGTGGCTGCTGCCTTGGTGCCTTGCTGTCTTGCTGCCTTGCTTTCTGCCTTGCTTGCTGCCTGAACAGTCCTTGACTATATCAGGGGCATACATTTAAGGCAGGGCAACACACCAACCAACACAAGTAAGTCTAGGAGGCCGGAACTTCCCCTTAGGGGAGCTCCCCCTCGGGTTCCAGGGTGTGCATTGGGGTGCCGAGGTCCATGGGCTCTGATGAGCCCCCGTCGGGCCACGCCTCGGTGGCAAGAGCCAAGTTGCTCTTGGTGTTGAGGGCAACGGCTTGCCCGCGCTGCAGGGTGATGGCCCACCGCTGCCGGTAGGTATGGAAGATCTTTGCCGTCTCTCGGGACGAGGGGGCGTCATTGTGGTGGCGCTTGGCGGAGAGCACGGCGCATAGGCGGAGGAAGGCTAGGACCCCGGGTGCGTTGCAGCCGTAGGACTCGACGGCCAAGGGGAAGAAGCCGACCCACTCCGGTCTCGCCGGAGGGGCGTACTTCACCTCCTTCTCGCGGACTTTGAGGGCAGCGGCATACCCAGTCCCCCGCCGAGCTGGCTTGTCGATGGCTTGGATGGGGTAGGTGACGACGCCGTCGCACAACCACACCGCCCCCGTGGAGGGGTGGCGGATGGCGACGTCGGCCTTGAGGCCCGAGACTTGAGTGACGATGGTGGTCTCGGTCCGGGTGATGAACCCGGCCTCCTTGGCGATGCTGGCCGCTTCGTCACGGAGGCCGTGGTGGGTAGCGATGCGGCCCAGGCTGTTCTCACAGCAGAGGAGGTGGTTGGGCAGCCATGGTCGTCAGTGGTTACTTGCTTGGGGCAGTCGCACACCCCGAGGACCGTGTGCGGCAGGCCGAGGCGAAAGGCGACAGCGAAGGAGAAGTGAGGTGGGCCGAGGCGGAGGGCGGGTGTGAACGAGATGGCGAGGAGCCAGTCCTCCGCGCCGGGCCCAAGGAGGGTGAGTAGCTGCTGCGTGTGCCCCATGCGGGGTTAGAATGAAGGCGGCGGCTCTCTTCCGGGAGGGCGGTGAAGCGGGAGGCATGGACCTCAAGTGCCAGGGCCTGCTGCACCTTGGGCAGATCCGGTGACCCCCGAGCCTCACGAAGGGTGGCGGCAGCGGCTGCCGGCAGCTGCCCCTCCAGAGAGGCGAGGAGACGCTGCAGCGGAGCGGCTGCGTCGGCGGCGGGCTCGAAGAGGGGAGGAGGTTGGCGAGCTTGCTGCCTCGCTTGCTGCCTTGCTTGCTGCCTCGCTTGCTGCCTCGCTTGCTGCCTTGCTTGCTGCCTTGCTTGCTGGCTGGCTTGCTGCCTTGCTTGCTGCCTTGCTTGCTGGCTAGACATGGGCAAAATGCGATTGCGATTTAAATCGCATCGCATTGGGGGGCGATTTAATTAAATGCGATGCGATTTTAAATCGCATCCCCCGATTTAATTTCTGGAAAAAAAAAATTCGCACATCGCGTTTTGCGCGTGATGAATATAAAAAACGCATGCGGTATTTAATTAAACCGCACGATGCGATTTATAATCGCATCGCGTTTTAAAATAGAATGAAAAAAACACCAAAAAAACCAGGAAAAAACCATGGCTGCCGGGAAATTGAATCACGGACAGTTGTGGTTTCAAACTGGATTTCAGAGTGGGTTTCAGTGCGACATTGCGCTCGATAAAAATAATAATCGCACATCGCATTGAAATCGCGTTTTTTAGCGTGATTAAAATGCGATTTAAATTAAATCGCGCGATAAACTATTCATCGCATCGCCGATGAAAAAAAAAAAATAAAAAAAAATCGCAATCGCAAAAACGCCATTAAATGCGATGCGATTTTTTTTGCCCATTTCTATTGCTGGCTCGCTTGCTGCCTTGCTTGCTGCCTTGCTTGCTGCCTTGCTTGCTGCCTTGCTTGCTGTCTTGCTTGCTGGCTGGCTTACTGCCTTGCTTGCTGCCTTGCTGGCTGGCTCCCTTGCTGCCTTGCTTGCTGCCTTGCTGGCTGGCTCCCTTGCTGCCTTGCTTGCTGCCTTGCTGGCTGGCTCCCTTGCTGCCTGGCTCCCTTGCTGCCTTGCTTGCTGCCTTGCTTGCTGCCTTGCGTGCTGCCTTGCTTGCTGCTTTGCTTGCTGGCTTACCCTCAAAAGATTACAGTTTTTCATGTATGCATGCATGCATGCACACCCCCATGTGCCCACACACGCACATGCACATGCATCCACACACGCACAACACCCACAGAAGCGCACTTGTGTCCCCGCTGTACTCAGCGCCACATGCTCATACGTAGTCTTCGTGAGCCCATGGTCCCATGCCCATGCACATTCATCACTACCACTTTCACAAACCATCCTGTCTGCTCATCTGTCTCCATCTGTCTCATCTGTCTCCACGTGTCTCCACGTGTCGCCATGCCTGCAGTGCGCACCCCCATCAACCTGCCCTCCTACGAGCCCTCTCTCGATCTCCTCCGCATTCTGCCCCGCTCCGCCTCCAACTCCAAGCCTCAGCAGCGCCCGTCTAAGGCCGACGCTGCTGCCACTCAACCCCAGGCTGCAGGAGGGTCTGGTGGTGGGGATGCTGCTGCCACCAGCAGTGGTGGCACTGGCAATGGTAGTGGTAGTGGCGGTGGCGGTGGGGGGGGGGTGGGAGCAGTGGTGGTAGTGGCAGTGTGAGCAAGGTGGCGGGCAGGAAGGTGAAGGACCGGATCGGCCCGAATCATGCTGAATTTCACAAGGTGCATGGATGATGGATGGGCGGTGCATTGTGCCATGAGGCTGTGCATGGTCTCAACTTTGTCCTGCCAATTCACCGAGATGCACTCACAACCCCCCTCCCCATCCACCCATCCAACCATCCAAACATCCACCCATGTATGCATGTGCATGAGCCAGGGCGCCAGTGAGCTTCTGGATGTGTTATCAGCCCATGATGGGAACGTCTCTGCTACAGCCGCCACTCTAGGGTCCGTATCCAATCTTCATGTAACTGTCGCATCAATACCACCGTATTACCACCTCATCTTCATTCCCATGTCATTGCATCCTCGTTGCAAGTACCCCGCCTCTCTCTCTCTCTCTCTCTGCCTCTGTTCGCGCTGCCTTCACTCCTGTGTCCTGCACAGCATGCATGCATAAGTATAAATATATACATATATATATATATATATATGATTTCGATTTGTATATATGCATAAGACACTAAGCGATTCACATGGTACTGTGCTGCTATCCTCTTTCCGTACGTTTGGCCTGTTATGTGCTCCCCTATTCCAAACATAACTGCCTCTCCACTCGCACCCCCCACCACGGCATCTCCAATGGCGCCCTGTCCAACCAAGCTGTTCGTATCCTTCATTCAGCGCTAAGCCCTGTTCAAGCTCCTCAGACTCCCCCTGTTCAAGCCCTGTCCGCACTCCACTCACCAAACCCACCCACCCCCCCACTTCCCCCGCCCTGTATAGCATCTCCACTGGAGCCCTATCCAAGCTGCTTCTATCCGACAGGGGTCTCTTGCAGCGAGCCAATGAGCTCAGAGCCACCGAGGTGAGCTTGTGGATCGCAAGGTACTGCGTCGTGTACACTCGCTCCTCTGTGCCTTGAAGCCTACTAGGAAGGTTAAGGAAGAGAGTATATTCCTACTACAAGTATGATGTGCGTGCAGCATGCAAGTTGCAACGCAGTATGGAATGGGACAAAAACTCGCTTGGCACAAGGCCCTCATCATGAGGCCCTCATGCAACCATCTCTCCATCCTCTACTCGCCCCCCCCCCCCCCCCTCCCCCCCTCCTCCCCTCCCTGCCCTCTGACTGCTTTCCTTTTCTGCATGCCTGCTGTTGGTATCCAACTACAGGGCTTGAAGCCTCTCAGATGAAACTAGGGTACCGAACCTCTCTCTCACCTAAGCATGCTATGGTGTACAGCAGCTGTGCTTGCGGGATGAATTGCACTGCATTGTGATACGGAGTTACAGGCAGGCACTCACTGCCATATGCATCATGCTGATTTGCATTGAGGAAAAATTATCGTACGGTACCTGTTTTAGGGCACATGTAATTCGTGAGCACCCTTTTTCACTACCACCCTGTGCGAGGGGGCTCGTAGAAAACACCAGACTATACCATGCCATGCCATATCAGCACGGACTATACCGTACCGTGCCATATCAGTGCAGGTTGCCATGTGGCAAACTTGTGGTTTGATAGCAGTAGCTTTGATTGAAGTGTGAAAGGTGCGGTGGGCATTTCATGCAACGTCCCTTGCTCATTGCTGGAACGCCCTCAAAGCAAACGAATGGGTGGTGGTTCACTAAGGACCTTTAATCATTGGATGGATGCAGGCACACCAATGGCTGATTGGAGTGGGTGGGGGTTGATTGGAGTGAAGGTTGATTTGAGTGGAGAATGATCTGACTGGGGGTTGACCAATGGCAAGGAGGCGGGAAGGAGGTGGGGGGAGTGACGGTGGAAGGAGGGGAAGAGGGAGGAAACACAAAAAGAAACGGCTAGGCAGGGATTGAAGACAGAGGGGGGGCACGAAGCTAGGGCAAGGAGAGGGAGAGAAACTGGGGGAGGAAGGAAGTGAGGAAAATCTGGGGAGGCAGGAAAGGAGTGAGGGAGCAAAAGCAGAGGGAGGGGGAAAAGCAGGATAGACTTGGGGAGGGAAGAAGGGAAGGAGGGAGCAGGGGAGGGAGGGAGGGAGGGAGGGGGGGAGGGAGGGAGGGAGGGAGGGAGGGGGGGAGGGAGGGGGGGGGAGGGAGGGAGGGAGGGAGGGAGGGAGGGAGGGAGGGAGGGAGGGAGGGAGGGAGGGAGGGAGGGAGGGAGGGAGGGAGGGAGGGAGGGAGGGAGGGAGGGAGGGAGGGAGGGAGGGAGGGAGGGAGGGAGGAGGGAGGGAGGGAGGGAGGGAGGGAGGGAGGAGGGAGGGAGGGAGGGAGGGAGGGAGGGAGGGAGGGAGGGAGGGAGGGAGGGAGGGAGGGAGGGAGGGAGGGAGGGAGGGAGGGAGGGAGGGAGGGGGAGGGAGGGAGGGAGGGAGGAGGGAGGGAGGGAGGGAGGGAGGGAGGAGGGAGGGAGGGAGGGAGGGAGGGAGGAGGGAGGGAGGGAGGGAGGGAGGGAGGGAGGGAGGGAGGAGGGAGGGAGGGAGGGAGGGAGGGAGGGAGGGAGGGAGGAGGGAGGGAGGGAGGGAGGGAGGGAGGGAGGGAGGGAGGGAGGGAGGGAGGGAGGGAGGGAGGGAGGGAGGGAGGGAGCGAGGGAGGGAGGGAGGGAGAGGGGAGGGAGGGAGGGAGGGAGGGAGGGAGGGAGAAAGCGAAGGCAGGCAGGATGGGAGCACGGAACGAACGGCGAAGACGACATGGAGACACAGACGGGTCTGCCTTATCGTCCTCTCCCTGCTGGCTCCCAAACGGGTGTGGGATGTTTCCGAGAATTCTCAAAAACACCCTCGAAAGAACACGGGAGCCAGCAGGGAGAGGATGATAAGGCAACCACGGAAACACGAATAGTAAGGAATTAATTGAGAGATTCAATACGGTGCCAGTGGGTTCATAGGTAGACGGAACAAGAAACAACCCTGCACCTGCACTGCAATGGAAGAGAAGAAAAGGACGCGTGTCTCTAAACTTGAATCCCCTTGAACAATGAAACAGCCGAACCATGTTCCCACTTCAATACCACATTCTTCTGACCCTGACAAGTCTCAGTACCTCAGAGTACCTCGGAGTACCTCGGAGTACCTCGGAGTACCTCGGAGTACCTCGGAGTACCTCGGAGTACCTCTGAGTACCTCTGAGTAGTATCTCTGAGTAGCTGACACCCGCATACCCCCTAGCGTCTGGAGTCCCGGCAGCCTCCTAGCGCCTCATCACCTTCACTCGACAGTCCTGATCCCTGCCTGCCATACGCCCCGCATCTCAGCTTCCTCCGGATTCCCCTTGCACCCTTTCCAAGCCCCTGCACCTGAAAGCCCACTCTGCTGCAGGAACAACCACAGTCGTTGCAGAAATGATGCCATGGGTGCGAATCAGCCTGCCCCTCCTACTTGCTGCTTCCTCCTCACCCCTCATCCTCTCCTCTCCTCCCTCCTCCCGACCTCCTACCTTACGTTCCCAACCTAAACCCCGCGTCTTCTCGTCCTTTCAGCCGACTCGAGGGCTCCTGCAAACAGACAATCCCTCCTGCGCCAACTGTCCGCTCTCCGCCGCCCCCCCACCCCCTCCACGACTACCCCTCCACCGCTCTCCCTTCTCCACTGCCCCTCCCTGATCCTACCCCCCCCATTTCTCAAGACTCAGCGGCAGATGCGGGCGAAGCAGCAGCAGCAGCAGCAGCTCAAGCCGAAGTGGCAGCAGCCTTGGGCTTGCCAGCAGCAGCAGCAGGCGGAGTGGCTTTAAGCGCGGCCTTGAGCTTCTCCGCCTGGATATACGCCGTGGAATACGGCAGAAACTCCCCCTTCTCCTCCTCCGCCCGCCAGTGCGCCGCCTCCGCCAACTTCGGGATCTCCGCCACCTCGTCCGCCGTCAGATCGCGCACGAATTTCGCCGGGCTGCCCGCCCACAGCTGCCCGCCGGGAATCAGCTGCCCGGGCCCCACCACCGTGCAATCCGCGAGAACAGCGTTCTTCTCCACAATCGCGCCTTCCAGAACGAGGCACCGTTGACCGATCACCACCTCGTCCTCGATCTCGCACGATCGCAGCACGCTGTTCTGGCCAACGGTCACATACCTCCCGACGGTGGTTTCGGCCGAGAGGCCCGTGGGCGACGCGGACGCGGCGTGCACGATGACCCGGTCCTGGATGCTGCTGTACGCGCCGATGCGGATGTAGTTGAGATCGGCGCGCAGCACGCTGCCGTACCAGACGGACGCGCGGTCGTCGATCGTCACGCCGCCCGCGAGAATCGCGTTCGGCGCGACCCACGCGTCGACTGCCACGTCAGGCACCATGTGGTTGATCGGCACCAGCTGCCGCTGCCGGTTGTAGATCTCGCGGTACAGGTAGTTACCGCTCGGTGCGGAGGCCGTAGCAGCCGCAGCAGGAGCAGCTTGGCTGGATTCACCAGCTGCGAGGTTGGATTGTGCTGACGTGGCAGCGGGCTTGGCGATGATGGATGAAACGCTGACGTGGCGTTGTGAGGCGACGCGGAAAGGGGAGATTGAGGAGGAGCAGGACGCGTCGACGAGGCTGGCCAGCGCGGGGCTGCGCGACGCGGCAAGATCGAAGAGATGCGACGCGCGGCGGCGGGACGCGGGCGCGAGGATGTGAGCCCAACGCGCCATGGCGGAAAGAGAAGGGCGGAGCGAGAAAGGCGGGAAAATAAGGGCGGAATGTGATCCCGATCTGGTGGATGGACGGAACCAGAGGTAGCGTGTCGAAACGGTTATAAGACGCGCGGGAGAACGGCCAAGCCCGAAAGGAGACGAGGGTGGCAGAACCGGAGGGGGAAGCGTGAGATGCGGCGGCGGAGGCGCAGAACGGCCAGCCCCGTGAGTCTGTTCGGAGACCGAGGCGTGAGAAGCCGAAGTTGAGGGCGGAGTGGAGTGGGGAGAGTGGGAGAGCGGGGAGCGGAGGGGAGTGAAAGGGCGTGGGGGAAAAGGGGGGTTGGGCGGAGGGCACATGGGGAGAGCGGGGTCGGTAGGGGGGGTGGGCATGAGGCAAGCTCCCCCGATGCCTCTCTTTGGGAGCCAGAGGGGAGGGGCAGAGGCGCTGGGAATTGCGCATTGGGGGACCGGGACGAAGGGAAGCGGAGTGGGGAGGGGATTGTGTGGGATTGGGGCGGTTTGGCGGAGATGCTCCCCCGAGATCAACGCGGAGATCAACGCGGGGTGGCGGTCTGAGTATTTTTCCGCACTGGCTTGTGAAAGCCCCTGAGGTGTGGCGAGTACATGGCAAATTGCGGGCGATTACATTTGCGAGTACAAGGGTATTACCTACAAGCTTCTTCACAATGCAGCATTTTAAGAGACTATAAAACTTACAGCACTGGTGGTACATTTAGTGCGAAAGACTACATCCAGTCGTGCATGTTTCCAGCCAAACCTACCGAATTCATATCAATACCAATCATCATCATCATCCACAAAGCCTCCTGTCTTCTCTCCCTCTTCCTCTTCATCCCCCACATCCTCAACATCGAGACGGTCACAATCATAGAAGCTCTCCACACTCGCATTAGCACGAATGGTGGCAGCCGCACCATCTGCAGGCGCAACGGGGGCAGCACCAGCACCAGCACCAGCACCAGCACCATCACCAGAACCAGCACCAGCACCATCAGAAGAAACTGCTGATGTGCCATTGGCTGCGGCATCAGGTGACGCAATCGCCTCTGTTGCAGAACCAGCTGCCCCAACAGCAGCATCTGTCACTGCCTTCACATCTGCTGCAGCCTCAGAAGCAACAGCGGGCGCAGCAGGCACAGCAGATGCAGTAGGTGCAGCATGTACAGCAGGTGCAAGAGATGGCAAGGCAAAGTCTGCGAACGGATCTCCTTTCTGGTCCTCCTTAACTGGGTCCAGGGCTGGTGCTGCTGTAAGAGACTCAAAGGCCGAAAGACCAGAATCAGACGCAAGAGGAGATTTACTGCTGATGGGTGCTGCTGGCTGAGCAGGAAGTGGTGTTGACACAGCAGGCGATGCTGTTGACTCGGCAGGAGACTCAGCAGTAGGTGGTGCTGACTGGAACATATCCATGGATAATGGGTCATCGGATAGCCCTTGAGCAGTACCTGCAGCAAGTGCAACTGGAGGAGCAGCAGCAGGAGCGGACAGGAAGTCGTCAAAGGGATCAGCTTCTCCTGCTACTGCTGGTACTGGTGCTGCTGCTGGTGCCTGGGAGGATAAATCAACAGCCTGGAAGTCATCCCAGTCATCGCCATCATCATCCACAGCAGCTGATGCATCTGCAACCATCGCAGCCACCGCAACTGCTGCTGCTGGTGCGGATGTGTCCGCGACTCCTCCGCCCACTGAAACTGCAGCAGGTTCGGACGATTCCTCTATCAAAGCTCCTGCAATGACACCATTGGCAAAGTCGGCTGATGGCGCTACTGCCTCCTCTACACCACCTCCACCTGTCGTAAACCTGACTTGCACAAGACCTTCATCAACAGCAGCATCTGCTGACTTCGCTTCAGCTGCTGTTGCCACTGCTGCTGCTGGTGCCTGTGCTGGTTCTTGTGCTTCTGCCACAGGTCTCGAATCCTGTTCCTGAGCTGCTGCTGGGGCAGCGGGAGCAGCAGGAGCAGCAGCAGGAGCAGCAGCAGGAGCAGCGGCAAAGGAGTCCTCGAAATCACCCCAGTTGCTGTCATCTACAGCTGCCTCTGCACCACCACTGCTACCACCTCCTACCTCTGCAGATGCACTCTCCACTGCTGCTGCCGTTGCAGGCGCTGCCTCTACTGCTAGTGCCTCTGCTGCCGCATCTGATGCTGCCTCTGTTGGAGGCTCAGCAGCACCTGCTGCTGCTGCAGTGGTTGCTGGCTGGATGGTGGTAGTAGGTGGCGCAGAGGAGAAATCAGAGAAGTCATCATCATCACCCTGGTAGGGGAGGAAAGAGAGAGAGGGGGAGGAAACAGATAGGAGAGAGTGGCAAATGAGCTGACTCAGCAGTCAGAGGAGCCACCATTGCCATCTGCATCATCCTGCTAGGTGGGGAAGCGAGAGGATGCCAATAAGAGGAAGAGGTAATATTCCAGGCGCAAAAAGAGGGGCATGAATCGCAAGGCAACCTCACATCGCACTGGAAAATGGGAAGTGGGAAATGGGAAGTGGGAAGTGGGAAATGGGAAATGGGAAATGGGAAATGGGAAATGGGAAATGGGAAATGGGAAATGGGAAGTGGGAAGTGGGAAATGGGAAATGGGAAATGGGAAATGGGAACTGGGGCCAACAAGAGGCCACGAAACGGAAAGAGGAAAGCGAGGCAGCGGAGGGACGAGGGAGGGGGGGGGGGGGGGGAAGAAGGGGGTTGTGGGGGACGACCTCAGAGGGGTAGAGAGAGTGGCCATTTGCTCTCACAAGCGACCAGAGATACTCACCTCATCAAGCGAGCCTGCTGCAGCACTGCTTACACCACTCTCGCGCGCCGAAGCCTCTGCTTCACCCCGCCCTGCCTTATCCTCCCCAGAAAAACGGGCCTCTTCTGGCAAAGCCTGACCCTCAGCAGCGTCGTCAGTGGTAGAGGGACGTGCGCTGGGGGGAGCTGTGGTGGTGGCGGTGGTGGAGGTAGAGGTGGTGGAGGAACGAATGGATTGGAACTCAGCCCACTCATCATCATCGTCGTCATCGAAACCGAAATCGTCCGCGTTACCAAGACCACTGCTTGTGTCAGTGCTCGTGAGAGCAGGAACTGATGCCGCACCACCACCAGCAGCGGCAGCCTCAGCAGCAGCAGCAGCAGCAGCAGCTGTGGTGGTAGCAGTGGTAGTGGTAATGGAGTCTGAGCCAGTGGAGGAGGTAGAGAGGCGAGAGGTGGAAAGCTGGGTGAGGGGAGGAGGCTGGAAGGGGGAGCCGGAGGAGGAGGAGAGAGGGGGGGGTGCCAGGAAGCCCTTGGATGGGCCGATTGAGGGGAGAGAGATGGGAGGAGGGGTGGAGGTGGTGGTGGTGGAGGAAGGAGGAGGGAGGGATGGGGAATTGACAGCGGGGAGAGGCGGCGGGGCGAGAGGAGTAGAGGAGGAGGAGATGCGGCGCTGCTGGGTCTGTTGGACAGAAGACTTGATAACGGTCTGCATGAAGATGCCGACAAGCGGGACAAGGGGGGAGTGGCTCAAGGAAATTGCAAGAATGTGATTTACGAGAGTGCGAGGAGCGGCGTTATTCTTCCCTGCAGACCCCAAGAATCTCCAGACACCAGGACATGTGCGGAGCCAGAGCAACAATGGAGACGTCCAGAACAGAAGACAGTGTGTGTGGGGGGGGGGGGGGGGGGGGGGGGGGGGCAGGGACGGTGGGGGAGAAGAGTTGCATATACCTGCAGCTGTAGCTTGGTGGCAGGCGGGAGGGCAGCAGTGGCAGCTTGCAGGTTGGAGGGGAAGGCGGTGGCGAGGTGCGTGATGAGCTTCACTGACATCCCTATCACCGCCGCCTGTGACGGGCTCTGCTGCTGGCCCTCCTGGGAGACAGACGGACGCAGGGGGAACAGGGAAAGAGGGAGGAACGGAGGGAGGGCAAGAGGGAACCTCGGTGGCGAGGTGAGTGATGAGCTTCACCGCCATGCCTATCACCGCCATGCCTATCACTGCCGCCTGCGATGGGCTCTGCTGCCGGCCCTCCAGCGAGAGAGGGATGCGTGAGATGGAGGGAGGGAGGGACGGCGAGAAGGGGAAAGGAGCACCTGAGCCCTTGCCTCTCTTAGCTAGCTACTTAAGCCCTTGGCTCCCTCCCCTCCTTGTTTGGTTTCCGGTTCATTGTTTGCTTCTGCTTTGGTGACGGCTCGCGCCGACCGCCTTCGGCGGCCATCGCTCGCGGCGCGGCCTTCGACCGCGCGTTAGGGGACGACAAGGCGCGGGGTGCGGGGGAAGAGACGCAGCCAACGCATCGCAACACTCAACTATTACATCAACGACAACCATCACGGGGACGCGCATGGGGAGGTGCCAGCAAGCCCAATGAGCCGCGTCCTACCTCCTGATCTATCGGGCGTGCTGACGCCTTCCGCCCTCCGCTACACTCGACGCCGCCAGCCGGCTATGCCTGCTGGCGTATCTCCCCCAGCAAGAGGAAGGCGATCCTCTCCGTACTGACACGCAGCCGTCGACGACTTCTGCAGCTCGCATCCCCCGCAGCTTCGCCTCCAAATCCATCACCATGGCATCCCCTCGCGAGGGCAGCGCGTTTCCCGGGCCAAGCCCGGGCCACAATACGGCCATTGCCGCCTGCACCACCACAGCCTGCGCCTCGCAGTCCCGCTGATGGGACTCCGTCATCAGCCCCTCCTGTCGGGGACGCTGGAGCGCGTACCCAGCCACCTCCAGGATCGCCGTCAGACGATCAACGCAGCTTCGCGCCGCGTCCATACGGCGCAACACAACCGCCAGCCGCGCCGCTGCCTCCGCCGCCACCTGCCGACGAGCGTTCTCCAGGAGGCTCGCCGTGGGCCCTCTTTGGGTCCGCTGTCGCTTGCGGGACCGCCCGCTCGCCGACACTTCCGAGTCCTCATCCTCCAAGCCGCCCTGCCCCGCTTCTGCCGCCGGCGCCTCTGCCGGCTGCTGCACCTGCGCCTGCGCTGGCATCGCCCATGCGGACGCCAGATGCGGGGGGGGTGCTGGAATTGCCGCCGTTACAGGCGCCGTTGGCGGAGGAGGCGGTGGGAATGCCGGTGCCGCACGGGCCTGCACCGCCACTGTCGCCGCTGGCAGCGGGGCCGTCTGCATCACCGGGGGCGCGCCGCCAGGACCGGGTAATCATGGCGGCTACACGCAGTAGAGGCTCCCCTGCGCCACCGACCCCTGCGGCGACCACGGGGGCAGTAGCCCGCCTATCGCTGCCCGGTTCGTCCCTGCGGCTGGGGTCGCTGCTTTTGGGGCCGCCGGCGGTGGCGCTGTCCTCTCCGCGATCCCCCGAATCCAAAGGGGATGCGCGCGAGAACGCGCTCAACCATCTCCTCCACGTCGGAGGACCGCGCGGTCGACCCCTGCCTCTGCGGGCACCGCTACTGGGATCACGGGAGAAGCCACCCCCGACGGCGCTGCTGCGGGGGCTGCTCCTCGCGTCGAGGCGGGCTCTGCCATTCGGGAGTCCAAGAGTCCCGCTGACGCTCGCGGGAGGACGGTGGCCAGCGGTCCGGCGTCTGGCGTCCGGTAGTGCGCGGGCGGCATCGTCTGCTGGAGCAGGTTGGTGGAGCCCGCAGATGTAGGCCCAGTTTCGCGCGGGGGGACGGACGCTACCTGACACTCGTGGCAGCAGACGACGCGGACGCGGTGGGCGAGCAGGGAATGTAGGCGTGGCAGGATCCTACGTGCAGGCTGTTCTTCGGCGGCTGGCTAGCTTGGAAGCAGCGGGTGGCACGGAGCCAAGGGAGGCGACTAGTGCTGGAGTTGCTGGAGAGCAAGTGGAGGGTGACCCCAGTTATACCCTCTCAGGTGATGGGGTTTCCGATTCCAGGACTGGGGAGGACGCTGGGGAGGAGAGTGGGGGTGTTCCCAGATCCCGTTCCAATGCTCGACGAGCCGCTCCGAACCAGCGCCAAAACAGTGGCGAAAATTTCCCCGCCACTGACGAGGATTTCCTTTCGGCTCGCGGCTCGGGAAGATTAGTTCGCTGACATTTCGGAGAGGAACCTGTCCATCCTACGCGACAGTCGCCAGCCACCCCTGGCTCGCCACGCACCCCGCCACATCCGTGACAAGCTTGCAGCATGTCTGCTCACCCCCCTCCACCGATTGGCTGACGATGCAGAATCGCCGCCAGCGTGGAGGCTTCAATTCTTCCTGCCACGTCTGACCCTCCGCGTTGGCACCACCTGCAAACCCGACTGGGAAGCCATCCAGAAGCGCCCGGAGGCCTTCCGGCGTGGTTCCTGGCCGTACCTGTACGCCGAAACTGTGGCTGCCGTTGATCTCCCCCATCCCCCGCGCCATGCCCCTGTCAATACGGGCCTGATCGCTCAGGCAGAAGGCCTGGCCAAGCGTGGGAACCTTGGCAAGGCTCTCCAGGCCCTTGAAGCGACACCTGTCAGCCCCTCCTCGGCAAAGACTCTCACCCTAGGCGTCCCTTCCGACCACTCTCGGCTGGCTCGGCATCACCAACTCTGCTGCGGAGGCAGCGCCGAGCTACCTGACCTCCGTCGCCGCTTCTTCCCATCTCCTGGGTAGCATCCCGTCCCTGCCCCGTGCCGTCTCCGACCTACTGGGGCAGCTCCACCCTGATACCGCCGGCCCCACGCCCTTTCCCTGCCGCCTCTCGAGAACTCCATTCCACCCTCTGCAGCAGCACTTCTGCGCTTGGAGCGCACCTTGCCGGACCTGCCCAAGCTTCAGCAGGCGCTGGCATTGCAGGTGAAGGCGGAGCGTTTCATGCTCCAGCTGGAGCAGGCTCGACGCATGCCGCTCAACCCTCTCCAGGGGCACACGCCTGCTCTAGCTCATGGGCCCGGGGCAGGCGACTGGCTGCACGCCATCCCCTTCTCGTCCTCCCTCCGCCTCGGCCCTGGACACTTCTCCACCGCCGTGGCATTCCGCCTGGGGCTTCCTCACTCCACCCCGGGCGTCTGTGACTGCGCCGACCGTACCGACATCGACGATCCCCGCCTTCTAAACCACCTCCTGAGGTGCGCTAAGGGGCCGGGTCGGACGGGTGCGCACCACGCCCTTCGGGATGAATGTGCTCGGATAGCCATTGAGCCGTGGTTCATTACGCGGAAGGAGACCAATCTCTTCACGTGGGTCTCCAATCTTTGGGCGGACGTCGCCATCCGCCACCCGGACTCGGGGGCAGTGTAGCTGTGTGACATCACTCTGACTGATCCCATCTCCCAAGATGATCCGTTGGCTCGTAAGGGGACTGGCTGGGCAGCTCGTGTGGCAGCCCGGGGCAAGGAAAACAAGTACCGCCCCCCTGGCCCGTGCGGAGTGGGTTGGCTTTCTTGCGATGGCAGCGGAGACGTATGGCTGCTCTTTGTCCGGCGTCTTTGGCTTTCTCAAGCAGTGCGCCGAGTTGGCGGCACGCAAGCACCACCAGGCGGCTCCCACCTCCCGGGAGGCCGCAAAGCTGTTCCACGAGTACCGCCAGCGATGGCGCTTACTCTGCAGCGGGGCCAAGCCGTGGCCCTCAACACGAAGATCAACGAGGCTCTCGCCGCTGAGGAGCAGCCCTGGGGTGAGCCGGCGGCTCCGCTCGCTGTGGGGGACTGGCTGCATGTGTTAGAGCCAGTGCTGGGGGACCCTTAAGGTCCCCTGGCCTAGGTTGTTAGGTCTTACCTGTTGTGCACTGTCCGCTGCCATGCCTGTATCCTACCCTACCTAATACAAAGGACCAATTGAGGGAGGCATGGAGGGACGCAGGTGGGTGAGCATGTGGACAAACTGTGGCGTTTACCCTTTCCCCCTGCACGACTTTCCGCCATGCAAATGCTCCGTGCACCCACCTCTACACTCCGCCGACTCCAACACAAACAGGAACGAAAACCCATGCACGCATGCATATGCGCATGGATAGCCCACATACCCACACACTCATGCCAATGCCCACACGGTACACATGCGCGAGCATACATTCCCCTGCAGATGTGCCCATGCACACATGACTATGCACACCCCCCCACGGAATTACCCCTCCTGCCGGCTGTGCCATGGAGCCAGCCATGATAGCCGTCACCAGCAGCAACTCCAGCACCGCCTGCTGCCGCTCCCCACTCGCTGCTGCTGCTGTCGCTGCTTTGGCGTCGGGAGCCGGAATGGTAGAGAGCAGCAGCAGGAAGAGCTTCAGCGCCTCCATCACCTCGTTGGCCGCCTGGGGGGTTTGCAGCTCCTGGAGACGGGGGGGGCGGGGGGGGAGGAGGAGGAGGCGAGCGAAGCAGAGAGCCAGGAGTGCAGGGGAGAGAAGGGAGGGAGAGGTAAGAGACATGCGACACAAGGATAGATAGCAGGCGGTACCCTGGGGGATCAGAGGGATGAGCAAGGTAGAGACGGAGGGAGGAGAGATGTGATGAGATGACTCAAAAAGTCTCATAAGTGAAACGAGTGGTAAGGAAGGAAGGGAAAGAGGAGAGAGCAGAGGGGAGGGGGGATGAGGGGACCAGGAGTGGTGAGGTCAGGCGTAATAGGGAGAATGACCGGCATGACTCACCTTAGAAGAGGTCTCTATAACTGAGAGAACGGCAGGAGTGAGGGTGAGCATGAGCTGCATGGGCCACCACATCACAGCCGCCTGCCTCCTCGTGCTGCTGCTATTGTCCGAAGCACCATCGCTCTCTCCCTCTCCTCCTGCTGCTGCTGCCAGCGCCTTTGGCAGCCCCTGCTGCAGCAGCACCTTGAGCGCTCCTATCACCGCCATGCGCAGCTGGTTAAGGGAGGGGAGGGACGAAGGGGAGCAGGCATGGGGGGGAGGGAGAGGGGGAGGAGCACGAAAAGTTGGGGGGCAAAGTGAAGAGGCTTATTCAACACCTTGGCAGCCCCTGCTGCAGCAGCACCTTGAGCGATCCTATCACCGGATGTGCAGCTGGCCAAGGGAAGAAAGAAGGGCAGGAGGCGGGTGGAAGGGGAGGGGGAGGGGGAGGGGGAAGTCCCAGTGCGAAGGATGTAGGGAAAGTGAGGAAGGAGGAGGAGGATGAAGAGAAGGGGCAAGAACGAGAAGCATGGTAAAAACGGTTTCGGTACCTTAAACGAGTTAGGGCAGATGTGGCGCCAGTACAGAGAAGATGTATTTTGTTACCAGAAACAACTCATGAAACGGATGCGATACACAACGGAGAGGGAGACGAGACGGCACGTCCTGCCCCCCACTCCCCCCTGGCCAGGCCATCCGGCTCCCTCACCTGAACGCACCACCTTCCACAATCACATTCAGATTCCCATGCTCTGCTGCTAGAGCAGCACATACATCCAACATCCCAGTACTCGCCTCTCACACCAGAGCAACTCATCTCACCTGCCGTGACTTGGAAGCGAACGCTGTTTCAAAAGCACCCAGGCATCGAGCCGTGCCACTCTCTGCAAGCTGGATGGCAAAGTAATCTCCCCCTGCGCCTGACACCAGGGGCGGCAGGGCGGCGAGCAGCGACAGCGCATGCAGCGCACGCGTGGCACTTGGAGCGCCTTCGGGCTCGGCAAACCCGCCACGTGGCGCTGACGGGGACGACGGTGGCGACAGGGACGAGAAGGCCACGTCGGCATCCCCGATGCTGTCAAGGACAGTGGAGGACGTGTCAGGAAAGCTGCCGGAAGCTTCTGCTGCTGCTGTTGGTGCTGCTGGTCCTTCCTCCCCAGCACTATCAGCAGCACCTGCTGCCTTCACCGCATCTCCACCACCTTCCATCGTCTCACCATCTGCTTTCCCTTCCCTCCCCTCCTCACCCTCCTCACCTGTCGACTTCTCCCCTCCCTCCACCAGCTCCTTAGCTTCTTCTTCCCCCTCCCCCTTGCTCCCATCACCTCCCTCCTCCCCGTCCACTCTACCCCCCTCGCCAGGAGTGCCACCCACAGCACCCGTGCTGCCATCACAGCTGCTCCCTGCTTCCACTGCATCTGACGACCTCCCTGCTGATCCCTTTGAATCCTGGGTGCGCAGGTGGCGGTCCACGATTTGAGCAGCGCCTTCCAGCAGTGCCGCCACCACAGTGGCACGCTGCCCCGACCACAGAGTCACCTCGCCCAAAGAGGCCGCTGGGGTGGGGGGAGAGGGGGGAGGGGGAGGGGGATGAGAGATGAGGGTGGGGGAAGGTTGAGTTTTGAGTTGTGACAAAGCCCACCTGGCTTGCTGCCCTGACCATAGAGTCACCTCGCCCAGGGATGAGGCTAGATGGATGAGGGGGGGAGGGAGGGAGGGGGATGGGAGATCCGGAAGGGGAGATGAGGGAGGGGGAGGGTCGAGGTTTGAGACACAGACACCTCAAAGCCACGACCGTCAGGGTCACTGCTCCAATAACCGAAACCCCCCACGCCCCCCCCTCTCCAGACAGAGATGCGGCTGCAGGGGGAGGTTGGGAATGGGAAGGCGAAAGACGAGGGAGGGCGAAGGTTGAGTTGAAGTGAAGGGGGGAATAAGGGAGTGCGGCAGGGGTCGGAAAGGAATGGCCAGGAATTAGGGAAGCGTCAGAGGGTTGAGATTAGGGAAGGTGAATAAGCTGGGGTGAGGAGCTAGTACATACGAGGGGTAGTAAGAGCAGCAAAAAAACGCTAAAGAAATCATCTCAGGCATCTCGACAGCAGTTAACATAAGGCAGGCAAAAGGTGGGAGGGATGCATACTAGGATCGGCACAGGAGCCAATGCGGGCCGCAGCAATGGCTGTGAGCGTGGCTTCTGCAAGCACGGCAGCCCACCCTTCCTCCACCCCTGCTCCCCCTGCCCCTCCCCCTCCTGTTGCTGCTGCTGCAGGAGTGAGAGAGTCGGCGGTGTTGTCGAAGGAGGAGGAGTCGGAGAGTGGGGCGGAGCGCAGCAGGCGCAGGCAGGTGGTCATGATATTCGGCAGCAGCAGAGCCTTGCCCTGGCGGTAGTGGGTGCATGATGTGAGATGTGTGGTGTGAGGTACAGAATACATGTAGGGCTTATCAGAATACCCGCGCGGGTCGGGTACCCAGACCCGGATCCGCTTTTAGGGCGGGTCGGGTATCAGGATTCCCGAATAGTACCCGGCGGGTCGGGTATCAGGATTCCCGAATAGTACCCGGCGGGTCGGGTCCGGGTAACCGGGGCGGGTATTCGATAACCGTTACCGAAACGTTACCCGACACGTCGGGTAACGGGTACCCGACCCGAAATCGGGTAGCGCGTCTACCCGACGGAGCCAGCGCGACATAGGTCGCGCTGGTAGAGAAATTTCAGCAACGGTTTAGGTTATGTGAGCTGCTAGGTAACGTAGAGCATTGTAGAGTGGCAGGGGTTGGATTTCGTAGATCCAGATCCATTCAGGGCGGTTGAATTGGGGGAAATTGGTTGAAATTCAAACCAATCGAATTTCCCTAATCGATTTTGCAACCCAACCTGAAACCAACCAGCCGCTCAGCACCACATTGGTTGGAGTTCCAACCAATTGACTCTGGGGGCCAAAATATAAAAACCCCTAAAACGTCACACAACCCCATCCCAACTAGAAAACCCAACCACCTCCCCACTCACGCCCCACTCACCAGAACTGTAAAATATCTGGCGCACCTCATACTGCCTCCCGCAACTCACGTTTTTAGGTCGTAGGTTTAGCCCAACAGGGAAATAATACCCGCTTATCAAGGAAGCCGGGTCGGGTATACCCGGACCCGCCAGGCAGGTATTGAATTACCCGCCCCCGAATCCCGGGTCTGGGTATGTTACCCGACCCGAAGTCGGGTATAGCAAAACCGGGTCGCGTCGGGTAAATACCCGGTTTTGCTCATGCCTAGGTACATGGTGTGCGGTGCATGGTGTGTACTAGGTGGTGCGTGGTGCGTGGTGCATGGTGTGAGGTGCACGGTGCATGGTGCACAAGTGAGGTGCAAGCGAGGTGCATGGCGCACGGTCCATGGAGCATGCATTGGCAGACAAAATGCCCATGGGTGGCCACAGTACAGTAGGAATGGTGGTTGTGGAAAAGACAACAGCAGAGCGAGGAACAGGAGGGAGCGACAACACCACAGGTCCGAAAAGGAGGACGGGAGAAGCTAGGAAGGCAAGAAAGAGCCAGGAAGTAACGGCTTCCCGTTCAAGATAGAGATCCAATGACAGAAGATCTGAGAATGAAGACGAGTGATTTTGGGAGTGCAAGGGAGGGACAGCTGGGCTTGATACCTGGGAGGAGAGACGCGGGGCAATGGAGTTTGCGAGCTTGAGAGCTGAGATGAGAAGAGATGCCTCGGCTGGTGACAGCGATGCAGCGGGTGCGCTGGGAGGAAGGCGGGGGGGGGGGGGAGGAGGTAGGCAAATGGTAGCAAGGGGGATTTGTTGAACAGCGTTGAAGAGCACAATAAGAGAGGTGACATACAAAGGAACAACACAGGGAGCCAAGGCGTCGTACACGCGCCAAGGCTCTATCTGCTTACCTGGGGCTGTCAGTGGCACAGCGCAGGGTGGAGTGAATGAGGTGCAGGCATGCAGCCAGTGCAGCAGAGACAATCTCCAAATCCGAGACAATGGAGTCTGGTGCACAGGCCATGAACTGCAGTGGAGGGCAAGCCAAGAAGGGAAGGGGGAGGGAGCATGGTGAATGCGCTCTGAAAAGGGACAGCTAAACAGACGCGGACCGGTGGGGATGGGGGTGGCGGGGGCAGGGGGGGGGTGTCGATAGACAGATGCAACCACTGTTGTACACACAGTGGCTCGAGCACAGGCCACGAATCAGTGGGAGAGGCCAAACCGGGGTATTTGAAACGCTAAGCCACCCAGGGAAATAATCGTGAGGGAAGGGAAAGGAAAGGGGGAGGAGGGAGCAGAGAGAAAAAGGGAGAGGCATTTGAGGGGGAGAGAGAGAGGTGAAGTGGGAATGGGAGCACGGGCGAGGACGAAAAAGGGCAGCAGCTGTTGAAGCGCTCCAGAGGCTGACGGCGGCAGGAGGGAAGAAAGCAGAGGTGCGGGAAACATGGGAAAATGAGTGCAGCGATGCAGAGGAGAGGAGAGGAGAGGAGAGGAGAAGAGAGGAGAGGAGAGGAGAACAGAAGGTGAATGACACGGGACGCTGCTTATGGCATGTGCATATGACAAAGTTACCTTGGTCAATACATCCAGGGCCTGTGCCTTGAGCGCAGTGTCTCCTTCCTCCATGATCAATGCAATGACCTGAGGGAGAGGAAAAAGCAGGAACAAGCGGGAACAGGCAGGACCAGGGAGGATCAAGCGGGATGCCAGAGTGACGAGACGGGAAATACCAAGGGAGCGGAAGCGCAGAGAGGAGGGGGGAAAAAAACCCCCTTTTTTCTTTTTTTTCTTCTTTTTTTCCTGAATATGCAGACAGATCTACAGATGGTCTGAAAGGTGCCAAGAGAGTGGCGAGAAGCAGTGACAGCAGTACAGACGGACAGCATGAATTTCATCTCCCTTGAGAGCTGCAGGGAGGGAGAGGCACTGCAGCATACAAGTTTCTGACCCCAGTGTGCCTGCCCCCTCCTCACCTGCAGCAGCTCCACGCAATCCTCTGCTTCGATAAAGTCACCCCCAAATAACTCTCGCTGCATCAACCGCCCTAGAGCCTGCAGCGCCATGCTCCTGCCCTCCCCCAAAGAGGCCTCCCTGCCTCCCTTGCTGCCCCACGACCCTTCTGCTTCCAGAAAATCCCCGATCACCACCTCCCCTCCCTGCTCCTGCTCCTCCTGCCCCTCCTGCTCCTGCCCCCCCTGCTGCTCTTGCATCTGCCCCAGCTGCTGCTGCCCATCCACCGATGGTCTGTTGGATCCCTCTGCCCCTCCATTTTCCCCTGAACCAGCCCCAGCGGTCCTGTCCCCCCCAGGATGGCAGATGGCAAACATGCAAGTGGCCCATAGCTGGTGGAACTGCTTGGGATCGACCCCACCATACGAGGAGGCGCTAGGGGGGCCTCTAGACGCCACCATGCTTGGCCCAACCGCAAAGACAGGCGCTAGCATCGCCACCCCAGAACCCGCTGCTGCCGCTGCTGCAGCAGCCTCGGCATCTGCAGCCGCCGCAGCAGCAGCAGCCGCTGCAGCTGCCGCGGCTGCTTCAGCTGCGGCAGAGAGATTGGGCTTGATCCCTAGCGTAACAGCATCCAGGACCACCGGGAACGATGCCAGGAGATACCGTCTAATCAGCGGCACCATGGACGGGGACATCTCAGCGGCATACGCGGACCGATACACCGCCTGAACGTTCGGCTCGAGGGAGAACGCAGCAAGGTAATCTCGAAGCAGAGACACCCAGTGCGAGACGACCAGGTCCGGAGTCTGCTCCACTGCGGACCGAACCTTGCGCAGGGCGGCAAGGCGCGTGTCAGACTCAAAGTGCTCGTCTTCAGAGTCGTAGCCGGCCTCGGGGGTGGATGCCGTGCCTGCGGCGCCGGCTGCGGCGAGCTGCGCGTCGTAGGCAGAGAGAGTGAGGGACTTGAGCCGCGCCTGGCGCACTACTAGCTCCACCTTCACCTGTGGTGGTGGGGGATGGAGGCGGCAAAAGGAGCATCGGAACGGATGAAGGTTTTGTGGCAGGGGCGCTGGCAGCGGTGAGTTGGGTGTCATAGGCGAAGAGGGTGAGGGACTTGAGCCGGGCTCGGCGAACTACTAGCTCAACCTTCACCTGTGGCGGTGGGGGATGGAGGGGTAGGTAGAAGGGGTACCGGGGGGGGGGGGTAAGGGTGTTAGGGAGGTGAAACGGGAGGTTTGGACGCAAATATGGAGATTGGCGATTCTATTCCCAAACGAAGGGAAGAATTGGAAATGAGAAGGGACGAGGAGCTGACCTTGAAACCAACCCATTCTGCATAGGACCAGTTGCCGAGGGCGTCCCACTTGCTGAGAGGCGTGGCCAGTAGGGTCATGACGCGTGGCACCACCGATTCGTCCGACCCTCGCAGCCTGCCACTCACAACCTGCTCATGTGGAACAGGGGGAGCATGGGGAGTGAAGGGAAAATGGCAAAGGGAGAGCATACAAGGGCAAGTTAAGGGCAGGATGGCAGGGAAGCAAACGGTTGCAGGAAGCTGGGAATGCGAGGCGAGAGCGAGCAAGGAGGAGAGGAGGAGGGGGTGGGAGTAAGGCCCGCAAGGGGAAACAAGGGGATGCCATCCCTGGTGGGCACAGGGAGAGGCGGGATATGGGTGGGTGGGGGGGAGACGTGGATGCGTGTTGCGGCGCTTCAGGGCACGAGAATGGGGGCGAAGTAAGGAGAAGGGGGAGCAGGGGGGTGGGGCATGTGGATCCCTCACCTTGTCTGCCAGCCTGGCACCTGCCAGCAGCAGGAGCGGGTTGTTGGCGGCATCCATGGCTGTGCGCACTGTGGACACGTATTGCGCCTGGTGGGGTGGTGAGGGTGGGAAAGAAGAGGAGGAGAACACACTCCTGTCAGCGGCGCCTCAAAGCAGCAGCAGCAGCGATGGGTTGTTGGCGGCATCCATGGCTGTGCGCACTGAGGATACGTATAGCGCCTGGTGCGGTGGTGAAGGTTGAGGGCAGCGGGAAAGGGGAGGCAGAAGGAGCATGCAGACTTCAACAGGCTGGGACATAAACATGGTGGTCTTGCCTTGTGTGGAATGGAATGGAGGAGAAGGTGGAACGGAAGGGACGCTGTACATTGAAAAGGACACTGCTAGCTAACTGGGACTCTGCTCCATCCATGGGATGCACCCAGACGGTATCCAGCAATGGGCAAAACCAAGCCAGCTCTACGGAGATAAGAAGCGGGTAAGGCATGTGAACCAAGCACAGCAGCAGCAGCAGCAGCAGCAGCAGAAGAGGCGTGATAACCAGGCAGGAGCTGCGCGGGAGGGGCATGGGATGGTGGAGTAACGGGGGAGGGGGCAGAAGGTTACCTGGTACTGCTCAAGGAGAATGTGGCCCTCGAAGTCAGGATCCTCCGTGCTCCCGAACTTCCACACACACACACAGAGGGTGGCAATGGGGGAAGAGGGAAGAGCTAGTGTGAGTCTTGAGATCAGCAAGGGCGAATGGGAGCTAGGGAGGGGGGAGGGGAGGCGTGGTGGGACGTGCATGGGGAGTGCAGGCGATAGCAGGGGAGAGACTGGTGCATGGAGCAAGTGTATGGGAGGCTGCTTGAGCATAGTCAAGGAAAATCTCAAGTGGACTCAAAGGACTGGCACATGGTTCAAGTGGGCTGGCAAACACTTTCCCTTGTCCCCATGCACCATGCCCCATGCCACGTCACCCACTCTTTCTGCGGTTTCCAGTATCCTCCGATCTTTTGGGCGTCCAAAATGCAGCGCATGGCAATTTGTGGCCCTGGGCCACAAGCACAGCAGAGGGCACGGCAGTGGAGTGACAGCTCGCATGCTCACTGCCCGCCCCCAAGAATGAGTGAGCGAGTGACGGCAGCACGAAATATTACCTTGTCCAGAATGGTACCCAGGAGGGCCACCCCCATGGGCCGAACACTCTCCATGCTTCCCGTTGCCATCTGATGCAGCCATGCAAAGCCGATGGGGAGAATTCACAGAGGCATGGATGCATCAAAGGCATTGGAGGAGTGGTGAGAACGAGGAAATTAGCGGATAGGAGGGAGGCGAGGGAAGCTGTGCGTGCGATGGATGACAAGGGAAGGATGTGGATTGGAGGTGGGGGGTAAGAGAGACGGGTGGAGTGGGGAAAGGTACAAAGAAAGCGTGATGAACCAGGGAGAGTTACCACATGTGTGAGCTCTCTCGCTGGACTCACATGGCTCACAACCTGAACTTTCACGTGCAGGAAAGGTGGCCATTTGACTGGCACGGGAAACATGGCGAATGGCGCGAGAGGACAAGGAAGAAAACTGGAGGGGGAAAATACGGGCAGGTAGAGTGCCCCCCACCTGGAAGGCCACAGCGACGAGGTCACCAAGATGCAGCACGAGCCAGTCCGCCTGCTGTGTGCTCTCCCCCCCCACCTCCACCTCCCACACTCTCCATTCTCAGACGCCCCTGAACATGTCTTGTCTTGGGAGACGTCTGATTCTCCAGCACCCACCTGGAAGGCCACAGCCACGAGGTCACCGAGATGCAGCACGAGCCAGTCCGTCTGCTGCGAGCTGCCCGCGCCCCCACTGTCCCTCGCTGCCTGCTTTCTCCGCTCCACCTCCTGCTTGGCTAGCATGATGTCAAAGTGAGCGGGGTCAGCGCCCACCATGTAGGGCAGCCGGGAGAGACACCTGAGAGGCACCAGGGTGATGCGCAGAGGGGACGTGCAGGGGCAAGGGCAGAGAGTCTTAAACTTGACAGGGAAGTTGCATAGAGGTGTGTGGGTTCAGCACCAACCAGGTGGGGCAGCTGGAAGAGACTCCTGACTCCACTGGAAGACAGAGGTGAGAGAAGGAAGAAGGAAGATTTTGAGTCCACTGGAAAGTTGCATTGAAGCGGGGGGCTCTGGTCATCAGAGCCCACCCAAGAGGTCAAACAGGAGACAAGACACCCAGGTGGCGCAGAGGTACAGGGGCGACGGGCCTTTAAGTTGACTGACAAATTCTATATGAGTGAGGAGGGCACGTCAGGTATCGACGGTGGTGGTGTCACACAACACAACTAAGACACCGCACCGCACCGCACCATTCATTACCCAATCAACACACCACAAAATGCAACTTACCAACCCAGACCAGCACACAAACAGACCAGCACACAAACAGACCAGCACACAAACAGACCAGCACACTCCAGCAAAGCCCACACTCACTTGGCAGCAAACACCCGAGTCCGAAACCTTGGCAGCTGATCCACGCCCCTCTGCACTGCCCCTCCACCACCCCCACCCACACCCCCAATCGGCGTCCCTCCGCCTATCCCCACGCCTCCGCCCCCTTTCCCCCCTCCGCCTGCCCCTGCCCCTGCCCCTGCTGCCCCCCCTGTGCGCGCCCCATCCCCCCCTGCTGCCACCATAGTCTCGTCGTCCTCGTCGTCCTCCCCCCCTTCCCCCTTCCGCCCCTCCCCTGCTGTTTCCTTTGCCTCGCCTGCTCGCCTCGTGGCAGAAGCAGCTAGCACCTGCAAGGAATGAAAGGAAAGGGCCAGGTGGCGGAGAGAGGGGGGGGGGAGGGGGGAGAGAGAGGGAAGCGAGTGGGCGAGGGTGGGGAAGAGGACAGGAGGGAGTGGAGTGAAAAAGAGGGGAGGGGACACATGGGGGCTCTGATTTGCGTGTGAAGCAAGACGAGGAGGGATGAGGGGAGGGGGTGGTTGGTTGGGGAGGAGAGAATTGGGGGGAAGGGCAGTAGCACTAGCACACATACCACGTTTTTGCAGAGGCGCAGCCATCGACTGGGGTAGGTGGGGCATGCAGCCTCTAGCAGCCGCTCCAGAGCCATGCACACACCGGATATGACCCTGATAGCCCATGTAGTGTAGGCAATGGGGGTTTGGCAGGCACGGACGCAGACGCAAACAATTAAAAAAGAGGACGACAGGGAGGCATGAAGGCAGCCATGCAGAGCGCAGGAAAAGCAGGCGGCATGGCACAAGCGGAGCTGGGGAAGGAAGGCGGGATAAGAAAGATACACGAGCGAGAAACGAGGTCAGAAAAGGGTGTTACAAGGACAGGATATGGCGCAGGCAAGCTGACGCTTTATTGGAAGAGAAAACAGAGACCAGGACTACCTGGTGCACGAGTGCATCCCGCAGCACGCGCGAATGCGTACCAGCATGCATGCATGCATCCATGTGTCATACCAAAACCATGAGCGAATGCGTATCTGCACGCACGTATGCATGCATGTGTGCGTACCTGGGGTCTGTCTCGTTGTCGAGCATGGAGAAGAGATCCTCCTCAATCTGCTCTGTCACCATGGCCGCCTGATGGGCGCAGCAGCAGCAGGACAAGTAACAGGGCGAGACACACCGTGGGATGGACGGGGGGTAGGAGAATGGGGAAGGGGGGGAGCCGGGGAGGTGGACGGAATGCAGGTATAGGGTTGAGTTAACGGGAAATAGTCATGGCAAGCTACAGTTGCCAGTAAACAAAACGGAGTGGAGGAGAGGGGGGAAAGGATACCAAAATAGACGAAGGAGCAAACACACAGAGCAAGAAGCAGGTTGGTCTTAGCAGTTCAAGAAGAGGTATGACAAAACAAGAATCAATCACCACACTTGCGGTTTGGGGATCGAATACAAGAACAAAGAGGTCATGCTGGTGGTAGCAGGGCCAGAAGACACAAGCAGAGGAAAGAAGCACAATGAAGGTGCTCACCGGCTCCCTCTCACACATGTGGCGCAGTGTGGAAATGGCAGCATACCGCAGACTGGGCTGCACAGGTTGATTGAAGGGGGGAAGGTGCAAAGCGGGCAAGAAAAACAAAGTGCAAGGAGATAAGGGATGCTAATGAGAGAGCAAGGAGACGGCCATATGAGGCTGGGGACTTTTGACCTGACTCGAAGGTCATTGAGTGAGTAATTCATGAGGCATGAAACAAGTGCACATGCGACGGAAGGGAACCAAGGCGAAGAGGGAAGGCGAGGGAAGGAAGGTAATAAAACAACAAGCCATGAAGGGAGCAAGGAGGTATGACGAGAATATGGTGGGCGGATGAAGGGAGGGAGCATGTAGTTAGAGCATGGAGGGAGCACGGCACCTGGCGAGAAGTGAGAGTGGCACGGAGGGTGGTAACGTGGTGGTGCAGCGGCATGGCTTGCGGGGCGAAGAGCACCAGCTGCTGCGTGTACAGCACACACCTGATGGCGTGGGGGAGGTGGAGGGGGACAGGGAGGGCGAGAGAGGGGGGGAGGAGCCAGCGTGGGGGGGAGGAGAGGGGAGGGAGGGAAGAGAGAGGGGACGTTGGGGGGGGGAAATGGAGGAAAGGGGAGGTTTAGTGGGGTTAAAACAATGTCAGTTGTTGGGTGCACAGGTTGAAGAAACAGGGGAAGAGAGGGTGGCTGGCAGGGGAACAGCAGCAGCAACAGCAGCAGCAACAGCAGCAGCAACAGCTCCTGCATGTACAGAACACGCCTGCTGTCATGGCATCTGGGAGGGAGAAGCGGAGTAAGACAGTGGCAAAAGGAATGCCGGTAGGCCCCGGCAGCCAGGAAAGGAAAAAGCAAAAGTTATGGGGATGGTGGAGATTCAGTTGGCAAGAAAGGGGCACAGGAAGGGGGAGGAAAGGCACAAGGAAGAGTGTGGGTGAGAGAAAGAGAAGAGAGGGAGAGTGGAGGGGAAATTGGGGAGAGAGAGGGTAGAGGGGAGTGAGGGAAGGGCGGAGGGCTTACTCCAGCTGAGCAGCAGGGTCGTTTCTCTGGCTGATATCATCCAGGATGCACTGCCACCAGAATCCATCACAGCAAGAGCGGGAGAGCAACGGAAAGAGGGGGGGGGGGAGGAGGGGGGAGGGGGAGGGAAGACAGGAAGAACGGAAAGGCGCTGAGTGTCAGCAAACAGCAGAGACGGCAGGGTGTGTGTGGGGTACACAGCCCTTCAGGCCGTGACGTGGGGCGCTGTTTCAGGAGCAACGCCATGCATTGCAGCGGTGCGGGAAAATGTAACGAGGCATGAGGGCAGTCGAAGAGCACAGGTAGGCATCGCGTCACGTCAGCGCCTGCCGCGTACATTGCTGCAGCGGTAGAAGACGGTGGATCCTGGGAGAAGCTATTTTTTTTAGGCGCCTCAAAAATCGCCTGCCGCGTACCTTGCAGCGGTAGAAGACGGTGGATCCTGGGAGCAGCTCTGGGCCAAAGACGGCCACGAGGGCATTGACGAGGCGAGCCACGCTCTGCGGCAGGCCCGCAGCCACGTGGTCGTCTGACAGCAGCACGTCCATGAGCAGCGACAAGGTGGCCTGTAGAAAGGGGGGGTCAATACATAGTAGGATGGGATGCTTGTGAATGCTTTGCTTCAGCGCCTTGGCAGGTGAAGGCAGGCCCACAGCAACGTGGTCGTCTGACAGCAGCACGTCCATCAGCAGCAACAAGGTGGCCTGGGGGATTGGGGAGGTTGGGGGAGGTTTGTGCTGGTTTGGGGGGTGACAGGTCGTGTGAAAGAAGCACGTTCGTTAGAACAGACACGGTCTCACGCAGGTTGACAAGTGGATGCGGCAGGGAGACAGAAAAGAAGAGGAGGAAGAGAGGGAAGGGATGGGGGACGTGCACGCACGCACCTGCACGTGAGGCGTGTAGGAGAGGCCAGCGGCGTCCGCAGTGAGCCAGAGCGCGTGCAGTGCCCAGATGTGCCCCAGGTGCTCGCCTGGCGCGCGTGCCATCGCCATGAGGAACTGCACGACTGGCGACACAAAGGACGACAGGGCTATGCCGCCCACACTGAAGGGGGTACATGAATTGGGGAGGGCGGAAGGTCGGAGGGGTGATGGAAAGAGGGGAGAAGGAGGGAGGAACTGAACGACTGGAGACACGAATGCAAGACGACAGAGCTATGCCGGCCTACGCTCAGGGAGGGGAGACAGCATAAGAGAAGGGGGAAGGGGCCCTGAGGAACTGCAAGACCGGTGGCATGGCATGAAGGATGGGAGGGCTTTCCCACCCCACGCTGGGGAAGGAGAGAAAACATAAGAGATGGGGAATTGGGAGAGGGTGAGGCAAGAGGGTGGGACAAGCGTTGTGTTGGGCAACAGGGAAACGCAGGCACAAGTGACTGACACTATGGCCCCGATTGCAACAGCAGCAGCGTGGCAGCAGCAGCTGTGCAAGCAGCAGCGGCGACCACCACAGCAGCAGCAACGGCAGCAGAAGAGGCAGCACAGCAGAGCTAGTACCTAGGGCTGGCGGCGTGGCTGAGCGGCTGGCAGAAACACAGCAGCAGCAATGGCCGCAGCAGTGGCAGGGCAAGTGCTTGAGCAGGCATGGGAGCAAGAGGGCGTGAGAGTTGTGTGCTATGAGAGGGTGAGGGGATGAGCGGATGAGGAGATGAGAGGATGAGGGGGTGAGCATGCACTGACCTGCGGAGCACTGAACCGAAAGCAAGAGCAACAGCTGCCCTGGTGGAAGGGTCTGAGGCCGCCTCTCCCTCTGCCAGCAGTGACCGGATCTGAAAGGGCACAAAGGAAGGGGCAGGGGCAGGGGGGGGGGCAGGGGCAGGGGGAGAGGAGGGTTGGTTGGGAGGGGTGAGGAGGGAGAGGAAGAACGGGAGAGAGGAAACGCGCTCTTAAGCAGAACAATCACTGGTGTCTGAACCTAAGGTAAGAGCCAGGACAAGCAGCACATAAACAAGTGTGTCATCCTGTACCAGATGAGCATACAAGCCAGCAAAGAGGGATGGCACGCAGAAACACAGCAAACAAGAAAAACGGGAGCATGGAGAGCACTGCTGATCAGGTGAGCGGCAGGTGAGCGGTAAAGAGGTCGTCCCCCAGGCGAGCTAGCAGGCAAATTCTGAGCCGACTCAAAATCACCTCACTGGTCTCTCACCAGGCGTGCGGCAAAGAGGTCGTCCCCCAGGCGAGCCAGCAGGCCCAGGGCCTCAGCTGACGCTCGCTTGAAAGCCGGGTTGGACAGGTCACTAGCAACGAAGCTCTGCAGAGGGGATACAAAACACATAGATACACTGCAATCATACAGCAGCCTTACCAACCAAGTGACCGTCATGTAAGGCGTTCTCGAAAGGCGAACCGCACAGCAGCAGAGAAGCTCGTTTTAGTGTTAACCACGAAGGGAGGGGAGGGGGGAGGGAAGGAGGAGGAGGAGGGGGCGGGCTAGACACGAATCAGTTGCATGAACTTGACAAATTCGAAAGAGAGGTCCATGTGAGCGAACCAACTCAACCAACAAATATGGCGGTTGGTTGTGGCAAGCACCTGAACAAGTGCCTGGATACGTCTGAGCGTCTCTGCGTCTTCCTCCTTAGCCTTGCGAGCTACCATACCCTGATGGGGGAGGCATGCCGCATGTGGCGACGGGCGATACACATGGAACACACACGCACAAGGATGATTCGTCACTACCAAAGCACTGAGCGAGAAAGGGGGAGAAGGAAAGAGGAGGGGGGGAAGGGGAGGCGGGGGGGGGGGGGGGGAGGGGATGGTCTGCAGATTTCTTCACACTGCCGAAAGAAGAGGCAGGATCGGTGCAACGGGCCACCTGCGTGAGGCGTTTTGAGTGCCCGTGCATGTGGGTATGCATGTGCGCATGTTTATCTATTGCTGTTGCCCACCTTGAGCGTGCCCACCACCACGACACAGGCGTTGGCCGTGGCAGACACACGTAGAGCCTGCCGCTTGTTGCCCTTCACAGCCACTGACAATGTGTCCACCAGCGCTACCTTGGACAATGGCACCTGTAAGGGCGTTCAAGTATGAGAACGGGAGACAATGGGAAGGGCAGGGGAGGCGGAGAGAGGGAGCGTGGACGGGAGCAAGGGGGGGGGGCAGGAGCCACTTGTTACCGTCACTGACACTGACAGGGTATCCACCCACACTACCTTGGACAATGGCACATGCACGGCACGGACATTCAGCGGGAGACGAGCAAGGGGAGACAAGCAAAGGGGGGCAGGAGCCGCTTATTGCCATTCACTGCCACTGATAGTGTGTCTATTAGCGCTGCACGGACAGCGGAACCAGTGCGAGCATTTGTGCATGGGACAGTGGGGGGGAGGGCAGACGAGAGAGGAGGGGAAGGAGGGAGACTAAGCATAAGATGGAAGGGAGATTGTGGAGAAGCCATAGGAGTGCTTGCGAAGAGACAAGCAGGCTCTGTAGTAGTTTAGTAAAACTAAGGAGGGGCAAACAGAGGGGCGAGCACTGTACCCAATTCAGCACATGGATAGAGAGCACTATAGCAGGCACAGACTGCTGTAGTGGATGGTAAAGGACATGCATTGACATGGGGACAATGGGACCATCACGGGTAGAGCATGGTGCATGGCGCATGGGGCATTGGGCATGGGGCATGCACGGGGCTCAGGGCATGGGGCATGGGACACACACCTGAATGGGGAAGAGAGCGATGAAGCAGCGGAGCATGGAGTCCACTAGGGCCACTCCCAGAGGCACGGACTGCAGTCGCGATCATGAGTGCGTGCAAAGCCGGTGGGGGCGGGCAGGGGAATTTGAACAGAGGCGATGATGAAAGGATGAACACGTTACACAACAGATTAGAGGGTGGAATAGGGTTGAAAGAGGGGGGAGAGATCCAGCAAACGGGGGGGAGGGGGGGGGGGGGGCTTGTCATGCAGGAATGACAGGGGAATGAGGAATGGGGCACGGGGAAGCGGAGTGGGGATGCAGGGAGGTGCTGGTGATCTTAGTGTTACTCAGTGCTGCATGTATGTGCAGAGATAGTGCACGTGCCCCCCGGATGCGTCCCGGAAGCATGCACGAGGTGTGTAGGTTGTGTATAGGGGGTGTGTAATGGTGTGTAGAGTAGAGTGCACCTGAGGGAAGGTGGAGGTGTCCTCCTCCCATACAGATGCAATCACCCCATCCATGCCACCTTCCAGTGCGCGTAACTCATCCTCCAACACATCCCTGCACCGCATGCGCACATACACACACACATGCACACACACGCAAATACACGCACACATACACAAACACATCCACACACACACACACATGCACACACACATGCGCACACACACACACACACACACAAGGAGACTTCACTGTTGTCAATGTAGTCATGAATGTATGTATATGCATGTATGACGTGGCGCATGTGCATTGACCAGATTCAAGAGATGGCACAAGCAGCAGAAGCAGCAGAAGTGACACTAAGGCAGGACAACTTAAGGGGCAGGGGTGTTGCAGAACATGCAGAGCAAGAAAGTGAAAGGGAGTGTGTGCATGTGTATGTGTCTGTGTGAATGAGCAAGAGAATGATTGGGGGCAGGGGAGAGAGCAGGGAACGAGAATCAGAAAGCTGACCTGCCAGGGAACCAGGGGCCAAGATTGGCGTCACTGGGTTCAAGGAGAGTGCGCAGGAGAGAGCTGCTGGGGTACGACGCTGTCTCTCTGAGGGGCGGACAGTGGCGAAAGAGAGGTCAGAGAGTGGGGAAGAGGGAGTGGGGTGAAGAGAAATGTTAAGGGAGAACGGAATTGCAGAGCTGCTGATAGGGAAGTGACGACAGGCTTGTACAGATCCGGACATCAGGCGGAACTGGGGGTGGGAAGGGGGGGGGAGGGGAACTGGCATGGGAGGAGCCCTGCAGGAGGGACAGGTGCAAAGGGACAGGGGAAGCAGGACTGTAGAGGCTGGACCATGACCCAAGAGGGGAAGACGACGGCCGTGTGAAAGGCAACTTCTTACAACCTAAACCTAAATAAGCCAGGCAGTGTACCGTAAAACAAGGCAGGCAGCATATCGCACCGGAAGGGGGCGGTGCAGATGTCGATGAGCATGGGGTGCAGGTGGCGGTAGAGCGCGGGGTCGGGCAGAGAGAGGAAGGTGTTGAGCGTGCGCACGATGAACAGCTCCGCATGCTGCTTCACCGACGACGACGCCTCACCCAAAGTGGATGATGCAATGTAAGTCAGCGCTCTGGGATACAGAGGGGTCAGAGGGGATTGAATTGAAAGGCAGCGAGCGGAGGGTGTTGAGTGTGCGCACGATCAAAAGATCTCCGCATGCTGCTTCACCGACGACGACGCCTCGCCTAGAGTCGACAATGCGATGTGGGTGAGGACGCAGGGAGGGGGTGTGAAAGAATTGGGAGAGATTTAGGGAAGGGAAGAAAGAGAGAGCCACAGGAGAAGGAATTGGAGAGGGACGACAGGTGGGGAGAGGGGAACGAAGGAAAAAGGAGTTGGACCAAGGGAAGGAGATGGATCAGGCGGACGTGAAAGGTAGGACTGGCAGGCAGTGACTGAGTGGGACTAATGGTGGGACGGTGACTAATAGCATAGGCGGCAGGCAGGCCACGCCACGCCAGGGGTACCCCATTCCGTAAGAGGTAATGCAAACTCGTACACCGAGAGGAAGGAAGGCCGCACATACCCTGAGAGGTAGCCCATGATGGGGTTGATGGTGTCCGCCACAGAGGGAGTTGCAAGGTTGGGCACCACGTAGCTCACTATGAACGCCCTCAGCGCGTCCATGGCTGCGGACCAGCAGCTGGGGAGAGGGAGAAATGGGGGGGGTGGGGGGGGAAGGGGAGGACAAATGGAAGTGGATGTTGGGCGCCACATAGCTCAATACGAACGCCCCAAGAACATACATGGCTGAAGTCCAGCAGGTGACAGGAGGGAAGGGGTTGTACACACGAGGTGGGAGTGGAGAGAGGTTGCCCGCCAACTACCCAAGACCGCCAACTATCCAAGTCCGACAACTACCCAAGACCGCCAACTACCCAAGTCCGACAACTACCCAAGTCCGCCAACTACCCAAGTCCGCCAACTATCCAAGTCCGCCAACTATCCAAGCCCGCCAACTATCCAAGCCCGCCAACTACCCAAGTCCGCCAAATACCCCGAGCCCGCCAACTACCCAAGTCCGCCAGCTACCCAACTCCGCCAACTACCCCAGTCCGCCAACTACCCAAGTCCGCCAACTATCCAAGTCCGCCAACTATCCAAGTCCACCAACTACCCAAGTCCGCCAACTACCCAAGTCCGCCAACTACCCAAGTCCGCCAACTACCCAAGTCCACCAACTACCCCAGTCCGCCAACTATCCAAGTCCGCCAACTACCCAAGTCCGCCAACTATCCAAGCCCGCCAACTACCCAAGCCCGCCAAATACCCTAGCCCGCCAACTACCCAAGTCCGCCAACTACCCAACTCCGCCAACTATGCAAGTCCGCCAACTACCCAAGTCCGCCAACTACCCAAGTCCGCCAACTATCCAAGTCCGCCAACTATCCAAGTCCACCAACTACCCAAGTCCGCCAACTACCCAAGTCCGCCAACTACCCCGAGTCCGCCAACAACCCCAGTCCGCCAACTACCCGAGTCCGCCAACTACCCGAGTCCGCCAACTATCCAAGTCCACCAACTATCCAAGTCCGCCAACTATCCAAGCCCGCCAACTACCCAAGCCCGCCAACTACCCAAGTCCTACGCAAGTCCGCCGCTAGATTAGACAGAAGCTACACGGAACACCTACACAAGGAGCCAGGCCGGAGAGAAGGCCAAGAAAGCTTTCCCAGGTGGGTGGGAAGGAGTGTGGGAAGGGGAGGGGAAAGGAGAGTACGAAGGAAAGTGCGAAGGAGAGTGCGCAAGAGAGTGCAAAGTAGAGTGGGGAAGAAGGAAGGGAAGGGAAAGTACTTGAGCTCTCCGGGCAGGCTCGCAGCGTCAATCCTCTTGACCCTGTCGGCGCAGCTGCCCCCAAAGGGCATGGTCCACAGAGCAAGGAACTCCACCTCCCTCCGTGCCACCTCCTGCCAGCACCGCAAGTGAAGAAAGGGGACCGGCCGGGAGGAGAGGGGGGGAGGGGGGGGGAAGAGTATGGGGCAAGAGTATCCGAGCAGCTGATTCCTGGCTGGCTTGATGACGAGTGGAGAGTTGGCAAGGAAGGACGAAGGGACACAACACGACCCATGAAGGGGGGTGGGAAGGGAGGGGGGAAGCAAAGAAAAGGGATTACGCAGGAGCGAGAGGCAACGTGAAGCTCAACAGCAGCACGCATGGGCTGAGCTCACCTCCTTGGGCATGGAGAGCAGCAGCGAGGCAATGAGGATCCAGCCGGCCTCATGGTCCGCTGCTGCTGCTGCTGGCAGCTGGCCTGGCGACAGCACCATCTGCTGCGCCATGTCTAGGATGGAGAGAGAGAGACTGTTTGTGGGGGAGAGGGGGGACGGGGGGGAAGGGGGGAAGAGATAGAGAAGGGGGTTTTATGACATCTCGACACAATCCCACGATCACGACAGCACCATCTGCGGCGCCATGTCCAGGATGGAGAGAGAGAGACTGTTTGTGGGGGAGAGACGGGGGGAAGGGGGGGGCGAGGGCAGGGGAGGAGAGAGTAGAGGGGGGGTGCATTGAGACGTCTTGAAACAATCCTACAATCAAGACAGCACCATCTGGCGCGCCATGTCTAGGGCGGAGAGAGAGTGACTGGGGGAAGATGGGGTGAGAGGGGGTGGGGGAGGGTTGAGAGCGGAAGGGGAATGTCTTGAGGCATTCCAAAACAACCCTATCATCACAACAGCACCACCTGGTGTGCAATGTGGAGGATGGAGCGAGAGAGAGACTGGGCGGGGAGAGGGGTGGTGGGAAAGACAGAGGGGAGGTGGCGGAAGTGCAAGGGAAGGGGGAAAGTGGCGGGGGGGGGGGGGGGGTGGAGAGGGTTAGAGTAGAGGTGCGAGAGGAGAGGAGGGGAGGGGGAAATGGACAACAGGGTCTGTTGCTTTTTCTGAGTTTAGAAGTGCAAGCATAAGGAGGAGGATGGAGAGAGGGCGGATGGTCGATGGGTGAGTGCGATCATCACAAGGAACTCCTGCTCGCGGGTGGCAGGAGCTACTGCCATACCGGACCGTCAACTGTGGGGCACTGAAGTCAGAGCACAGAATCATGAGATGTTCCGGTTCCGGTTCTGGTTCCAGTTCCGGTTCTGGTTCCAGTTCCGGTTCTGGTTCCAGTTCCGGTTCTGGTTCCAGTTCCGGTTCTGGTTCCAGTTCCGGTTCTGGTTCCAGTTCCGGTTCTGGTTCCAGTTCCGGTTCTGGTTCCAGTTCCGGTTCTGGTTCCAGTTCCGGTTCTGGTTCCAGTTCCGGTTCTGGTTCCAGTTCCGGTTCTGGTTCCAGTTCCGGTTCTGGTTCCAGTTCCGGTTCTGGTTCCAGTTCCGGTTCTGGTTCCAGTTCCGGTTCTGGTTCCAGTTCCGGTTCTGGTTCCAGTTCCGGTTCTGGTTCCAGTTCCGGTTCTGGTTCCAGTTCCGGTTCTGGTTCCAGTTCCGGTTCTGGTTCCAGTTCCGGTTCTGGTTCCAGTTCCGGTTCTGGTTCCAGTTCCGGTTCTGGTTCCAGTTCCGGTTCTGGTTCCAGTTCCGGTTCTGGTTCCAGTTCCGGTTCTGGTTCCAGTTCCGGTTCTGGTTCCAGTTCCGGTTCTGGTTCCAGTTCCGGTTCTGGTTCCAGTTCCGGTTCTGGTTCCGGTCACAAGTCACGTTCTGAGCTGACCTGGAAGGGAGACCGAGGGGCAGCTTGGGCCCGAGAACGAGCAGCGCGGAGAGCATGAGCGCCTGGCCGTGCAGGGAGTCGAGAGTCACTTTCAGCCGGTCGCCCTGCCCGCATGCACACAGAAGCGGGACGCGGGCGTGGTGCACAGAGGAAAGGGCGCGGGGGTTGCGTTGCGTGTGTGATGTGACCATACCCATGCACATACATGATACATGCACGTCCACAGCGAGCTCTTACGAAAGGGAGAGAAGTAGGCGCAGAGAATAGATGGCGAATGCACGTCCATTGTCGGGCCATGGGCGGCCAGCCCCAAATGGCAATGAGAAGAAGGTAGGGCGCACCTTCTCTGTGTTCATGGTTTCCCTGAGGGCTCGGAGCGCAGTGAAGCCGGAGAGAATGAAGGAGTGAGCACGGGACGCGTCCACCTGCGCCAACACCTTGATGGTGCGCGCCGCCTCCACCCGCACCTGATGCCATGCCATGCCATGCCGTGCCGTGATGTGCCATGCCATGCCGTGCCATGATGTGCCATGCCATGCCGTGCCGTGATGTGCCATGCCATGCAGTGCCAGGTCATGTCATGCCAGGTCATGCCGTGATGTGCCATGTCGTGTTGCGACAGCCCAGGTGGTGGTATGCCATGTCATTTCGGCATGCCACGTTATTGTGTCATGCCATCACACAGCCACGTAGTGTCAAATGCCATGCCATGCTCCTCATGCCCACCAATGCAACATCCATGCGGAATAGCAAGCATATGGAACAACAAAGGGGACAACGTCAACAGGGAAAAGCGGGCACTTGTGAGCAAGCATGGGAGCACGCATGCACAAACACTCACATGACACCCACACCAATGTTCACACACAGAGACGATTGTGAACATACAGGGTGGACGCCCTCCTGGGACACATTGCAACCGCAGCAGGGTGAACATGCGACTACAAAGAGCCTTTTGAGTCAACTCAACATCAGCTGTGGGATACATTGCAACCACAGCAGAGCGAACATGCGAGTACGCACAGCAGGTGAAGGGTTGGAGAGAGTTGCGAGCAGGCCATAGTCCAGTGCCTCTCGTGCTGCTTGCGTGACCTGCACCGCACGGACGGGGAGGAGAGCAAGTTAGGCACAGCGAGAGCAAGAGCAGGGAAGGCAGGGAACCATGAAGGAAGAACGCACAACAACGGGAGGGTGGAAGGGGAGTAGAGATAGTCACGAAGGTATGGCTTCTACCCTTAGATCTGACACTCGCATAGAGCATGCATGACATTGGGCACACGCGGAGAGACGCGATAACCAGCGACGCCAGCAATGCCAGCAACATCAGCAGCAGAGCGTGTTCTTGCTGGGGGGGGGTGGAGAGGTGAGGTGGGCACTGTATTTTGGCAGGAGAGCGTGCAGGGAAAAGGGGAGCATGGAGGGGAAAGGAGGTCGTGTTTTGCGCAGGATGGTATGGGGAAAACGCGAGCTTTAAGTCCACCCTCAAACCTCATTTGGGGGAATGTGCACTAAGTCAGCTGGGGGGGGCGTGCTGCACTGACCTCCCCGAGTGTGGTGAGGAGGTGAGAGAGGGTGCGCAGAGCCGCCACCAGCATGTGCGGACCCATGTCACTGGCAGTCAGCTGCACACACAGGACACAAGGAAGGAGGGTGAGAGCGAGGGGAGAGAAAGAAAAGGGAGGTGGGAGAGTGACGTGGGTGCGATGAGCGGTGAGAGCGAAGGCGATAGCAAGCAGGGGTTGGGTGAAGAGCAAGTGTGACCACACACGCCGACCGACCTGCATTGCTGATGTCATGGCCACTGGCACTGGCACCAAAACAGACAACGAAATCGGCACCATGCACCGAATTTCACACAATGAAGGGAGGACGTTGAGGGGCAGTGCAGTGCACACACCACCGAATCGGATAGATCTCGCAACCTATGGATGCAGATGGTGGGGCAAGGCAAGCCCTCTCATTCATGGCCTTCTTTTTCCTCCTCCTAGCCCCCCTCCCCCCCCACCCCCCCCCCCGCCCTCTCACCATCCCTTCACTCTCATCTCATCTCGTCTGCCTCTTCTCCACTTCCTCTCCTCTTCCCAAAATCCCAGCTTCCCTCCCCCTTCCCCACCCCCTCCCCCCACTCCTCCCTCTCACCTGGTGTGTGAGGGTGCGTGTGAACTCGCGCTGTGCCTCCTCCCCCATCTGCTCCACGAGGCCCACTTGAAGAACGTACAGCGCACATGCCTGCACACAGAAACACTCACCACACACACATGCACTCCGCCTCACTCGAACCCATTCCACCGTACACCACCGCATTCCAACCAGCATTCGCAGTACTCCATCCACACCATTCCATTCCGTTCAACCCCAGCCCAACCCCGAATACGCATGGAGTAAAGAAACAATCATAGAGCAACCCACTCCCCCTCCCTCCTTTACCCCTCCGTCTCTTCTCCCATATAAAAAACCCTGTGCCCTTACCCAATTCCCTAGCAATCACCAGCGCCATTCCATGCAACCCCTAAACAAGAGCCAACCCATCCTCCCCCCCATCCCTTCCACCTGAGTCTGCAAGTCAACAGAGGGGAGCATATGCCAGAAGAAATTCCTAATGCACCTAGAACCCCCCTCAATTCCAATCCCCCGACATAGGCCTCCCCTACCCCTCCCCCTCTCCTCCTCACCCTCCCCCTTCCGGTCCCACCTGCGCCTGTGAGTCAATGGAGCGGGCATAGGCCGGCAGCAGCGCCAGCGCCTGCATGCCGTAGGGCACTAGGTCCATGTCTGCTACTCCGTACTGAGTCCTCAGACCCTGGGGGAAGGGCGAAAGGGAGGGAAGATGGGATGGGGGACAAGGAAGCAGCGGAAAATGAGATTCAGTTGCAAAATCATTTAGAAAACTTGGTATACCTTGAGGTAACTTAACTGCAGTTGCTGATGTGATTGTACTGTTACAGCCGTCACAGCTGTTCCGTTACAGTTGCTTTGCTTTGCTTGGATTGGCTGGGACCGGCGTGCTTACCTGGAGCAGTGCTACCCATGCCATGGCAATGGCCAGGCGAATCTCCTTGCTGCGCGACGCTGGAGCTGCACACATGCACACATGGATGAACGTGCACCATCTCACACACACCCACCCCCCCCCCCCCCCCCACACACACACACGCACACGCACACACACATACAGAGGCACGCATACATGCCCATGCATTCCCAACGCAGGCACTCATGCGCATACGAGCACACACACAAACATGCTCCAAGGGGAAAAAAAATCCAGGAGACGGAAAAAACATGGAACCGCAATCATTCAAACAGGAACAAGACAGAGACTAGTTGAAAGATCAGGCAGGGCAACAGGAGACAAGTTTTCAGACATATCTCATCAGATGCTTCAGACCCGGGGAGGCGTAAGGGAGGGAAGAGGGAGGGGGGGGGGGGGAGAGTTGGGTAGAGAGAGGGGGGGAGGGGGATACAGAAATTTCAGCAGCAGGGGAGCTACTTGTGTGCGGCGCACCTCGAACAAAGGGCGTGGTGAGATACTTCTGAATGGCGTTGTCCATGGGCTTGGGGGGCGCTGCTGACGCCTTGCCACGTGGAATGATCTGCAGTGTAGACACACGGGCCACACGCCCACACATACTCTCATGAGAGAAGGCGAAATATTTGAGGTCATGATTGAGGTTCAGGGTAGCGAGAGAGGCAGAAAAAGACAATACACTCCTCCGCTTCACCCCTCCCCTTTCCACTCCCTCCTTATCACTCACTCACTCACACACACACACAGCACACACAAGATCAGCACACAGAAGTGCGGACCTGAGCGGAAGGGTTGAGGCCGAGGGCCACCACAGCGCCCAGGGCAGCAGAAAAGGCGTCCCTCACTGCCTGAGCTGGGTCGTCCACCGCCTGTTGTTGCAAGATGTCCATGCCCATGCCCATGCCCATGCCCATGCCCATGCCCATGCCCATGCCCATGCCCATGCCCATGCCCATGCCCATGCCCATGCCCATGCCCATGCCCATGCCCATGTCCATGCCCATGCCCATGCCCATGCCCATGCCCATGCCCATGCCCATGCCCATGCCCATGCCCATGCCCATGCCCATGCCCATGCCCATGCCCATGCCCATGTACATGCCCATGCCCGTGTCCGCATTCCCCATGCCCATTGCCATGCCCATGCCCATGCCCATGCCCATGCCCATGCCCATGCCCATGCCCATGTACATGCCCATGCCCGTGTACATTCCGCATTCCCCATGCCCATTCCCATGCCCATGCCCCGTATCATACCCATGTACATTCCCCATGCCCATGCCCATGCGCACGCCCCACCACACACACCCAGTAAAATCTCATGAGAAGAGAACACCATGTGAGAGCAGCATAGCTCGGGCAAGCCGAGAAAGAGCAACACGAGGGCAGACTGAATAAGCAGTGTAGGGCAGCATTCAACAACTTCATCCTCTTATAGGTTTTTTTTTAATTTCTCAATAAGCCTTGAAGGGCAGCATTCAGCAACTTCGCCCTGGTCCTGGAAGCAAGCACAAACATGTTCCCACGTCCCCCCCTCTTCTCCCCTCCTCCCTTCCAACCCACCACACGTCTTCCTTGCTCCCTCGCATCCTCCACCTCTCCACCCCTTCCCCCCACCACCCACCTTCACACACAGCTGTGCCATGGAGTCAAGCGCCCCTCCAGCCAGCCCTGGTCCCCCTGTGACCGCGAGGGCCCGGATGCAATGAGCCGTTGTCTCGCGCACCAGGGCGGACCTGTCCCTCACGCCGTAGCCGGAGAGGGCGCGCACTGCATCGGTGTACGCGGACGTGGGGCCAGCGCCTTTCATCACCTCGACTGCTGCTAGGAGCAGCTGCAGGGATGCATTGCGCACGCTGGGCTGGTGGGGGAGAGGCGAGGGGGGGGAGGGAAAGGGGGGAGGGGAAACGAGGGTGCGATGGAGAGAGAGGGGGAGGTGAATGCGAGGAGAAGTTTTGAGGCGGGAGGGGATGGGGCGAGACGGGAAGTGGGAGGAGAGGAAAATGGTTAAGCAAGGGGAAAAAGAGCAAGAAGAGAAACCCTCATGCGACAGCAAGCAGCAACATGAGAAAGGAACAATCAACAGAAGGCAGTGACGCGTTGTAGTAGAAACACGGAGAGACAGACCTCTGCATTGCGCAGCAGCCTGCTGACCACGTTGACGGTTTCCGTCAGGCTCGATGCAATCCGCGTGCCAAAGGCGCGCGTGATGGTTGTCAGCGCCTCCAGCGCCCCTGCTCGCAAACAAGTGGGGGGAATTCATGCGGTCAGAGGCGGTAAAATGGAGAGCGCGCACGTTATGTGTGAGCGATTTGTCACACCGAGTGTCGCAGGGTTTCCACCGGCTGAGAAAGGAACTCCTCCCTCTCAACGCCTTGGAAGCCAGATTCCTTGCATTGCAGTGATGGATGGGAGCATGGGATAAAATGAAAGGTAGAGGAGAATTTGGAAACATTGGATCCTACCCTACCCTTAGCACTTGCTGTAGCCATGTGAACACACATATACACATCTTCCTCCCATCCACTCCCTCAACTCAACCATCTTCAACCGGTCCGTTACTACCCCTTCCCAACCCCTCCACACGCTCACTCAATCCCTCACGCACTCTCTCCGCCACTCACCCACAACAGCGCCTGCCCGCTTCTCCCCCTTCTCGAAGAACCAGCTCTGCAGGGAGCTGACGCGCGAGTACACGGAGATGGAGTCTCCGCGCTCTATCACGCGCACCAGCGCGCCCGCCAGCAGCCGCCGGTTGGGGGGGCCCGCGCCCTGCAGCAGCAGCGCCTGCAGGGTGTCCTCGCTGCGCCGCTGCATGAGCTGCAGCGACTCCTGCGCGCGGAGAGGCGGGGGGGAGGGAGGGGGGGAGAGCGCAAAGTGGGGAAGATAGGGGGACAACGAAGGGGGGGAGAAGGGAACGGGGAGAGAGGAAGATTCAGTATAGAGGTAAGCCGTCTGGAGGGGAGGCGAAAAGTAGCGACTGCGTTCCGCTCATAGCACAGAACGGCGAAACGGCAAATGGAATGAACACATAGCCACTGAGCCATGCCAACACTCTGGCTGGTCGCCTGCGCACCCGCACCCGTCCCCCAAGCAGCTCCATACCGATCGACTGATAAGGAAAAAACGACTCACCCCCGCACCTGTCCTGGCAAACGATCATGCAATCACAGGACAGCTTATGGCAAATCGCGCAACAGGAATCGACCGTCGTTGACTGCCTAATCCGTCTTGCGGATCAACCAGGCTTGGGGGTTGCTAACCATTCTTTCTGGTTTCCACGCCCCTTCCCAATCGCAGTTCGTAACGACGGCGACGAGCTGCATCAAACCCGACGCTTGTGGTCGTCGAGTAGATAAGTAATGTGAGGCTAAAACAGATGCGCATGGAAAGCTCGTGTCAGGATTCTGGTACCCGGGGGAAAGCACAGAAGAAGAAGAAAGCAAAACTCATTTTTCTCACCTCGGGTTCATTCTCGATGGAGACATGGAGATTCTTTAGTAGATCGAAGCAGAAGAGGGGATCAGGCGGCTTAGCGGCGGCAGAGTGCAGTATGAGCTCGAGCTCCGAGATCACCGCACTGAGCTTCTGAACCTCCTCCACGTGCTTCACCTCCATTGGCTGGGGAGGCGGGTTTCGAAGAGAGGACGAGTGTGAAGGGTGTGAGGAGTGCAAAGAGTCCGACGAGAACGAAGAGAGCGAAGAGAGACGTTCAGATCAACCAGCAAGCAGCAAGCTTCGTGCTGCCGTCAGCGGGGTTACAGTCTTAGGGGGGAGGCGTAGCGATGAAATCAGGTTCCAAAACGCCACGAGACGACGACCCGAAGGAGCAAGCTCGCAGGACAAGCGTACTAAGGGCTACCTAGCTTAACGGACGCTTGCAAAGCTAAGGGACTTGTGACAAGACGTGAGTTCTCAGCATGGCGCAGGTCCATTGTGCTAGACCAAGCAACATGCCAGCTATCGGCATGTCAGCAACATGCCTAATGATTAAGGCTCAAGCCAAAAAAATGGCATTAATGCAGGGATTCAATAATGCATTGGCAGATATCAGCGACGTGCTGCACAGTTCTAAGAGTAAACATTTTCCACTGCTTTCTATACCAATCCACAACGCTGTTCGCCTAGTAATACCGTCACGAAACCTTTGTCTGGAATCACAGGAGAAAGGTGGAAACCTGACGCATTCGAGCCTATCTTGAATCATTGGGACCTGACGTCGCAGATCAATCAGTAAAATTGGGGGATCACACGATCATCCACCGACCTGCGGAGGACGGCACGGAAATTCTGCTCAATGCGGAAGCCAGCACGGCGACCAATCCCGTCCACCCGACTACAATACGCCGGCCTAAAGTAAGTTATACGAGACCAAACGCCAGAATGTGGATCGGGGTAGCTATTTTGTCATTAGAAACCCCCCATGCTGAAATGTGGAGATCTTGGTGCTAACTTGAGTTTCCGAGCCTCCTGAGTCCTGAGCTCAGCTGTGTGCAGCAGAGGTTGAAATTCAAGTAGAGGGGAAAGGAGGTTGCTGGAAAATGCAATGGTTGCACCGTGTGACAAAAAGGGTTGCTTCGTTGGGCACAAGGAGTGACAAAAAGTGATGGCGGGAAACTGATTACTCTGACATGAAACAGTGCTTTACATGCCAGTACAAAGTGTCCATACGATTACCAGCATTGTGCCCATAAAACTCACACTCGGTAAATCTTTCCCAGCTATTTCACATTCAAATTTTCTATTTAGTTGAACATGAACATATGTACACCTTCACCCTTCTCTGCATTGTGGTTGTCCAAAAACGCTAAACGTTGAAACAAATGGCTCGCCAAAATTGATAAAGGTAGCCCTCCAAGTCCACCATGGTGACTAATGAATGCAGAATTGGAGAGGACGCCCAAGAGTTTGTCTTTATACCATAAGAGATAAGCATGCAGCAGTATAGCATTCTACAAACAACGTAACACTCATCTGATTTGTCCCACATAAATATCATTTTGGAAGCTCGGGAGAAGCTGGCAGCGCGACCCTATCCCCGATCTGCCCATGCACTCGCCTCGTCAGCATCCACCACGTCATCGCCCCGTGCTGTCTCATCGATTCTTCATCCCCAGCTGATTGCCTGCCCTCCCCGCATCCTGAAGAATCCCCCTATGCATGCTGTCCCCGCGCTCGTCAGTTCCCCCGCCTCGCGTTCCCTTTCCGCGCGCCCGCAATATAGGAAAATCCGCCTCTCCGCCCATCCATTCTCATGGCTCATGGTGTTTCTAAAACCCCTTCCTAAATTCCAAGCATTCTGACATTGAATGCATAGCTCCTTCATCCTACTACCTTGTCAGGTACGCGCGGTAGCTCTCAGGCTGCTGCTCAGTGACATTCTCTTTTTGTAATCGACGGTATCGGCGGCCTGCTAGGTATTCTCGCTTGTTTGCATCTAGCGCCGCTTGCTTCCCGACGTCTTCGATTCCAGAGTGTGAGTGGTGAGGTCAGGACTCAGCAGTGTCAGAACCAGAGATCCCACGGGAGAAGATGGTGGACGAGATTGAGACCGAGGAGCGCAAGGAGCTCGACCTCACTTCCTCCGATGTCGTCACCAAATACAAGGCCGCTGCGGAGATCGCCAACAGTGAGTACTGCCGCTTCCGTCGAGGTGGCGACTTGTATCGTCAAGCTTATCTTGCCGTGTTGTCATTATGTTTTTTTTTTTGCCTCACTTTGTATACACGTACGTTCAGAAGGAACTGCAGGAGGTTTTTTTTGTGGGGGGAGGGGACGGGAGAGGGGGGGGGGGAGCGGGCGCGGGGGGTGGGTTGAGGGGTATCCTGCCCTGAGCAATGGAATCTGCCTAGTGTTTCCTTGGCCTCATGCAGACATAACTACGTTCACGTTTTTCGCTGCCTCGTATCCACCATTTCTTCATCCCTATGGTCATTCACGTCACCAGTCGCCACATTGTCCCTTCCTTGTCGTTCCATTCTCTCCCTGGCATCTCGCGCTGCTTCTCTTTGCTCGCCGTCTCATCGCACCTGCTCATCTATCTCTATTTCCCTTCCCTGATGCTTGTGTTTTCCGTCTGTCTTGTCAGAGGCAATTGCGACTGTGGCAGCACAGGCTAAGGCGGGAGCCAAGGTGCTAGATCTATGCGAACTTGGAGACAAGACAATCAACGAGTGAGCTTTTTTTCTTCTTCGGTCGAATTCGTTTTTTTCCCCTGCTACTATTCGGCCTTCGTTCTATGTCTTCAGACCTCCTTTGCCTGTCTAAATTCCTCATTCGCTTCTGTCTCTTCTTCGTTCTTAACATCCCCCCTTTCCCCCCCTTCCTCCCGCCCCCCCCCCCCCCCCCTCGCCTTATTTTCCTTCCTGTCCATCCATCCCATCCCGTGCAGGTTATCTCAGGGCGTGTTCAAGAACGCGAAGAAGAAGATAGAGCGTGGAGTAGCCTTCCCCACGTGCGTCTCCGTCAACAACATCGTCTGCCATTACTCCGCCGCAGCTGGCGACGAGGCCGCCCTCTCTAACGGCGACGTTGTCAAAATGTACGCGTTCTAAGCCTTGCGCGCTCTAAGCCTTACCCCCTCCCGTGCGCTTTTGACACTGACTCCTGTGTTCCTGTTAGACCGTTGAGTATCCAGCTGTGATTGCCGTTTTTTACGGGACGGAGAGGTATTGTCCTCCGGACTCCCCCTTATTTGTTCCCTCCGTACTCTGTTTCTCACCCCCGTACCCGTCCCCCCCTTGCCTTGCACCCCCCTTCCCTGCCCCATGCCCCGAACTCTTTCCCCCCCCCCCTCCCCCCCTCCCCCCGCAGCGACCTGGCGGCGCACATCGACGGGTTCATCGCGTCGGCGGCGAACACGGTGGTGGTGCAGGAGGACGCGGCGGCGCCGGTCACGGGCAAGGTTGCCGATGTCATCGCCGCCGCCAACACCGCCGCAGAGGTCGCGTTGCGGCTCGTCCGACCGGGCAAGCACGTACGTCACTGGCAGACGGACAGACGGGCGGGCGGACAGGCGGACGGATGTACGGATGGACAGACGGACAGGCGGATGGACAGGCGGACAGGCGGACCGACAGGCGGACAGGCGGACCGACAGGCGGACAGGCGGACCGACAGGCGGACAGGCGGACTGACAGGCGGACAGGCGGACCGACAGGCGGACAGGCGGATAGGCGGACACGTGGACTTACGGACAGACATGCTCTTGGCTATGATGGATGGCCCCTCTCCTCTTCGATACCGATTCTTCAGGCATGCCCTTGTTTCGTCCCCGTTCATTTCACTCCCCCACCGAATCCATGGGGTTTTAAGCTCCGGTTCCTCCTCCACCCGTGTCCTCCCTTGACCTTCTCCCCACCCTGCCCCTCCCCCGGCCCTCGCGTTCCCTCCTTTCTTTCCTGCTCCTGCCGTCCGTCACGCCTGTCATCACCATCTCCCCCTTCTCCCCCCCATTCCGCTTCCCCTCTCTCCCCCCACCCCAACCTCCGGTTCTGCACCACCTCCCCTTTAGCGCACCGCCCCCTTCTGCGCCCTTTCCCCCCTGCGCCCCCTCCGCAGAACAAGGAGGTGGCGGAGGCGTACGGCGTGCACGTGGTGGAGGGCGTGCTGTCGCACCAAATGAAGCAGTTCGTGATCTCCCCCTCCTAACCCCACCCAAACCCCCCTCCCGCTTCCCCCTTTCCCCTTCCCCCGTCTCCGCCTTCTGCGCTCCCCCCCCCTCCCCCCACCAGAACAAGGAGGTGGCGGAAGCTCTGCAGAAGGTGGCGGAGGCGTACGGCGTGCACGTGGTGGAAGGTGTCCTCTCGCACCAGATGAAGCAGTTCGTGATCGACGCCAACAAGGTCGTGCTGTCCGTGTCGTCGCCCGAGATGCGCGTGGAGGACTTCGAGTTCGAGGCCAATGAGGTGTACGCCGTCGACATCGTCATGAGCAGCGGCGAAGGCAAGGTAACCACGAGAAGCGCTGACTGTGTGCGCGAGCTGTGATTGCCTTGCGTCGGCATTCCCCTCCCCCTCCCCCCGCCTCCCTCTCTCCTCTTGTCCGTGTCGTCGCCCGAGATGCGCGTGGAGGACTTCGAGTTCGAGGCCAATGAGGTGTAGGCCGTGGATATCGTAATGAGCAGCGGCGAGGGCAAGGTAGCGGGATGCGAGCATGCGTGCCCAGTGGCGTTTGCTCCTTTCACCTTTCCTCCCACGCCTTCCATTGTTCTCTGCCTATTCCACCCGCCTCCCCACTCACCCCCACATCCCCCCCACCCCTTCAAAGCTGCGGCCCCGCCCTCCCCCCTTCGCCTCTCAAACCCCGTGTTACCTCTGCTCTGTGCTGTGCTGCTCTGCTCTGCACTGTGCGTGTGCGTGTACGTGTGCGTGGCAGCCGAAGCTGGTGGACGAGAAGCAGACGATGGTGTACAAGCGCGCGGTGGACAAGGCGTACAGCCTCAAGCTCAAGGCGTCGCGCGCCATCTTCAGCGAGATCAACCAGAAGTTCGCCATCATGCCCTTCACTGCGCGGTGAGCTCTCCGCCGACTCCTCTACAGCGCACTGCGTGCAATGCCCCTCGCCGCACATAGTCTCTCCTGCGAAATCAGTGTGCGCGTTGTCCCCTTGACGTCACTCCTCCATGGGTTCCGCATGCCCGCTACTGCGCTTCCACCTCCCCACTGCTCTGCCTGCTCTACCATAACCCCGTTTCTCTAGCTCCACTCAGCTGAGTTGTGTGCTCCCTGCCGTGCTCCCTGCCGTGCTCCCTGCCGTGCGCTCTGCCGTGCTCGTGTGCTCGCTGCCCCAGTCATCCAGTGCAGTGCACCATGCGCATCCCGGGCTCCCATCCCCTCGTTCTTCCCATGTCCTGTGTTTATGCACACATCCTTCCTCCGCTCCCCTTGCTCTGCAGTGCGCTGGAGACCAAGGCAGCGCGGTTGGGATTGGTGGAGTGCGTCAACCACGACCTGCTGCAACCCTACCCCGTGCTGCATGAGAAGCCAGGTGCGTGCATGTGTGGTTGTGGCGAGTTGTTCATGTTCTTGTTTTGAGTCGACCCAAAAGCTGCTGTAACCTTGCCCTGTGCTGCATGAGGGGACAGGTGCGTGCGTGTGGTGGTTGTACCAAGGGGTATTTAAATGCAATTGAGTCTGGTTCAAAGAGCCGCTGCAGCCCTGCCCTGTGCTGCATGTGGAGCCAGGTAAGCCTGTGCCTTGGTAAAGGAGGTCGCAAGGGGTACATACATTGCTGGTTTTGCCCCTGGGGGTGAGATATTTCTGAGCACAGTGCAGCTTCAAAGGAGAGATCTCAGTAGGTTTGAGTAGTGGAGCGGTGTAATCAGGAGTCCTTCAAGGTCGTGAAGGGAGTACGTCAGCTTCTTCAGAGGTACTTAGCTCTGTCTTACACATACTTGGGAGTATGGCTCGTGGAATCCGTTGCAGCCTTCGCTGCTGTACCCTCATCCACCCTCTGTCCTCTTCCGCCCCAATCATTCCCCTGTTCATTCTCGTCCCCTCTTTATAGGCACTTCAAACGCAGACCCTCTCTCCCATCCTCCCCCTCCTCCCTCCCCTCTCCCCTCCCCTCCCCTCCCCTCCACCCCCCAGGCGACATCGTGGCGCACATCAAGTTCACGGTGCTGCTCATGCCCAATGGCTCGGACCGCATCACGTCGGCCTCAATCCAAACACTGCAGCCCGCCACGGAGCTGCAAGATGCAGACGTCAAGGCGTGGCTCGCCATGAGCTACAAGACCAAGAAGAAGCCCGCGTCCAAGAAGAAGGCTGAGGGTGAGGGTGCAGGCAATGCTGGCTGGTTTGTTGCAACTGCGATTAGCACACGGTCGCCGTTCCTGTTTGTTTCTTGGGCTGCCGAGAGAGACCGAGTGTGGAGACCGAGTGTCCTGTGGTGTGCCTCTGTGATTTGGCCCTCCTCGTGCTGATGCATTTTGTGGATCTCTTGCCTGTCGATTGTCCACGCACTTCTCATCTTGCAGGTGCTAAGGAGGCAGAAGAGGCAAAACCAGCTGAAGCCTCAGCATAGAGCCTGAAGAGGCTTGCCTAGTTTTGTTGAACAGATATAAGGGCTTGGGGGAGCACTCAGCATGAGTGCTCCGTCTTTGGCCATTGTGTGTTTTGGGCATTGGCAACTGGTCCACCGTGGGATGCTTGGTGTTGGTGAAACAAGACGTAGTAGGTATCCTGAGAAGGTTCTAACCTATCGTTCTCCCACATGCATCCTGCAATCTAGACCCCAGAAGCAGGAGTCACATTCCTCCCAAATGGAATGTACTGGGCCCAAACATACAACCATCAACACTTCTACACTGAAGTTTGCCTAGCTTATCCTGTGCTGATGCAAGCTTGTGCTGGCGGGTGCCATGCAACGCCTTAGTGCCGGGTGATCGTGATTTGTCATCCTTGCAAACCGCACTCACATACGTCGCATCACACGCAACATCGAAGTTTCCGACCTTCGCCGCGACTCGCTATAAGCGCTTTCCATGGCGTAGGCATAGTGGCAGGGCTCGAAATAAAGGTGCAGTTTGCAATGTAGGGCGTCAGGTGGCAGGACTCGTTTTACCAGATGTTTCATTTTATGAGATGCAACACGGTGCGTTTTTAGGCCCAGTTATAAGTCGGTGACCGGTTTCTTATGCAGTGGCGATACCCAAACTGCTCCAACAAGTGGTAGAAATGTGAGACACTTGGCCTTGTAACTCACGAGCTCTATTCCGTTCACAAACCGACCGAGGCCGACACATTGACGATATGCCGTGAGCTTGTTTTTAGGATTACGTCCTTAGTTGCGAAATCAGATTCAGGTTCCATTTGAACTCCCTGCCAGATCCGCCCCCAGCAGCATCCCATTGCCTCCCATCCCACACCCTGCCACTCTCCCCTCCTTACTGTCTCTTACTATCTGCGTGTTGCTCATTTCGTTCTCGTAGTGCTCATAGCTACTTGATAGATCCTGGGCTATCAATCCACCAGCATCTCGACACCGTCTCTGCCTTGTCGTCGAATCCGTTCGTTCAGCAGCCATCATGAGTCTGATGTGGGTTGCCGTCGCCAGCCTCACAGGGCTGGAGGCGTTGCTTCTCTTCCTCGTCACCTTGCCGCTCCCTCGCTCCCTCACGTCTCGCTTCGTTCCGCTAGTTCTCGCGGCTTTACAGCCGCTCCTGGCGGTGGTGCCGTTTTGCCTCTTCTTCCTACTCGGTCAGTGATTTCCCAGCACCTTTCGGTCAGGCGATGAGCAGGCGCCTTAGACCAGATACCCCTTTCGTGTTTTACTTGGTATGTAGTTCCAAATCTTGTTCCTCTGCTCTCTCTCGTTCATTCTTCCGGTCAACCCCTACGACCTCCCTGAATTGCGCGCGATCTGGCGTATGACTGATTTTTTTCAACATAGTATCCTATATTCTTGGAAGCTGCTCGTCTCTTACCACCCCACTTCGCTTCCTGTGTGCTGCCCCACTTCTCATGGCCACCTGCTGTCTCAAGCGGTCCCTTGTATTCGTGGGAAAGCCTGAGCACAGGGCGAGGCACTTCAGGACTAAAAGTACGACTTCCGCATTTTTTTAGTCGACTCAACAGCGCTGCTCCCCGTTTTCTATCTCTTTCTGCTGTGCATCCCGGCCATCGCCCACTACTGTGCCCAGACGTGTATTGGAAGTATGAGTTCCGCATGGACTGCAGGGGCGGAGCCTGCACGTCTGCGGACCGCGACAGATACCAGAAATCCGTAAGTGGCCGCCACACTATTGCCTTACCGCCGCCGCACCTTTGCTTTACTGACGGCGTAGCTTTGCCACTGCTGGAAGCATGTGCCTCTTAGTATGTGGTCGCCGCCGGCCGGAATCTTGCCGATCATCGTCAGGGCCTAACGTCGGCCCATACCAGCTTCAAATCCTCCGAGTGTCAAAGCTCTGTCCACCTAGTCAGAGTACTGCATGTCCATCTAGTCAACGTACTGCATGTCCATCTAGTCAACGTACTGCATGTCCATCTAGTCAACGTACTGCATGTCCATCTAGTCAACATACTGCATGTCCATCTAGTCAACATACTGCATGTCCATCTAGTCAACATACTGCATGTCCATCTAGTCAATGCACTGCATGTCCATCTAGTCAACATACTGCATGTCCATCTAGTCAACATACTGCATGTCCATCTAGTCAACATACTGCATGTCCATCTAGTCAACATACTGCATGTCCATCTAGTCAACATACTGCATGTCCATCTAGTCAACATACTGCATGTCCATCTAGTCAACATACTGCATGTCCATCTAGTCAATGCACTGCATGTCCATCTAGTCAACATACTGCATGTCCATCTAGTCAATGCACTGCATGTCCATCTAGTCAACATACTGCATGTCCATCTAGTCAACATACTGCATGTCCATCTAGTCAATGCACTGCATGTCCATCTAGTCAACATACTGCATGTCCATCTAGTCAACATACTGCATGTCCATCTAGTCAATGCACTGCATGTCCATCTAGTCAACATACTGCATGTCCATCTAGTCAACGTACTGCATGTCCATCTAGTCAATGCACTGCATGTCCATCTAGTCAATGCACTGCATGTCCATCTAGTCAACGTACTGCATGTCCATCTAGTCAATGCACTGCATGTCCATCTAGCCTACGTGCTGCATGTCCACCTAGTCAACGCACTGCATGCTTGCCATATCCATCTCCTTGCCTTGTGTACGGCACCCTCTAGCGTCAGGTCGACGCATGGGTTATCTTCCACTTATCTATCTCCCATTTTGTTAGCTCCCTCTTAGTAATCAGTTTATCTCCCACTAAGTTATCTCCCACTTAGTTATCCCCCACTTAGTTATCTCCCACTCTTCCCTTGATTTCCCCTTCACGTCTTTTGCTCCGTGGCATCCAGAAGCTGCCTGGATGCGTCTGGGACGCATCCTTGCTTCCGCTTGCTCGTTTCTGCACCACAGAAATCACCCAACCTCCCGTCCCATCCCTTTGTTGCCTTCTTCCCCCTTTCTTTCCTCCCTTACTCTCACATCTTCCCCCACTTTCTTCCCTTCCTCTCGTCTCTCCTCCCTGCAGGTCATTAAGAGCCAGCGCAACTTCATTCTCGGTGCATTCGGCATCTACCTCTACTGGTACTTTCCCTCACTCTCGTCTCCATTCTGGAGTCTCTGATTCTTTACCTTTTCTCGTCCTAGATGCCCTTTCACACAGAAACATGCTCCTACACGGAAACATGCCTTCGCCCTCACATTGCTTGCGCATGGTGCCCCGAATCCTGCTGGCATGTGCTAAGCCCGCAAGCTAGCCTCAAGGCTCTTGCCTTTCATTCACATCCAGGGCTGCACCATGTGCCATTGTGCCACTGCTCCCTGTGTCCATGTTTGCTTCTTCTGCCGAATGATGTAGTGCTCGTGAACACGCGTCTGGCGTGCCTGCCTGCTAGTTTGTCTTGTTTACATGCTCATTAGCGCTTTTGAATTCCCCCCACCTGCCTGCCTTCCTGCCCGCCTGCCCGCCTGCCCGCCTGCCCGCCTTCCCGCCTGCCTGCCTGCCTGTGTGTGGGTGCGTGCGTGTGGTGGCAGGGTGCTGTACCGCTTCTGCATGCTGAGCATCAAGGTGAACCGGCTGGAGGCGCTCATCCCCGCCGACAAGGCCAGGAGGGTTGCTCCCAAGGACGCAACCAAGGAGGCGTCCAAGGAACAGTAGCAACGGTTGCACCTGCAGTGGCAGCACCTGCAGCAGCGGCAATGGATGCAGCAATGGTAGGATCAGGGGTTCAGGAACAGTTGCGGAGGCCCAAGAATCGAAGGATAGGTCATTGTAGCTCGGGTATCGGAGCAAGTTTGCAGGGTACATTAGCTTGTAGGGAAGCTTGGGGTTCAGTGCTGGAAGGAGTTCAGTGCTGCAACAGGCTTTCAGGGTTAGGTGGATATGCTATGCTGTGATGCACAGGGGTTTCCCTGGGCTTGTACCGGACATGATGTGTCCCCCTGCATCATTGGGTGCATGCTGGTTCTCTCCACATGGCTGGCTGTAGTTCTCAACGTAGGATTGAATGATCTCTCATTTTTCATATGTTTGACGGTAGTACCGTAGTCGATAACTGTATTCAGTGTTTACTTTCATGCATAACTCCTGTGTGACATGACTGGCTGTACCGGTACTAGGAGCTGGAACTCTGCGATGTTTGAATGGAAATTGTGAGGGTTTCACGAATCCTTACTGGGTTTCGCTACAGCGAGTACCGCGAACAGTTTGCACCCGCAGCCTCGATCCTCAAGTCTCGTGTCTATAATAATTTGACGGGTGTTGCAGGAGACGAAGTATAGAATCTGCAAGTACAAACACTTGGAAAACCTCAAGTGTTAGCCTAGGATCTTTACTGGAATGGTATGTCAACTTATACATATGCTGTATGTAGAAGTTATAGGCTAGCCTCGGTGTGTGCTTCTAGTGCGTACAACCCCAACAGGTAGATGTTCTAGGTTTCTCACACTAGTCGATCATTCGTGCATTCTAACATGGTATCGCGAGTACGTTAGGTCCACCTGTCAAACATGTGTATCTCTAGTGTTTGTATAGACTGTATAGGGTCACCTCTTAGAGGGTACAACACTTAGGTATATCCTCTTGTACTCTCTCGCTACTCAACCATTATTCAGTTCTAAGATGGTACCGTATCAACAGTAGGTAGGTCCCGCCCCCGCCCACGCTTCCGCTCTAGGATCTACCCGCGCCCTAGCCGCCCTACCTAACCGCGCCTGCGCGCCCGTCCTAGCTGCGCCCGCGCGCCCGTCCTAGCCTGCCCCGTGCCCGTCCTAGCAAGCCCCCGCGCCCGTCCTATACGGCTCCCGCGCTCGTCCTACCTGGCCCCGCGCCCGTCCTAGCGGCCCCTGCGCCCGTCCTAGTCGACCCCGCGCCCATCCTAGCGACCCTCGCGCCCGTCCTAGCCGACCCCGCGCCCGTCCTAGTGCCCCCCGCGCCCCTCCTATCCGGCCCCGCGCCCGTCCTAGCGGCCCCCGCGCCCGTTCTCGCCGGACCCGTGCCGGTCCTAGCGGCCTCCGCGCCCGTCCTAGCAGCCCTCGCGCCCGTCCTAGCCGACCCCCCGCTCGTCCTAGCGGCCCCCGCACCCGTCCTCGCCGGCCCCGCGCCCGTCCTAACGGCCCTCGCGCCCGTCCTAGCCAACTCCGCGCCCGTCCTAGCGGCCCCTGCACCCGTCCTACCGGCCCCCGCGCCCGCACTAGTGACCCCCGCGCCCGTCCTACCGGCTCCCGCGCCCGTCCTAGCCGGCCCCGCGCCCGTCCTAGCGGCCCCCGCGCCCGTACTTCCGGCCCCCGTACATCTGGCCCTGCCCTACACTGTTCCTGATGGCGGCGGAGCTTCGCTTCGACGCTGAAGGCCAGCCTCTGGAGTTCGAGGCGTGGCTAGCCGACCTCCGCCGCCACCTCATTGGCCAGCGGCAGGATGGCCACTCGCTTTCGGCACACCTAGACGGTACGCTCCCCTGCCCAGACCCCCCTGCTGTGCTGCCCGCTGACCCCACACCCGCTAAGCGCGAGTCTACTGCAGCCGCTGCCCTTGCTCGCTCTGTCTGGCTTTCCCGAGACGCTGTCGCACAGCTTGCCATTAGCAATGCCCTCCCCCCGTCTGAGCGCCCTCGCTTTAGGTCTATCACCACCGCTCAGGCTTTCTTAGATGCTGTCATCAAGCGCTATTCCACCCCACTTGCTGCCTCGATGGGCCGCCTGATCCTACCGATGCTCTTTCCTGACCTTGCGTCCTTCCCCACTGTCGCTGACCTGGCTGCCCACCTGCGCACGATAGATGAGACCTGGCGCGCTGCCTGCACTGACGCACAGCTTAGAGCCCACCAGCCGCCCATTACCTCTACCCTCTACCTACTTGCCACCTGCCTCCCTGACCGCCTTGCCGCCGCCCGTGACCGCTTCCTTAGCATTCACCTCGTTGACCTCACCCTCACAGAATTTGTAGACACCCTGACTGTTATTGAGACCCGCCACCGCTCTATCACCCAGGCGAGCGGTACTGTGCCGGTCCCTATCTTTCAGGGTTGTGCCCCCCCTGAGTGCACCTTCTCTGATGGTTCTGCCGCTGTGGCTGAGACTGCTGCTGCAGCGCAGTTCCGTTCAGGGAAGTGTCGCCGCCCCAAAACTGGGCGCGGCGGAGGAGGCGCGGGTGCAGGTGGGGGTGGTGGTGGAGTCGGGTCGTCTGGTGCTGGAGCGGACGAGGGGACCCTGCCAGGTTCAGCTGAGCAGCCGCCTCAGCCGTCGAAGCAGCAGCCGCAGCAGCAGCAGTAGCCGCAACAGCCGCCGTAGACGAGGCAGGCGAGTACCCTCCCCCCCGGGTGGCCTGGCGCTGGTGGTGGTCGTGCGCGTGGTGGTCTGCCGGGTGGTGGTTCGGGAGGCGTACGCTGTCAGTACCAGATCTAGACCGGTCCTCGCCGCGGCTTCGTTTGCGGTAAGCTCAGTCATACCACTACTCGTTGTTTTCGTCGCCTGGACGACCTGTTTCGTTAGCGCTTCGGCCCGTCGCCTGACCTCCTGGACTGGCACAGTTTGCTTAGTCGTAGGGTTCAGATTTTTTACATGGACATGGATGCCATTGTATCCGCCCAGCATGTGATGTATGCTGATGACTCTAGTGTGCTTCCAGCTTATTACTCCTTGTCGTCTAGTGTAGGTGTGCCTAGCTTAGCCTCCCCTGCTACGTCAGGCGTAGGAGCTCCTGCTTTGTTTAGTCTTGGTGCTTCCGCCGTCGCCCCGTCGCCGGACGCCACTGCTTCGCTTTCCTTCACCTTGGACTCTGGCGCTTCCCGGTGTTTCTTCCGCGACTCCACTATGCTGACGCCGCTTCCTGCTCCTGCTGCAGTTTCTCTTGCTGACCCCTCCGGCGGTCCAGTAGTCGCCCGCAGTTCCACCACCCTTCCCTGTCTGGCGGTTCCTTCAGGCTCTCTCACAGGTCTGCATATCCCCTCATTCTCCAGGAACCTAGTTGGTGTCGGCTGCCTCCAGGACCTTGGCGTCACCACTACGTTCCCTGGTCACGAGCGGTATGCTGTCTGTACCGAGGCCGCCACTGGTGCCCCCCTGTCCACGTTCCCCCGGTACCCGGTGTCCGGCCTGTTCACCCTGGACGCCGTGACCCCCCCCGCTGGGGCGCCCCCTCAGGTGGCTGCGTCTTCCCAGGTTGCTGCTGCCTGCTCCTGTCGGTCCCTCACTCACCCGACTCTTCTGTGGCACCACCGCTTAGGTCACCCTGCGCTCTCGCATCTGCGTCACATGTCCCAGCACGGTCTCGTCCTTGGTCTCCCCGGTTCGTTTCCCGCTTTTCCCTCCTCCCCCGCCCCACTGTGCACGCCTTGTGTCGAGGGCCGGCTTCGCCGTGCCCCTCACTCCTCCTCGTTTCCCCCTATCGCCGCGCCGCTGCAGACCCTGCACATGGACGTCTGGGGCCCCGCCCCCGTCCATGGGCCGCGTCGAGAGCGCTACTTCCTCGTGCTTGTCGACGACTTCACTCGCTACACCACAGTCTTTCCCGTGGAGCGGAAGGCCGACGTGCCTGATGCTCTCATCCTCTGGCTTGTCTCTGCCCGTGTCCACCGAGGTCTCCCTGTCTTGCGTCTTCACTCCGACCGTGGTGGCGAGTTTGCCTCAGGTGTCCTTGGTCGCTTCTATCGTGCAGAGGGCATCACCCAGACGTTCACCTTGCCGGACTCCCCACAGCAGAATGGGGTCGCTGAGCAACGCATCGGTTTGGTCATGGAGGTGGCTCGCACCTCCATGATCCATGCCGGTGCACCCCATTTTCTGTGGCCGTTCGCCGTGCGCTACGCTGCTCACCAGCTTAACCTGTGGCCACACCCCCAGCAGCCGCAGGTTTCGCCGACCCGTCTTTGGACCGGGTCTCCTGGTGACGCGTCTGCGTTCCATGTCTGGGGCTGCCTTGCTCACGTTCGTGCCTCCGGCACGGACAAGCTCACTGCCCGCACCCTTCCCTGCGTCTTCCTCGATTTTCCCCTTGACGCGTCCGACTGGCACTTCTACCACCCGCCGTCTCACCGCTTCTTTCACTCTCCCGACGTCACCTTTAACGAGTCCGTCTCCTTATACCGTCGCTTCCCCCACCGCGGTCCCCCATTTACCCCCCCCCCTGTTCCTGGTCACTCCTTTTCCAGTGGTCCCTGCCCCCCTCCCTCCCCCTCCCCGTCCTGCCCCCTCTGGTGTGTCCCACGTCACCCCTCTCCCGTCGGTTGTCCCGGTTGAGGAGTCTTCTCACTCTGGTGGTCCTGCAGCGCAGGCCTCGCCGTCTGCCCCTTCCCAGGCATCTCCTCCTCCACCGCCTCCGCAGCCGCCGTCACCTCTGCTGTCACCGCCGTCGTCCCTGCAGCTTCCGCCACCGTCGCAGAAGCCGTTCGTTGCCTATGGGGGTGCTGGCGTTGGAGTGGGTCCTAGCCCCGGTGGCCCTGGGGGTGGTGTCGGTGCTTGAGGGGTTTCGGGCCCTGGAGGTGTTCCTTCTGGGGGTGCTGGAGTGGAGTGTGCCGGTGACATCCGAGGAGCAGCTTGCAGTCCCGGTGTCGGCGTTGTGCCGCCGCAGCAGCAATCCCCGCCGGTGTCAGCCCTTCGCCTGCTCGGCCTTCCGTCCCCTGACCCTGTGTCCGTTCCTCTCCTCCTGTCTCCTCCTCTTCCCGTTTACGGCCCTGTGTTCCCTTCGCCGGACTCGTCCCCGGCTCGTCTTCCCCCTCGATCTCCCCTTGTGTCCCCTCCTCTGTCTCCTGACCCGACTCCTCCGTCTCACGTCTGGTCTCGCCGTCTCCCCTGTCTCCCCTGTCTCGCGTTCTCACCCTATGTTGCTTCGTTCCCACGTGTCTCGTCCTCCCCTTCTCCCGTCCCCTCCTCCGTCCTCCCTTGTCGTTGCTCCCCCCCCTCTGTCTGACTACCTTTGTGCCGCCAGTCCTCTCGTTCCTCGGGTCCTTGCCTCTCTCGTTACCGACCCGTCTGTTCCGGTTTCGACCCTTGACGCCCTTGTCACCGCGGTCGCTGACTTCACCTCTACCCGCCGCCTTGACTACGTCACAGCTCTGGTCTCTGACCCTGCCTGTCCTCCGTCTGTCGGGGGT